AACTAAACGCATGAGAACTTACATATGTTTGAATATGTTTTCAACATCTTCAGAAATGCAAGGCCTCGTGCCTATAGGATTTAGTAATTTATCTAAAAGGAAAAAACTTTGTCATGCTCCAGCTAAGCTTGAAAAAATACAGAAAAAGGTGAGAAGGTATTATAATATTAAATAACATGTTACATGTACAGTATAAGACATAGCCTCGAGAAAACAGGCTAATTTGGGAACTGTCCATGTAAACAATAGGGCTGTCTAAAGCATTTCTTGGTGCTGTATATTAAACATTGTTATCCCATTTGCGCTATAACTCTGGGTTAGTGTTATCATAAATGAAGAGCCAGATATCAGCATCAATGCTTCATAAGATGCACTGGCTATTACTTGAATATTGGCATATAGAGGGCGTATGTAGTAGCCTGTGATTCTAAGGAATATACGTGAACAAGTCATTTTTGGCGAAACTAAGGATTCTTTCTCATCAAAAGTGTTTTAGTGTTTTGGGGTATTCAATATTAAACAGTTTGTGGTATTGTATTTGTAGCAGCATTTATCATGAAGACAGACTCTATTAAAGTGTTTAATTGGAATATAAAGGATGTTCAGTCATTAAGAAATAAATTATAGACACTATAAACATTAGTTTTAAATGGTCCAATTCGGTTATTTATTTAGAATTTTGATACTGAACAGTTAAACAAAATGTAAAAAGTAAGTTCAGTTTTTCTGACATCACAGACAATGTATTAATAGATGATGCTGAGTCTCTGAATATTATTTATTATATCATTGTGAAAAATATTTAGGATTACAGAATATTTAATCATCATTAATTAGAAATAGTTGCCATAGTAACCAAAAATCATACAAATAAAAAGCTTGTGAGAATGACCCCCATTAACTAATATGTTGCACATTCTTGGAAAATTTCATTAGAATAGATATAGAAAATTGAAAAAATGAGACAGATTTTATGAGAACATTATAATCACCCCTTTTGGAAAGAATTTTACTTTTTATTTACCTGTTTTCAGTTTGTTGATGATGTTTTTATATCATAAACATAGTTACTTAGTTAAATAAATACAAAAGATATATTATTTTAACATTCTTCAACGTCATTGAATTGAAAAAGTTTTGTCTGGTATAAAGTTTAAAAAAACGAATTTATAGTATCTTTTATTTCCTGTAGTGTTTATGTTGATTTGTTTGTTAAAACCTAGTCACCTTATTTAATTGTTAAAGAACTAATGTAGTTTCGATGTTCTTTGCCTTTTAAAAGGAAATAAAAAATTTGTTTATGTCATTAAAGCAGGTCCTGGATAGTCATTTTTCAGATTTTAGAGGGATATGGTAATTGTTAAAGATATTTCCCAGGGATGTTTGAATAAATCAGTTTAAGTTTTGACAATAATATTTATGGCTGTTACCCTAGTGTGATATGTTTTCTTTTATTGCTAGAACGTATATTTACCAGACTTTTTTAACGATTCATTCATAAATGCTACTTCAAAATACAATATACTAATTAATAAAAATTGTCATCAATCACTTTAACACTACTTCGAAAATCATTATCTTTTGTTATCGTGTATAGTTTTACAACTTGTTGAAGTGTATCTATTGGTATCTATTAGAGTATTAGCTACAGATGTACTTACCTTACTCACCTGTAATTAATCAATCTAATTTGTAAGCACCTGTACCTTTGTTCTTATGTCCTCTGTAACATATTGCAACAGTGGCACTACAGGTATAGTGGGGTTGTGTTCCATAGTGGTACATAGGGGGTATGTTTTAAAATGAAATTTGGAGAAAAAGTAATAAAGTAAACATTTAACATTTAACAAGGATGCTAGAACATTCTAGGATTTATTAAAATATCCAAGAAGAATGTGAGCACAAGTACAATACGAAAAATAAATAAATAGAAACTTAAACTTTTTGTAAGTCCATGGCAAAAATTATAAAAAATAACACAAAAAAGAAATAATTGAAAACTACAACTGGGCATAAAGAATCAAACCTCAATATCAAACTATAACACCCTCCCCCATTCAAATACCATTATAGGTGGTACTTTATGAAGTACTTGATGGGAATCTCACTTATACCGGGTCACATAGTGCACACTTATACATATGTACAATATTGATATACTGCCCAACAATCAACGAAAGTCCGGATTAAATTAAAAGTCTCTTATTAAACATTAAATGAACAATGGGTGTTTATCTGAGTCAATAAACAACATATCAATCATATTCGTAATTCAAAAACAAATATTTTTAAATATTATTAGTCTATTTCCTGGTTCCCATGATGTTGTTTCGATTGATTTATTCAAAATAAAGTTGTCAAAGTTGCATCTTCGAGTGCTGGTCGCCATAAAGGCAGAAAAATAGGCACTCTAGAAATAACAAAAAATGATGGTTACCATTATCCATGTGTTTTTATATTTATTTTTATTTGTTTGTTGGTTCACATGTTTCGATGTTTGTTAAATTTATGTAATTTTATATTGTGATTTTTATATTTGCACGTTGACTGTACTCTTCTATAAAAGGAGGAATAAAAGGCAATACAATACAATACAATACATTATATACATGTACTTCTTTTTATTTCAATTTTTGTTTTCTACATTGTATTATTTTGACTTTGGATTATATATGAGGTTGTTTTGAACCATTACTGTAGTAATAATACCTATGTTGTGTTTCATGTAGTGCTTGTGTAAATATATTTCATTTTGGCTCAGATCCTAAATCCTCTAGTATGATTCAGTTTGATAAAAGTAAAGGTTGATAAATATATTGGGATAATTTGATCATTGATTGAAGTTATCTATATGAGTTAGTTAGTTTGATATATATGTGCTGCTGGATTACATTTCTAATCAGGTGTTGATTGGTTCATCAGAGCATGAAACAGGTTCAGGTGAGAATTATAGAGAATATTATACAATGTTTTATTATACAGAATAATTGTATAAGTATATGGTTATACACCACTGGCTCAAAGTTAGAAATTGTAGATCAGTTTAAGACATGTTTACATTTTATCAAAGATGGATTTTTATTCTGCTCTTCAAAATTGAGGTATTGTTGAGACGGACTCTACAAAAATACACTGGGACGCTTTTCTGCTAATAATGTCTTAAAATAGTTTTATGGCAAAATTAAGAGCGATCATTTTCAAATTTTATCTTTTGAGAAATTAAATTTAAGTTCATCATAAACTTTAAGATGAGATGTATCTGATAAAAGAAAGTGATTTTTTCTGGTTCCTAGTAATAAAGGTGTGTACCTGAATAAAATATCCATAAAGTGTTAATCATATTTATGCCCTGTACACCTGTGTTTCACAAAATTTGATTAAAGTTACTTTCTTCAGGCACACTTAGTTGAAGAAATATAATAGGGGACTTTGTTATAGACCAGTATTTCACTTTCGCACAAAGATATTATCGTTTTTGAAGTCGTTTTCTCTTACTTTTTATTTCAAATGTGAAAATGTTTCATTAGTTCAACTAAATAGATGATTTGAGGTTGTCACTTTTTATGGTGGGTGTTTTGTTCAAGCTATTTTGTGATAAAGAGTATAAACGAAAAACGACTAAAGTATATTTTATAAACCCTTTGTGTTTGCCAAGTAAACTGAACTTTATCTCTATCCTCTCTTCCTGATTATAAAGTTAAAAAGTTTTATGAAGGTTAAGGTAAGATTCCCACTGCTTTTAAAAAAAGTTAACAAATTGTTAATGTTATGCGACTTGTAAATATCTTGTATAAGCGTGTTAATATCAGCGGAAGTCACTTCAAGGAGATTTAAACTCATTTTTATTAGTCTTATCTTTTTATCTTTAATTTATATATTGGACAGCATTTTCAATGTATAATTGAAATATGATACCTTTTTTAGAAAATAAATTTGCCCAATATTTAGATAAGGATTCTCCACACAAAAAGTGTATTGAACCTATTTAGGGTATGCAAACTGAGGGGTTAAAACCAGGTCTGGGATGAAATTTTTTATCAATAAAAGTTTTAAGAATATCATAAAAAGACATTATATTCCCAGCAACGTTTGTCATATACAATAAATTGAGACATTGATAAATTGTACATTAATTTGACACATTGACAAAGTCTTAAAATATGATTAATTTTTATAAAGATAAAAATTAATTATCCTATACTCCAACCGAATACAATTTAATGTTGATACTAAAAACTATCAAAACTATTTTATTGTATTTTACTGTAATAGGTCCAGTTAAGCACTGTTTGAGACCATTTATAGATGAAGTCATTTAGATTCGCTGTCCAAAAGTATAACTGTGTCACATCATGATTTTATGACATCGTCTGGCTCATGGATTATTGTAGTGACGCATGTAATTGTGATTATCGTCTGACTAATACGTAATTGAGGTGTAATTTGTGAAAAAAATATCTGAACAATCTTCTCAACATGATGATTTTATGTTATTTAATATCAAGTGATCTTTTTGATAACCTTTTCAAGGTAGACACAGACTGAGTATGCAGGGGTTTCATTAGCAGCATGCAGCAGGCGATTTTCACTGGTTGTTTTCACAAAATCGCCTGTTGTCTTTAGGGACTTTTCAACTTTTCCATGTTAAATTTATGATTTCCATTAATTTTGCCTGGTGTTTTCAATTATTTAGCCTGTTGTGAGAAATTCTCGTGAAACCCCTGGTATGTCTTATGTACAAATATAGAAGATTACATCCTTGGCACACAAAAACACAAAAAGGGCATTCTATAATATGTATTCACTTGCTCGTGAGCTTTTTTCACCAAGTGATACCAGTAATTTCAAATAGAATATGAAACATAAGGATAACAAAAAGATTTTACTTTTGTGTTATTCAAAATTTCTTTATTTATTGTTGCCATCATTGTGCTTTCTAGAGAATCCATTGTGCAATTAATAAGAGCTGTTATGTATGTTCTGTGTTTTCTGTTTTATAGGAGAGAATGTCACAGGCCGTCGATTGGGCCTTGATCGACAGAAATGGCCGTAAGTTCACACTTCCACACTCAATGGTATTCCTGGGCCGAGAAGAGGAATGTGACATATCCCTACATGTAAGTACTGTCTATTGTTGGTTGCAATATCTCAATATGAGATACATACAACTAGTGGTTGATTGGTGTCAGACTAGGGGCTCAATTGTGTATTTTGTAATTTATGACTGAAATTGTCTTTCCAAAATGTTGACGAAAATACTGAAGTTCCACATCTTTTTGTTTTCATTCGTTGTGTTTTATATAGAGATAACTCTTCAATCATATTTTGAGACACAGTGCATACATATAATTTGATATCAAATGTGGATGGTCTGGCACATGAGTATTGTTTTCTGATATATTAACAAAATGCTTTATATATCTTAAAAAATATAAGTGATATATTAAACCTGACTATGGGTGTGATGTTAGAGGTACGGTAACACCAGTTCAAGGTGAACTCTACTCAAACAAGCAAAACGTGTTCATTTTGAAAGATATTTACAAGAAGAGAGTTAATAGCATTACAGTCAATGGGCCACCCAATACTTCTGCAAGAAAATGTTCGCAATTCGAGGTGTTCTCTTGATAGGTTTTACTGTATTTCACCTTGGCCATCAAAGTTCAAACTGATAGATGTCACTAGTATCCCATTATACCTTTATATCCAGGAACCCTGGGGGACAACGAAAACATAAATACTGTTATTTGTAGCACAATAACACTTATTAAATTAAAAGAATGAACCCCTGGAGCAAATCTGACATTTGTTTTGATAAATCATAGCATAAAAGACATTGTTGAGATAGGATTTAAGTATGTATTAATGTGTTAAGTCCCTGGATTGTGTGGTATGTATTCAGGTGTGTTTGTCTTGTATGTATCAATCTTGATGAGATCAGATTTTCGATTCAAACATTCCACTACAGGGTGCCATGGTAACTTTACTTGCTCATTATTACATTACAGCATAACATACATACCTTACCTTTTTGTGTAAATATGTATGCTGAAGTGACAAAGGGAGAGGACCAAAAATGGTTAGAGGACACAACAAGAAAACATCTATAAATGCACCAGTCACAAGGAAAACAAACCCCAACTATCCCAAATCATAGCCCAACGGGAAAAGAAACCATTTTTTGTATGTGTATTTGTACTAAGTAGTATTGGATCAAGCCTCTGGGTTTCACCTCGACTCCCCAGTCTCTCACTGACACAGATTTGGGTTCGGTATTTTATTAGTGACAGGCCATTCTTGATGCAAGGGTTAATATACAAACCTATGCACCAGAGGTCTGAGTTAAAAAGTCAGATTATCAATATCTCAAATATTCCACATGAGCAACCTGAATGCATGTTTAATTTTAAGATTCTCTTTCAAGACTTGCTAATCCTGGCATATAATTTTGTTTATTTGTTTGTTATTTTGTTATACCAATGATTTCACATAATAAAACTTAATGTCTGTTTTTTGTATTTGCAGTCTCGCAGTGTAGACAAGCGTCATGCTGTAATTACACATGACCACTACGAAAACAAGTTCAAACTGAAAGACCTTGGAAGTCATAATGGGGTAAGATTCAAAAATGAAATATTTCAAACATACATGTATATCATATACCTTAACTACTATTTAACTTCTCGATTTTTGAAAAATCATTCTAAAAATTAAACACCAACAAAATGTTAGCATTTGCCACTGTTATCTGTTTTTTCCGTGATTTAGCTTCTCTACTAATGTTTTATATTTCATTACTTACCAGAACATTTTTCTTCTTGATTCAATGTTAAGAGCATGTGATATTTAGCAGTAAAGTTGTTGCTCTTAATGGCCATCAATGAATACTAACCATCTATTGTATACTAGCAATCAATGTATACAGTGTACATACAATACAACATACTTGTATCTTCATACTTATTGATCACCCTGTACACATAGTTTTAAAAATATCAGTTTTAACCCCAGCCTGCAAAAACGAGGACATCTATGTCTCAGGTGACAAACTATTTGTTGTAAGATAGCACCTGAGGGAAGAAACTATCCATCTGTCTGGGTCAGATTACTTTGAGATTTCTCATAAAACTTAAGTGACTTCTCATAAATCAGGGGTCATTATGATGAAGATCGGAGATATGGATTGTATCTTTCCCCAGGGGGACAGATATTGTCTATTTTTTAAACCACAGCAATACGAGCCTGTATGATAAATGCAAAATTAAGTTTGTTTGGGTGTAATGTAGATGGAAAAATGTAACATGTAGCATGTTAAAGGCCCTCAACATATAGCCTGCAGGGAAACTGTTATTGTTCCGCCATTATACATACACCCTTTTTTGACAGCCTAATTGAATAATTAGACTACAATCAGATTCGCTGGTAGGGGACTATAGAGGAGTTATTACATATTATATGCTGGTATATAATCGCAAAATGAAATATTTGAACTCGTACTAAGAAATTGGATGCAATAAATATAAAACGAATGTAGAAGTACAACAAGAGATCATGGAAAATACCGAAAATCAAGAGTCCAACGATGAGTGTCAGCAGGTAATATTAAATCCCATTTGACAGGGAAGGGATTAAAAAGTAAAATCTGTATTTTTTCTGTTCATAAATATATAAATGAATAAATTTGTAAGGTATTTACTATTTTATTATTTTCAGACCCCCGATAGATGGAGATATGGCTCTAAGTTTTGAAACATCTAAAATTTTGATTAATCTTATATATTATAATTTTATTTAAATTTTATATAGACACACAAGACTGATGCTCTTGAACCCTGATCCCATTGTGATGTCACATCTTATTCTGGATGACTTCATTGAGCTAAGATACTGTGAAGCTTTATGTGTTAATATGTGGTTCTATTTCCAGACCTACGTAAACGATGGCAAAGTTTCAGAACAAACATACGTTACTTTAGAACATGGGGACACAATACGGTTTGGTTATGGTATCCTTTTGACTTGAATTAATTAATTTTATTACCCTAATAAAATGTAAATACATCTATGTGTACATGCATATTATGAACAAAAATCACATTATTAATCAATAGTTTTATGAACCTAGAAATAAATCTTAACGAGCATTTCATGAAGTCATACACGCAGCTTTGTTATTTGGGGACTTTTTGAAAAGTTGAAAAACTAAAATATATGTTAAGCTCAGTACTTGTATTATTTTAAAAGTCGATGAATCGAATTTTGTTTTCTCTTTTTGTACATCCTTCTCAGTATTTCCGGTTGTGCTCAGTCATTTGTTTCAAATTGAGAAATGTAAATTTTGGCACGTATAAACGATGTCTCGTTTGATCCTTAAAAATGAGGTAAATATTTAATTTTGACAAAATAACCAAATCTGATCATGTTTTTTCAATAGCGAAGCTTAAATTATTTGTTTTATGTTAAAATGCATTAAAGGGATTTTTGGCCTTGAAACCTCAGTCAAACATTCAATATTTACAATACTTCATTTCCTTTTTAAATGATCACAGTGTAGTCTCATCGTGAAGTTTTCAACATTTCAAGTTTATTCAAGTTTTCAACTTAGTCAAAGTTTATATGTTTGCAACGTGACATAACAACAATTTTTACGTCTTCTTAAGTAAATTAAGCTGAATTGAAAAATTAAACTAGATTTATTCAAACTATTTATTTAAATGTCGTCCGTGTGTGATAAACCTGTTATCATTTATCGGAATCGAATTCCAGAACATATTTTAACCGAATTTAAACAATTTACTGGATATGTGACAATCCTTGACCTTAGCAGACCCTATGGTGTACCGCATGGAGAGAATAGATGAGGTGCCACATTTAGAGGATGTCCCTAATGCAGACAGTCAGCCCCCTAAGGTGATCTCACCCCACCCTCCAGTCTCCAAAGTACTCTCCCCCACAGAGAATCTACCTGTGTGGGCCAAACGGGAGCCCAGAGAGACTCATACTCCGCCATCTGGACGTCTTGGACCTAGCCATATGGCAGAATGTCAGGTAAGGTTTTACTCTCTTAAACATTGTTAAAAGTTCCATTAAGGGTCCTTTGATGTATTCTACAATCATATTGGAAAATGATTAAGATAGATAGAGAGTAATATAACTTTTTTTCACTACCAAGAAATGGTAACATGTTATAATTTTGTCATCACCACAAGTGGTGACATATTGTTATAGTCTCCAACTTTTTTGTGAAAGGTGTTCAGAATTCAGCGGTTGGTGTTTGGCAGTTGCTCTTTGGCATTACGTATCACATTCCCACAAATGGCAGGTGGTGACATTTTGCATATTTAATGCCTTTGTTCTATTTTTTATGACCATAATTCGATGTCATCTTTAATGTTTTGTGTTCAGTGTTAGATTATGTAACACTTGTTATTGCATCCAGGCCACATATACAATCTCAATGTCAGCCAGTGTCTTTTTGAAATTCCAGTTTTATACCAAATAAATAAAGATATTGACGGCTCAAGGATACTGTACTGAAACATTTATAAAGTTCATGGGAACTACAAATATATGAGGAAATTTTCACACCTTCTTGGTTGCCTTGTTACCTTACCACCCACTGACCTCTATATTCTCCTAAGTTAATCTCTTATTTGTTTATTAGCACCAAGGGCTTTTTCAAGTACATATTACCACTGATGTTTTGTTTCTTGTATCAGTGGCACATCACGATTTACAAGCTCTTAATCGGCATATAGACATTTGTTCATGATATGATAAAATCAGTCACGATATTGGACTAGATTTTGAAAATACAAGTTACTTATCAATGAACTTCAGATAGCGGTTATTAAAAAACATGTTATTGAACTCATATGAAATACTAATTTTGTTAATGTTTTACTGTCAATATAAAAAACTTTTGGACATCTTTTATCCTTATTCAAACAGTGAAAATTTAATGTAAATATTTCAATCACATCATGTCTTTGAGAATTTAATTGGGTCGCATTGACCTCTGCCCCCAAGGCAAAAAAAATCAAATTTTTTAAAACTCATTCAGTATTTATGGCCTCTATTGAGCATAAATTATTTCCTTATTGAGGTAGAGAGTCATAAAAAACATTTTGGCAATTATTTTTGATGAGAACATGCTCGTAATGTATTTACCGGAAGCAACATAAGAGGCCGTCTGTTTACTCTTTGTCTGAGCTTGTTTTATTACACCTAATTGCAGGAAGAATGCATGTTTTTCGTCCATAAAATCATCTTAACAAAGATACGACATAAACCAAATGAGAACTTTTATGAAAGTGTCCCAAATATTAGAATCATTAGGATGCCTTTAGTGTGGTTACCCTTGCATCCATTTTTCAAGGTCATTTTAACTCAAGGTCAAGGTCGGCATGTTTATTAAATAATACTGTAGTTAGAATTGACTCTTGACCCGTTCGAAGAACAACAGGAAATAACCTATTGTTAAGGATCATTTATCTTTTGACAATGACATATCTCTCGCACCATTTAAAATCGTTCGATCTAAAACCCCGATGTCAAAGACCTCAGATACCAATCATTTTTGTCGTGATGTACACTTTTACATCAAGTGGTTGCGATGTCAAAAAAGTTAAATTAATGCTTTCTTCATACCTTAGAGATAAGCCTAGTCTGGTAATTTGTTAAAGTACAAAGACAAGTGGTACACAAAACCATTTGTCTGTTAATGCCACAAAACAGTTAAATATCTCTATAAGGATGTCACAAAACTGTTTTTTCAAAGATTTTTGTTTGAATGATTATCAATTTTCAGATTTGTAAACATCCAGTTAAAAGTCAAAGCTTAAATTTTTAGTAACCTCATTGGGAAACGACAATTGTTTGATTTCAATATTTGATTTTGATCTTATAAAGTTTAGTCGCCCTTTTGTACAAAAGTCCTCAAAACATTTTATGGTGACACAAGTTTAACACGTGGGCTGATAACGTGTAATATAAATCCACCTTTAACTTATTTCATTCACATTTGCACTGGCTAAACAGGAAATTCAAAAACAGGTTTTGTTTTTCAAGTTCATTCAGACATTAGTCAAACATTTTGGAGATTTTCTCACATGTAGCGAAGGAGGAACACATTGATCGGCATATTAAAGTAAGATCTTAATGGCTTTTAAAGTTTAAAGCTAGATTTTAGAATACTATTTTATTATTTAAAGTAACATGTGCTCTTGTTTGGTAAACATTACTTGAATCATACATTATATTTACTTGTATGTGATGTTCGTATATAATTCTAATTTTGGTCATAAATATTTATAACGCACCTTTTGAATCATTGGATTATTTTTGTTATATTACAAGAGTATTTTTAGTGGTTAGATATATTTATAATTGCAGTAATCATTAAGATTAACATGTGGCAATTATCGAATGCGTTATATATAAACTATCAGAGGTCAGAGACAGGCTGACAGACATATGTACAAATTAAAAGTACGGATATATCAATACGCCATTCAATATACCATTCAAATTTTTTCATAGTAATATAATAAAATTTTCGTTATTTTTTGTTTTGTAATTTTCTAATCTAAGTTTGACAATGTTAAATTACTGTCAAACTCATCAACATTTACGATGAAGGAACACAGATTACATTATTTCTGGTCAAATTTAAATATATTTTATCATATTACCGTTACTTCTGTTTGCAGGGTTGTATGGTAGAGGGCAGAATACGTCACACCTGTCATATCTCTGATGACGCAATTTCGGATGTAGGAAGTAGTGTTTCTGATGACGGACATTTAAAGCACACTTGTATTGAGCACAGAGACAGTGGCTTTCATTCTGGGGTAACATCCCCAAGGAGTCAAGATTATAGGGCATGGCATGACCCCCGTGCCCCTCCACAAAGAGATTACCCCACAGGTCCTTCTACAAGGGACATAAGTTATTCACAAACTAATCCAATGTATGAATATCATAATAGAGCTACGCAAGATCTAAGGGGTCCTTATGATGATATAAGAGGTTCCTATCAAACTCAACACCCAATGATGTCTAAATATCGAGATCCATACTCGCCCAGGGGTGGAGAACTTAGGGATTACCCCCCAGGATATAATACCCCACCAGGCGTCACCCCACGAACATTTTATAGGGAACAAATGGACCCCTTAGAAAGACCACCAGGTCGTATGGAAAGACATTATTATGATACGACGCATCCAAGCTTTCGGCCTGACTACCCACAAGATTACAGGCACCCACCAGAATATTACCAAGTTGAGCCCCACCGACACCCTATGGATAGAAGCCCCTATAGGCACCCCCCAAATGGGCCTCACCCTGGAGGTCCCCCTCCCCCGGGCACTGATTATCGTATGTACGATAGACAATCACAGATGGAGTATCCTCCCTCAAGGGACCCACATCATACATTCCCCAATGATGTTCCGCATAGGGACGCAGATATGCCTGTGAAACAGAGAGATATTACCACCAACAACAAAGAAAACCAGCTCTCTAGTAAAGCTTTGGAGAATGAGGACTTAGGTAAGCTAAATGTTCTTATCATTTTTGACTAAAGAAATACATGTATGTCAAATACATGTATTCTAATTTTAATGATTTTACATATGAAACTGGATGCAAAAATGGCAAAGCCACAAGTGGTGACATATTGATAATATAGTCTCCAACTTTATTGTGCGTTTATTGTGGGTTCAGCATCTGTTACAAATGCAGGTAGTGACATTTTGCATGTTAATGCCTTGTTATATATTTAACTTGAAGTGCAAATTGCATAGTTACTGGGTAGATCACTCTTTCAGTTTTTACTCAAGTATAAGTACAAACATCAGACTAATTAGACTTGTTTCCCAAATTGATACATTATGCATAGACACTGAAAAGGACTAAACCTGTATTGATGATATAGCATGGCAACCAGATCAGCAAAAAAAATTGATTCAGATAAGACTTTTGAAATGTTCCCTCAATATATATATAGGGACTTTAGTATTCTGCAACTTTCAGGTCTCATGCCAGATCATGTCTTATTTTAGTGGATTACCTAATAATTCTATGTACTTGTGTTGGAAATTGAATTAGGAATTTTCAAATGAGCAGATCTGTTCACCAAATATGTAGAATTTATTGCAATTTATGCTTTGAGAGAAAAGATCATGATCGGCTTTGAACTGAAGAGTGAAAGTTCGCATATGACCATGTTGTTCTGAAGGACAGTCTAGGTATTTAATGATAAGCGCTTCATGTATACAAAGCTTAGGTGCCAGGTAGGTTCAAGTTTTCAAGTAGTACATGAATGTCATTTTTAGATATTTTGGGCTTAGTAGCTGTAAGTTATCTTTAATTTTGTTTTCATGCACTTATTTGATACATTTAGAGTTGATACTGTTATATTGAACACATGCAAGTGATACGAAAAGTTAGAGTCTTATAGTTGTTCAGGTTCTTTCACCTTATCTGTTTACTCATATTATTGGTGAAAAAATGTATCGTTTACGGGATATTCAACAAAGATGCTACGTGATTAATGATACATTATATTCTTTGACGTAAGTTAGACTTTTGTAAAGGTGTAATTGATGATATTTTGTTTGATATTGAAACATGCATGTCATCTTACTTTGAATGGTAATAAAAGCATGAAAGGTTGTTGCGCTTTGTGGAATACAAAAGAATATGCCATCTTGTAGCGTGAGAATAAAAAGTTTCCTGTTTGGTTAACAAACAGACGACACTAGAAACTACGTAGTCAAAAAGGAAATAGAATTCTTTGAAAATCAACAGAAAATTCAGGTTATTTTGTACCAAAGCTCATTCAGTTTTGCATCCCCCTCCCTCCAAGTATAAGAATAAGAAAAAATGTTGTCTGATTTCAGATTTAGAACAATCTGACCTACCCAATTATTAATTTGATTTTATTTCAACTTTCAAGTATGTGTACCTCCAATCCCTCTCTGACACCAATCTTGAGATGGTACCTTATGACACTTTTGCAAATTGGTATCGTAGACCAGTAAGTGCATGTATTACATGTACAGCGCTGTGAAAAACAATTTTGTTATTCCTCTTTAAGTAAAGTCATTATAACATGATCATGAAATCATAAAATTGTTTGAAGTTGATTATTCACTTATAATCCAAACAATAGGATCCAAGTTCTGTCTGCGGTTACTTCTCTCTTTACATAGATACCTATCTCTGAAGAGCTCTTCAAAAGTGGAGGAAGATATATGTTATCGCACTATTGTATATATTGTCTGTCTTAGATTAACATTGGGTTTCATTGACCACGGAGCTGTGGAGCTATACGCAACTACATTGAGTGATATATCTCTGATATCGGGAAGATCTGGAAGAGTTTAAGAAGAACGGAAACATAAATATAATCTAGCAGGATTATATAATTGTCTAGGAATGTTGTGTTATTGATATTGCGTAAGAATTTTACATACCATCTACAAGTACTAGAAAAACAGAATTGGCCTTCTTCAGTATTTTTTTAGTAGCAGGTAAGAAATATGTTAGATCATTAAAGTTTAGCGATGTAGTAGTAGTTTTCTCCCTGGAATCTTGTGGATGGAAAATACAACTCTAAAATTATCTTAAACAGTTCATGAATTTTCTATTGAAACATGTATGAGGGGCAAATTCATTTGAAATGGTCGGGTTCTAGGTGACGTAAGTTCTGTAGAAATATATTCTTGTTTCATTGTATTTTTATTTACATGTACTTTTACATTAGTCTGAATTCAAATTATATAGACTGCCATATCTTTGTGACAGTATCTTATGGTAGGCCACTCATTGATTGTCCCGTCTTCATATATGACACCAAGTATGCTATATTGTCTGTCATTAAGTATATGTAGTGTCACTTTGTGATAATAGTCGTCAATGAAGAACAGGTAGTTCAGGTAGTCTTGGTAGTTCAGGTAATCTTGAGGACACACCATAGAAACAAAGCCAGTTTAATTTCCAGCCTTCTTTTGTAAGTGGTATACACTTTATACTTTTATTTACTTATACTTATATAAGTGATCTTTGCTCACTTTTTTGCTTTATGTGTTTGTAGGTCTATTTACTGGGTCTTACACCCGGAACATGCAATGTACTTTGCACTTTATGATTTCATTTTGATGTATTGATATCAATTGATTTCCAAAATAGGTTGTTGCTCTATTTAGATATGTACTTATACAGACTGGTTTTGTTCAAAATGGAAACCCATGTTTGCCTAGACTTTCTTTTTACAAACCTTTGATGCAAGTACATTGACTGAAGTTATTAGGTTTAGTTAAAGTTAGGGTGACATATAAAATGCAAAAGTTGTTAAAATACCCGCATACCTTTTTTGATTACATTTAGTAAGATAAGAGCTCATTATAGGTAATTTATATTGGAGTGGACAACACCTAATATATATATATATATCACACCTGCAAAATATTTCCTAAAGTCGTGATAGTTTTAATAGATAATTGAGTGAAGTGACATCTTTCTAAAAAAAGTTGTGTGTGGTTTATAACTAAAGAAACCATGATAAGTAAATGGATCACAACTAGAAATTTAGAAAAAATCAAATACATCATTTAAATCATTCAAATATATTTTGCTCGAAGCGAATTAATGTTTTAAGATATCTTTAACAAGCTAATGCCACTTGGTTTTTGCACAGCAAACTCTTGTTAAAGAATGCCTCAAGAGTCCAAATAGTGGTTAATGCTAGCATGTTGTTGGGATGTCCTCGTTGATCAAAACTTTCAATTGCGATTTTGAACTCAGATATGTTAGCTTTTTAGGCACCTGTACATACCAAAGACTTAAGGCGATCGTCGAGTAATCCAGTAATACGGATTTACAATATAAAACAGCATGTGTAGGGTGGAGTGTAGTGTGATTAAAATTGTGGTATTTTATAATTTTTCAATTGGGTGGCCTCAATGACTGATGCAATGTGGAGAGTGACACATTGTGTCGTGATATCCAGATTTCTTGGCATAACTAACTGTTACGGCTTTATTTTGATTCTTGTGTCTGCACATTCATTCCAATACAAAGTGAGCGCATGCTTGTATGAAGATAATAGATGCAAAAAAAATTGAGCTACTTTTTATGAGAAGATATAACAATTTGCGGCAATCTTTGCAGCAGAGATATTATGTTTATACTTCAAATCCAAGACACCAAAGGTAAAGATTTGCTTTGATAATTACAGTAAATAATGATATATAACTTAATTTTATTTATAATACTTTAAAAACTTTTATAATTATAATTAATATAATTGTTTTTTCAAAGTATAAAAGTTATATAATGGGAATTTTCATGGTGCATATGTTGCTTGTTTCTTGTTGCACTTGGCGACCAGATTTAGAGACAAACAATAACAATAAAACAATAAAAAACAAACAATAAAAATTTAGCAAAATACCTTGATTGAGACCAGTTGCTTGTATATATTAAGTATTATAACCATCAGGACCAGCTTGCTATTATATACGCAGGGCATGGATACTACCTATGACCATGTTGACCATGAATATATAAATACATGTATATGAGTTTATGTATAAATAAAAAAAACTAATAGTAAAGGTCAAGATGTGAATATAGCACACACACATAGCCAAATATACTGTGTATATATAGGATATAAAGATGTTCATGCCCGTAGCTCAATGGGGAGGGGGGCTTCAGGAGGTTCGAGTGAACCCTCCCCAAGACAAAATTTCTTTCAAAATCATGCATTTTTTCACCATTCTGAGCACTTTTCAAGTGTTTTTCAGCCAGAGTTGTCAAATGTAAACTTGGCAAAAGCTGGCTACAGGCCTGGTGTATTATGTTGGTCATTTGTCAACTAGATTAACTCCCTAATTTACAATATATGTATGATAAACATGTCAATTTAATATACATGTACAGTATTTATCTACAGTTAATGGTCGATTTTTCAGTTTTACCTCTGCTGTATACTGTTTACTGTTATGATAAATTATAATGTACTAGTAAACCTTGTTTTAAAAAAGATAGTAGAAGGCGTTTCCTTTAAGAGATTATGAAAGGCTTAGATCCTTAGTATAACACTGTCGATTAATAAAAAAACAAAATGTACCTATCACATAGGTGATACTTTGGAAAATTAAGCTGTCAAAAGTCAAATTGGCACATTTAACTTTTTATACAGTTTTTGACATAACAATTAATTATACTTAACAAGCAAGTAAAATTATGTACTTTCTATATGCTACCTGAATCAGATATGACGTTTTTGATTCAACTCGGACGGAAATTATATCGTTGTATGCTTGATTTAGGAAATGTTTTTGCTATAAAAACAGAAAAAATGACATGTTTCATACTTAATAACCCTTAAAAATAAAATAAAATTTCACAAAATGTTTTTTATTAAATTTATGTTACTATTAAAATGTCGATTATGATGAAATCTATTTGCTCATGTGAGATTTATTTTTGAAACGTTTTGACCTGTGCAATTTGTTAAACATTAATGAGATATGAACGGCATTGAGCAACTCGTTAGGTCTTCATCGGACACGATTTACAACACCAGTTAACACATCTTAGGAAGTTCTTGACTTTGTTTTAAGAGTTGAAAGTGACTGAAATTACTGTAGGATATATTTCAACATAAATGTTGATTAAGACGTTGGTGGAATTATAATATCACGTGGAATTTTATGTTTTTAACATTGAAGTACATTTGGGAGTTGTACTGAGTTTAAACTTGTGTTCTTGCTTAGAATGGAAAGTAAGTTTGGATGACTTCTATATGTCTAACGTGATACCTGTCAACAGAATCTTATGGATTATAAAGAAATTTTATTCTTGATACTTGGATAACCTACACATTAAATAAGTTGAAATTACCCATTCAAAGGGATATAAAATATACGACCCTGTGAACCCTTAAAGAAGGCGATTTGTGAGAAGTCAGGTAAAGATAAATCAGAGGATATCATATATACTTACTGTATTAACGATCAAGTGTCAATTGATAGGAAATCACAGGTAGGCAAACAGTTCAATATTTACTCAAATAAGTCAGAAATCGATACATGGCCTTATGCTATGTAATATTTTCTTATGATAAACAATCAATTCCTCAAGTATATGAGAAGTCGTAATTTGACGATAAACTAGCTCCTTGTTTAAATTCTTAAAAATTCTCGATAACAATTTTTATATCATAAAACAGCTAGTAATTAATGTTAAAGTCAGTTGGGTGTCAGGCTGACTTTTATAGAAGTTTAAATAATGACATTTGTAAGAAAATATACTTTGGAGTAAACTTTACAATGCTTTTGATTTTATCTTAGAATTCTTGTAAATATGACCAGGAATAGCGTTCATTCACTTTAGCTTATTCAGAATATGTTTGTAATGTAACAATAGATTGGGTGTTCCATATCAAGTTCACACTAGTGCTACATACTTCAATTTTTGGGTAGAAAACTAGCTTTACAATCTTTTTGGGCACTGACCTTGAGGATATACAAACCAAGAAAATCATTGTTAAAGATCTTTGACGTAAATTTCTAAAAGTTACTTTACTGACAGAAAAACAACTTTGTTTTGATATACTATTATGTATTTAATGGGTAAAAGCAGCTTGGGATCATAATTGAAAAAAATGATTCTTTGATATATTCATTAAACACACAATTACAGGGTTCAATATCACCTTAAGTTTTGGCATTCCAAACAAAAATGACGTATGTATAACATGTTGAATGCTAAACAAGATTGGTGCATATTGGCATATTTTTCAAAATAATTTGAAAACAAAATTGTTATTTTTCTGTGTTTCGCTGAATGCAAAAGAATAAGTTAGATTTAGGTAGCTATTTTACAGACATCTAGTTTATTACAATAAGAATTTCAGTCTGCCTATGAAGCAAATAAAATTAGGTCTTTTTTTATTCAGACATAAAAAGTGCAGTAGAACTTTTGTGTTTTTCACGAACATTAAGAGACCTTGATTTGTATAAATATCAGATAACAAAACCCTGAATACAAGTAGGAATTGGATTGCGGTATTTCAAAGACCGGTTTTCAACTCATCTATTGTTGTATGACATGCGATTACAATAATATTACAATAAGAGTGAAGGTCAAAATGCCCTTCAATTGCTGGTTCAATGGATGTCTAGGGAGTGTCAATTACTTTTATTTTTAAGTCTACAAGAATTTAACACAGTCGTAAAATCAAAATATGCCAAAAGAATATAGTTAAAAAAGCATAAAATTAACATTTTGGCGACCTATAAATAGTGTGAGGAATTTACTAGTTCTTGTATTGGATAATTAAACCTCTGCTACAGTTTAGTGCAAAGTTCCAAGTTAATAATAAAAAATTGACTCAATTTGACCTGTATCTTAGGGGCTTGCATGAAACTGTGATACCGCCTTATTGAAAAATGTATGAGGTTGAATAAGATATGGTTTATTTTCGTAATATATAGTCTAACTGATATTCATTTACATTTAAAAATTCCAATAAGAGCCTATAACAAGCACATAAAGATCGTTAAGATCCTATCTGAATAAAAACAGTGAAATCATTTGAAGTGAGGGTAATGTGACTAGCCAATGGGAATCAGGGTACTATTTAACATGTAAGGCCATTCAAAGTTAATTATATGATTGACATCCAGACAAAAGACTTAATCTTAGGAGGGCGAGAGGCAAAAAATGAAATTAAAAAAAAAACAAATCTTTATTTATTGTATTACTTCTATTATCCACATTATCCAATTGTAAAATACATAGATTATTTGATAAGGTGATACACCCTTAGAGTTCAGATAACTTTTTACTGAAGGCAAACATATCTTTAACTTTGAGTGGCCTAAGGGTTACAGTAGGGTGCTCATCCAGTTAAACAGCATCTTCAAATATAAACAGATAAATAATGAACCTGAACTGGATATCAACAAATAGCAGAGAACCAATACAGAGGCTGGATTCCTCAGCGAAATATGAAGAACATAACAGGCAGAACCTTCATACAAAATGAATGTTATGTATACGTTCAGCAACACCATGTTCTATACACCAGCAGGCTTGAAGGATATACAGATAGCTTATTTCCTTTGGAGTTATTTCATTTAAAATCACTGGAATATTCGACATCATAAACATTCACAAGCTAGCTGGATTAATCTAAAGTAATCGGGAAAAATTGAAAGAGGATATTTTAGATAGGCTGAATTCATTCACTGGTGCAAGCCACTTTAAATAAGATAATCTTAGGGTCATTATAATACTGATGTAACTCTATATCAGTTATAAATTCAAAGTAAATAATATTTTACTTCTGAAATTGAATACTGGAAGAGTAATGATCGTGAATATATAATTGGAATCAAGCATATGAAGCATTAAGATCAGTAAATATTTTAAGGATGTTAAAACATAAGCCGACAAGCAGGGCTAAAAATGTTCCATAAACAACTAGATCACAGTGTGTTCTTCTGTTTATATTTTGATTTAGTAATCTAAAAGGATACACGAAAGTTACAATGGAGACCATATATGAAACAACTGTTGGTAAGTGTAGTACATTAGAGAACAGACCAGTACATTAACATGTTAAACAGCAGTTAGGTATTTAGCACCACTGATGGAGATCTGGCAGACATTTGTAGACAGAACAAATAGACTTATCAGCTGTTTTGGCCATGTTTTGCGATCATCGTTTATCATCATAAAAAGTCATCATTTGTGTTCATCATGAGAGGTCATCTTGGAAATCCATACATGTATTTGAAATTCATCAATTCTATAATCGTCACAAAAAATCATGATGTCTTGAAAAAAATAATTTACCATGAATTATCAACATTTCTTTTCACATTGTAATTGTCATATTATTTTATGTAATATCAATCGGCAATTGCACAACATAATTCGTAGGAATAAACATATAAGGCAAAAACTCAAGATTGGCATTTCCTGGCTTAGTTCCTGTATTATTACCAACTCCCTACCCTCAGTCTGCTCTTTCTGAGAGTTTCATTTCTAGCCTCTGAGATTCAAGGTGTCCTGGAAGGGATGAGTATGACTAGAGACCAATTATGATTAAAACAGACATAGACACCCTTAATACACACAAAAACAGAGGGCAACTAGTACATATATCTTCATGTCAGTAGTCTAAAATAAGTAATTTAGAAAATGATGTTTAGTACTCACCATATGTAAGGTCAAGTGGCAAGATTTCTGCATACAGTGTATATCTAATGTGAAAGGGGAATTCTTGTTCATGTGGGTATAATAGAGGGTATTATGTCATCTATATGTCTGAACAAGAGGGCATTATATCATACAGAGGGCATCATGTCATTTATCAGCTTGAAGATATTCTAAAATAAAAATTGCATACTAAATTCTTCAGAGTTATTGCTAATGCTAGACATGATATATTATTGTTATTGTTCATTAAATGAGGAATTATCCAGTAATTGAGCAGTAGCTGAGTTAATTGAGTTTCTGAAAGCAGATGTATAAAGGATGTTGTATCTACTACAACTTGGAAACATTTACATTCATGTAGTTTTAGTTGCACATTATGATATTTAAAAAATTAAGAAAATAGTCAAATTTATCAGATATCCAAGTAATTTTTTTCAAATGCGTTCATTTTGTTTAGCATCCATGCATGCTTTGGTGAGTTAAAAATCCTTATAGTCATCTCAAATCATCTGGGGTCTGTACTGCATTCACCGTTTGTCATGTTTATTTTTGGTAGTTACCATTGCATATAGCAGAGCATGCTCTGGAACATTATACTGTTATAGCCAGTGGTTGAATTGCCAGAAATACCAACATTTCTCTCATTCCTCTTCCTGTAGAACATTTCTATGTTGAAAGCTTGTTTCATGGTATTACCTAATTAACAGGGGTAATTTCAGGAACTCCATTTTGCATTTACTACTTGTAGGGATGGGGGGGGGGGGGGGGGGGTAGGGTGCTCAGAGCTCACGATATGCAATTTAGTTTGTATGTAGACTTGTTTATTTTTTTGAGACTACAAGTCAAATACTATGGACAAGGTACCATATTCTGTATTATCAGAGCTCCTCTCTATAGTATCTAATGCTGGAGAGGAACATTACAAGCTGTAGATAATGAAAACCAGTTTTCTGTAATTTTTACTTAGAGCTATTTAACACTGATTAAGAAATATAGACCAAAGAGCAGGGTTTCTAGTTTCGAATAACACCCAGCTGGTCTCGGCACAAATGTTTTCTGTACCCCGAACAACCGAAGGGAGTGAGGGGTTCGAAAGCTTTGTGCCGAGACCAGCGGCGTGTTATTCGAAACTAGTAACCCTGCTCTGAGGTCTATATTACGATTCGAACATGAAAATTCACCAAATTGTTTCGAATAATTCATCATGATCCGCCATTACTACTACCCACCGTTATGACGTCACACATTACACGTATTAACTGGGTTATTATACTCGAATATAACCCAGCTGAAGCATTGACTTTGATTACAGTTTATAGAAGGCGTGAATACAGTCATGTTCGAATATAGCATAACGCCAGTTTGCTGAAAATAGTTAAAACATACATATACAACTTGTCTGATGGCTTTTATTTAGTGTGCACCAGCTGTATATAGAATGGACAGATTCAGCAATTATGAGTTTACATAACAGCTAAAGCTACCAGTTTATATCAGTCGGTAGGTTATATTGGCAGAGACCTGTGTGAGATGTTGAAATGTTGGAATCTCTCTCCATGTTTACAGCTGTTGCTTGTATAAGGTCATGGAGGCCAAACACCATTGGAACATACACAAACCAATGTTCCTCTTATTCTTGAGATAAAGCCTTGTAAAATGGTAGATTGTGTTATCCACTCTGAAAATGAAAAAAAAAAAAAAATCATTTATTCAATTTAAGCATATGTTATCATACGAAACCAAAAGTATGAAGATTGTGGAGAATAGTTGTATGTTCGTGTTGGCATGGTTACTAATTATGACATCAAAAACATTCCAAAGGTGTATTTGATTCCATTATTTATGATTATGAATTTTAAAAACATTAGATAGATCAGATGAAGCTCTCTTTTAAGGAATCAAAATCAAATTGATATCACTAAACATAATGTTTATGTTTACAGATGAGGATAAGGACATTGATACACTGAAGAAGGGTACTCCACTTTACGGACAGCCATCCTGGTGGGGCGAGGGAGACATTGATAAAGAACCAACAAGAGACACCAAAGATGATGTCATAAATGCCAATGGTAAGTTACAACAAGTTTTTCTCATGCCCATTGATATTTAAAGATGGTGTCTCATGTTTGTTTTTTTTTCATGTTATTGATTTATTTCAAATAATAACATAGATGTACAAAGTCAGCTGATTGCCAAAGTTTTGCAACATTAGCGGCAATTAAATAAATGTATGTATGTTTTCATGACAGTGCATGATAAAAAGTTATAAAAAGTGATAAGATTTTTAAATGTATTTGCCCTAGGGTACAGATAAACAGCGTCTTATATTACCAATTGTATTACACTCAAATCAATCAGTTGTTATTTTTTTTCAACTTGAAGTGTTAAAATTATTTCTTTATTTGCTTATTCTATGAGTTATTCATTTTTCTGGTGAACAGAGACTTGGTAGGGGACATCAGTTGTGTCATGTGTTATGCTTTAATATTGCAGTAGATACCAATAACATTGAGAGGCCATCTAGTCTCACCCTGGATAACAAGTCCAACTCTGCGCATGATCAAGACTCTAAGTACCAAACTATATCTATGGACATTCCACAAAAGGACTCTTTAGACACGCCAGAGAGGGCAAAATACAGAGGAACCCCACCAGAGAGAGACAATATATCTAGAGACAGCTTAGGCTCAAGCTCAGCCAGTGAGGGGTCTAAGCCCAACACAAGCATGCCTGGCACCCCTGCTAAAACAATGGACTCTACTATGTCAAAATCAGAACCAGCAGAGCCACCTTTAGAGCATGTTGAGCATCAACCAATGGCGTTTACAGTCGATTTAGGCGAGGAGGACACGAAGAACCCAAGGTTGTCTATGGGGGAAGGAGTCAGTGCTTTTCTACCCAGTAAAGTAAGAAGGAGTCTTAGGGAAAAGAAAACCAAGAAGGAGAAAGATGTAAGTGCTTTTGTCTTAGACCGTACTGATCTAGTCTAGCTACAAGCCCTTGTGATCCCCCACTCCACACCTCTCAGGCCCATAACCAGGGGGGTTTGGGGGTTCTTTCAAAATCATGCAGTTTTTCATCATTCTGGGCACTTTTTAAGTGATTTAGGCATTTTTTTGGCCAAATATGTTAAATGTGAACAGCCTGAAATTTTTAAAAAGTGAACCCCCCTTGGCAAAAGCTGGCTATGGGCCTGCCTCTCACAATATTGTGATGTGTTGGTGAAGTAGATAAGGAGGGGGGGGTCCACACTCTTGAAGCAAGACTTCTTCTGATCATGTATTGAAATTTGATTGACAGCTCACCTTAAATTACCTCAGTATAATTAATATGTGCTGTATTATTAAAGAAAACATCTCTCTAATTAAATAGAAAATTGGATTAGAAAACTTCAAAATGAATCAATCGGGAGTTTGAATTTGTTCAAAGCATTCAATTCCCTGGCTTCATATCAGGCAAATCAAATTGACAAATTCTAAGAGAAAGAGACTGCGCAATTGTAGAATATACTAATATTATTACACGAAATGTTAGATTTTTGTGCCTGGTTATATTCAAACAATATATATTGAATTATGATTGACAGCACACCTTGAAATTAATATTTACCTTGAAAATTATCTATCTAATTAAAAAATAAGTTGTATAAGAAAATATCAAAATGAATCAATCTTGAGTTTGAAAAGTTTCAAAGATTTCATTCTTTGACTTCATATCTGATGCATCAAATTGAGAAAGTCTTAATAGAAGGAGACTGGAAAATTAAATGTTTTTTTATACAAGGTACCTTTGTCCTAGTTCAATGCCAATGTTATTATATTTTAAATTAACCCCTTCGTTTATTTGTTGTTTGTTGTTAACCGTTTAATTCAATGAAATTCCAGCCTTATAATTATATTTTCTCTCACAATAAATGTGTAAGAGATAATTAAATTTTTATTTTCTACTGTCTAAGCACACGTCAACCGCATTAAGATATTTATCATAACAGGTCTCTAATAAATATATCAGGAATGTGGGATCGATTTCAGTTTTTTATTATATTTGAACGTTGCAAAAAAGAATGTAATGTTCTTACGCCCTTTCTAATGTAATTGAGTGTAAATTGGGGTGCATAAATTGGGATGCATATTTCACGAATGTTCTTTCAAAAGAATCACTTAAAATCTTATTTGTGGTCTGTCATGGGAATGTGCATTCTAAGTGCAATAACATTTTCTGCTCTGAGCGTGTCGTGTCGTGACATGATTATCATATGTAATAAACACCCTCAGCTCTTGCATGTTCATTTCAGTGCTCTCCGAAAATCGTCTTTGTATTAAAGAATAGTGAATTTTCACGAATGTTTACTTTCAATAGATATTTACAGAAACTTGATATTGGTGAAATCTTTTTGAAGACTTTATAGTTGTCGAATAAAAGATTCCACCAAAGGCGCTGAACAACATGCAAAACATATTATTCTTTTGAATAGCTAGTTTGATTTACAATAATAAAAGCATAATGGTGCTTGTATAGCTAGACGGTATTGGGGAAGTAGAATGAGTTATTGGGTACAACCACCTGATGTGGACTATGTTCATTCTATTACAGGGCACTTCATACAACGTAACTCAAAAAGTGCATCTTGAATGTGATTTTTTCTGTCTTGGGGGCAATTTTATACTCTAAGATATAAACACGCAAAGTATTTCCTTTACATTAAAAATATTCTTGAAAGGACTAATAACATCACATTTGTGTGTGGTACACATTGGACACAGAGGATAAATGCACACAGTGTATATTAAAAAAGTTCAAATTATGAAGTTAATCCCAGTTAATTATCAACCTTATATATTTCAACAGGCTACGAGGGAAATCTCTCCAGTGGAACAAGCAAAACTAACAGAATTATGGGACTCTGCAAATTATTCCGGTGCTTTGAAAGGTGCTAAAAAGAAGTCTAAATCCAGTGGTCACGTTTCTGATGGGAACATGGAAAATGGGTCAGACCATGATGATGAGGATACGAAGCGACCAAAAGGCAAGAAATGTGGTAAGTACTAAGTCGCTCATATTCAGTCCAACTCTCATGGAAGAAGGGGGGGGGGTTATATGATAAGATTCAGTGTGGTAGATTATTTTCTGATAATGAATGTATTGTTTATTTTTCTAAATACATATTTGGTGGCATTGTATAATTGTTTTTATAATATGCATGGTGTTTTTTACTTTATAAGGCATGTTCTATTCTCTTGTTTATGTACTTTATGTACTAATTTCTGTTGTGAATGTATTTGTATGCATATGCATGGTTACTGTATTAGAATCTATATCTGTGATTAGTTCCTATTTATCATTGTTGATTCTTAACTGAAACTCTTCGAGAATTTTTCAATTACCTTTATTCTGTAAATTCTTCTTAGATTTGGATGGTAGGATCTCCGTTAAATCTTGGTCAGGAGTTTATTTTACTGACCACGAAGGTAACCATAGTAACTAAAAACAACAGACTCATCCATGCATAACACATGAGTTTACTTAATGAAGGAGAGCTTAAATATACAATTGATAACAACAGTCGAAAATTAATATCAAACATAATTTCAAAATAATATAAATGTAGAAAGAACTTGCATGCATAACATAAACCAGTCAAAGCTCATTAAAAATTAATTTATATTAATTATGCTAAAACTGGACCTCATAGATCGTTACAATTATAACTTAAGAAATGGAATAAAATACTTTTTACATAGCAATACATACGAAAGTGCCTTAGGGCTATAGGCATTTGATCACAAATTTCATTCACACTTTAAATTACCAAGACATATACACACTTTAAATTATCTAGACATGTTCACACTTTAAATTACCTAGACATGTTCACACTTTAAATTACCTAGACATGTTCACACTTTAAATTACCTAGACATGTTCACACTTTAAATTACCTAGACATGTTCACACTTTAAATTACCTAGACATATCCACACTTTAAATTACCTAGACATGTTCACCTAATCATATGCGAAATATATTTTGTCTAGTCATATAAAATGTAGTGAAATTCATTACTGAGTGGAGGTGTCAAATCTTATTTCATTTATCATTCAACACTTTCATTTTGAGATATTCAATTCAAATCTATTCAGTTGAATTCATAACCATATTAACGGAACACTAATTTCATTTCGGCACTTTGAGTATTTAACTTTGTGGTAAAGAATTTTAAAGAAATCGTTTCGTATAATATTATTCAAGCTTCAGTACTTAGTGAAATAAGATATACAGTATTTATGATGTCAGATATCTTAACTGGTCCTTACCTAGAAAATGCTTGTATGGTGTCAGCGTCAGGTCTATTAGTTTATCCATGATCTGGGTCAAAGACCAGTGAATTTTAACGCAAACCAGCTCATACTTGTTGGTACTATCGAAATATTATTCATTAGAACATAATACACACTTACCTACATATACATTTTAATACCGATCTATATTTTTAACAGATACCTGGGAATTTGTTCAAAACTAGTATAAAAATTGATTATAGAATTACAGGATGTTCAGGATATAGGGGTTATCCTGAGTCCAATATATTATACTCAAACACGTCCAAGTATTGGACAGACACACCTTTCACACTTTCTAAATATTATCAAAGTTGTTGATTTATTTTTCTGATATGTCAATTTGAATATTGCCTTGTTCTAGAAATCTGGGAGGAATACTTAAAGACTCAATCTTGGTCTAACTTACTTAAAGGTAGTAATCAAGCTCATTTATAGATGGCATTACTATAGCTGCTCACATGCTTTATTACAACATAGTCTTGCAAAATCAAACAGAGGCGTCAACTTTCTCGAAGGAATATCTCTGAGTTGATCTATAACTTTCAAATTAATAATGTGATTACAATATGTCTATTTATTTATTTTGGTTTAGAAAAGGGGTTTAAGGAATGCCAAACATTAATATTTTGATGGGGGATGATTGAAAATTGATAATTATAGAGACCACACATATACATAATGTACACAGTGTATCTCCTGATATAAAAAACTAAAGTGGAAACAGATGAAAGTTGAAGCCTCTTTTCTCATGATGTAAGCTTAACATGCAAAAGATGCAATTTTTCCATGTCAAATTAATAAACTAGACCGCTACCAGCAGAACTTTTCTTTATAATTACTGTATTTCATCTGTGGCTATAGTGTATTGAATTATATATGATGCTTCCTATCTACATACTGCCTAACAAAACAATGCTGTCCTTCTTTATTTTACGTATATGTTTATAGATATTTTGTGCTAAACTAAGTGCTATATTCATAGTATATTTAAATTCTGACAAATGCACCATATTTTATTTCTTCACCAATAAATATAGATTATCTCTATGTTTAAATATTTCTAGTTAAAATTGCACTTTTTCTATCTGTGACTCCATTCTGTATTCTTTGTTCTTTAGTTTTCATGTTTGTTTTTATTTGTTTAGATGTTTTTGTTCACGTTTATTGTCTGTGGTTGCACCATATTGTGGAGTTGGTGTCTCATACATTTACAAGTGTATGAAAGTTTATTGTTTGATATTCATTGGAAAATCAATGAAATAAAAAGAAACTTAAATATATAGTTAATGTCAGTACTTTACTGAAAAAACATAATTGTATCTCAAATTAATGAGATGTTTTAATTATCCTATGATACAAGAAACATTATTACATCGAAAATATATTTCTTGTTAGTCCTGTCTAATAATTAATCATCTCAGAAATTATTGGTTTCCTTTCAGATATAGGAAGAGACATGCCACAACCCAAAGTCAGCCAAGGTCAACCTAAATCAACTAAAACCAGAACAAATGAGGCCATCCAAAGCACAACCTCATCTAGCACTGACTTTCTTATAAATAAGATGTTTGAAAGTTCAAACAATAGAATAACTGCCCCAACTAGTAAAGAGCAGCCAACGGAGTATTCTCTTTACTCTGAAGCTAAGGACTATGACAACCAAAAAGCAGCCACACTCCCTCGGGCTAAAAAATCTCGCAGTAAATCTCCCCGTTGTGAACACTCTGTCGCTCATCAGGACAACACTGTTGCTGATGATATCGATAAAACCAGTGAGGCTGGTACATATACAATTGATCAAGATTTGAAAGATCAAAAAGAAGTGAATGACGCTAGATCAAGTATCGATAAATATTTCAATGTAAATCCAGATGATGAAGACATTGATGTTACCATTCCTATGTATAGACCTCCTGTTGAAGGTCATGAACATGAAAAAGAGGCTGACCTTGAAAGGTTAGAGTCCAAGAGGTCAGCAGGGGTCATAGAAAGTATGGAGGCTGAAGTGGGCAGTGCAGTAAATGGATATTCACAAGAGGTAACATAGTTTATTACTCTATTCGGTATTGTCTATGTATATTGTTCATGCTACATATGTGTACTCCAAAGCACAAATAATAGTGCCTCACTCAAAACAAAGTTGTTTGTTCCAAGGTTTGTATGGGAAGTTGAGGCATTTTGATCACTCAATGTTTGAAATTAATACATAGGTGGAACATTATGATCAAAATGATATTGACGAATGACAGAGTAGTGAAGGAAATTTTGAAATCATTATATTAAACTGTCAATTAATTTATTGATGGTTTCTTTATGTATATCCTCATTTGACATTATGTTATAGTTTAGCCTAATGAGAAAATCAAACAAATGACTTCAATTTTTGAATTGAATTCTTAATTAGAATTCATAAAAGAATTCCACAAGTGTCTTTGGAATTAAAATTTCTTCCCTGTGTTAAATATATACACATAGTATGTAACACATGTCAGAATCCATCAATCCATTTCTAAGGTAAACAGATTTTTGTTGAATAAATTATATTCTTTAAAGAATCCTTCCATGTAAAGGAATTTTTAAAGCGTAAAATAACATCTGAGCGTGTAATTGAGATTCCAAATCAATAAAAAGTAGAAAAGCCATGCCCATTAGCGAACATAAATATTAAAGTACTACTTATCCATTTTATATTTTCTTTGCTTATTTACATTATTAATAGAGGTGATTACAATAGAAAGGAGAATTATCATTATTTAAAGTCACGCTGATTGCAGCATATTGTCATATCATTCATAATTTTCATTTCACTTGCGTTTGATAAAAGACACGAATTTCATACTACAATACAGTTAAGTGGGTCTTACTTAATTCTCTAAATAAATATGAAACATTGTGTAACATATTCTTCGGAATCCAATTTAGGTTTGTATCCTAACATCAATATCAGTCTCAGAAAAAACTCACTGACTCGAATGTAATTTCTACGCATTGCAAAAATTTAATGAATCATAGTTTTGATAAGACGTGTTTTACAATATATGTGAGGGCTGATACAACATATGTTGTAGAAATCAATATTAACTACTGCTTTATATTCACGAACTATGTACAAGCATTTCAGTCCAGGTTAATTGGCGTATTGGAGTTAATAATTGTGCTTAAAACAATACATGAAAATAGGATCGTTTCTGGAACAAGGATACATGAGAAAAGATCGGGAAGATTTATCGATGCAATTTGCAAAATCAGTAAATCCCAAAAATTCATTAGAATATGAATGATATGATATTGCAAGAAGGATTCATTGTCTATGTACGTTGAATCAACAGTTGGAAAGGCGAAAGTAACGCAAGATAGGAATGCACAAAATAGTAGGGAATCGTATGATTAATTTATCTTCCCAGAATTCTCTGATGTATTCAACAAATGGCAACTTTCTCACGGGCGTCATCTCTCCGTATTTCAAAAAACAATATATTTTTCAAGGTAAGAGGGCTTAAAAAAACATTCATACAAGTTCTTTATATTCATACAATAGATAAGTAGAATGAACGCAACACTACTCATTCCGAAGAAACGGATGGGAGGCAAGCAACACAAAAGAGCTTCAAATTAAGACTAGACTCTATTTAACAGAGAATGATTTATCAATTTTAATTTTGATGTATGTAGCCAGGTTTATATGGATATGCTAAAACAAAACATGATAAATTGAATTTTATATCGATACAGATGTATACTTTTGCCATTGACATCATACAATAGCAGAGTAAACATAGGGCTGACACTTACTGTCAGACTGTTGATTTTAATTGAATTTTGCTTATGAACAGTTACAAGCATTGAACGTATCATAAATCATTTGAAAGACCACCCGAAGTTGAAATTTAGATTTGTAAAAAATCAACCTTCAAAATGGCTATGTAAACATTGAGAGATTATGACAACGTGCTATTATTGTTGAAAAATTGAAAATGACAAAAAATGGAATATTTTGATATTACAATGAAGAATTGAATTTACCATTTCTTTCTGTATAATAATAGATATACCTCCATATTGGAATAGACTAGATCTCAAGGTCCAAAATAGAAATGAATAATTTCCAGTTGTTATTGCATCAAATGTTAATGATTAACAGCAATATGTCGCCATAGAAACGAGCAATGAGAAGAAAAAACAAATAAATTTGGACGCATTTGAGTTTATTATATCATTCATACAATTTGAGTGGTTATCATGACACCAAAGATACACACATTTCATAGCTCCCTTTTTATAAAGAACTAGATGCTTGAAAAACTATCCTATCCGTCAAAAATGCCCTTCATCACACTTTAAGCCATATGATAATTTTTATGAAAAATATTAGCTATCTTAGATCTAATGGCCACTCTAAAGTAAATTAAAATCACTTTGAATAAATGAGAAATATATATACATTTTTAAGGATAATAACGAGTGAAATAAAAAACATGTTATGTAGTTGTTACATCAGCGTTACACATTACAACCATAAATATGCATCAGTATGTCGAATTTTTCTGAACTCATTTTTGGAAAGGAAAAAAATGTCTCTTGTAAAGTATGTTAATTCACACCCGAGGTCCTATAGCAATCCCATGATTCAATGCTGCATACTCTTGTATTCACCATTTCAATTTGTCAATGTCATGTCACATGTCAAATCAGTGTTATATTAGGAAAGCTTCATCATATGCCAGTTAATTAATTAGGTAATCATCTACATGTATGTGCCTCTATTATTATCAAGCAGTACATATTTAGTACATGGTTATGACATATGGAATAACACAGTTACGAAATGTGGTATTTTCATGTTCCATATTGAGGGAGGTTGACATTGCGGTATGTTGGATGAAGTCAAATCCGTATAACATGTACATATATAATTAATATATATATGAACTTAACATGTACTGATTTGATTTCAAATAATGATTGAAATATAAGATTGGATGTGAGGAGGTATCTACTATTTTAGGTTGAAAATAATTGATATCAGCTTGTGACAATATTATGATAATGTTGTGTAAGTTTTAAGACAGAGTCTTGGGGATAAAGACTGCATACGTATATTCATAAACATTGCATATTACATATAAGGTAATGTATAATAAAAATTTCATTGATGTATTATTGTTGTGTTATTGCAGAATGAGCCTACCAAGTTGTCTTCAGATGCCCCTAAATGGGTTACGCAGTGGGCCTCCCTAGCAGGCCAGAAACCCCCCAAGCCACCACAGTCTGGGAGTCCCATTGGAGGCCGCAGAGTTGGAGAAAGAGGTATGTTATTATGCTTATTTATTTGCAAGAATAACATGTGCTTGTAATCATGAAAAACATCATTTCTGTAACTGTTCCAATATGAGTTATTTTTTACCATACAGCATCTTTAAATTCTTTATATTGTGTTGCTATTTATGGGATGTTTTATGGCTCTTTAATATACCTTATTTGTATATTTATCTAATTTCATTTATGATGTAGAATCGTTGTATAGATCGATAATATTTCAAACATTTTATGTAGATTCATTTGATTCTGATTTTAAAGACCAGGATAAATATACAATATTCTCTTAATAATCTCTTTCTGGGTAATATGCCTTTGTGATGTCATATACCTCTGGAATCAATCATCGCATTCCATTCCCGAAATCTTTACGCGATGCCTTGACATAATTGTTTTTCATTGTTCTGAGCTTGGACTAGAAAAACAATTTTATAGATCATTTATGTAATCGGACACCAATTAATCCATCGTCTTTTCATCAGATTCATTATCTGCTTACATAGTACATTAACCATCAAAGCAATTGTTTACAATATAAACAGAGTAAATTCTTTCTTATTGTTGCCTTCCCCATGTTATCAGATTCAAAATACAAAAATCAATCACACATTAAGAGAGTGAGTAATCCTAAAAACCCTGTCTACAACTGGTCAAATAGCTAAACATATATAATGAATACATTAAAAATGATTTGTATGTTTAAATATGTTAAAGTGATCAGACATAGTCAGATATTAGAGAGTTTAAGCTAGCACTGTTTTTCACAACCTAAACACCAACGTAAGTTATTTAAGCGATGCATTTGTATGGGCGATTGGTCATATGTATTGGTTGGCGTTTCGATTTTATATGCAAGCTTAAACTCCCTATTCACAGTGTCTACACGTGTACTCTTAAAGTCTACATGGATGATTTCTTTTTTCATTCAAATTAAAATCTTTGTCATTGTTTGACCACTATGCCTGGGAGACTAATGTGATTATGAGTCAATAAAGGAAATATAAAAATACATTGGGTGGAACATTGCTTATGAAAATAAGATTTATTATGTTAGATAATAGGGGCGAAAAGTATGTTGTACGTAGATTTCCTATGATGTTTTGTGGATTTAGGGGTGTTAAAGTATTTTAAGTGTGCCATGTGCATGTGGCCTACGTCAAACTATAGAAAACTGATCTTACCATGCAAATGGATTATAAATGCCTAAATCCTGTTATGTCAATAGTCTAATGGAGTATATTCTTGTTTATTATCAAATATTACAAGAATGAACATAAGCTCAACAAATAACTGGCGGATATTTTTCCGAATTATAGATTTTACTGGACACTTAGGGAAAGTAACACAGAAGCTAACAGCTATATTTGATCTGTGTGTTTTATTAGGAACATTGGAATTCTGAATGATTTACTTTGGCTAGATAATAAAAAAAATTGAAAATAATTTCTCAGTACATTGGAATACATGCGGTTTATTCGGTACAAAGTTGACAAGCAGTTCACGAGGAAAAAAATTGCATTTGTTTAACTAAAACACAGAATAAATGAAGAACACAGTTTTAAAACTTGAATAGAACTCGTCATTTTGAGATTAAGAATTCAGGAGATTTTGTGATTGGCAAAAAAAGCTTTAAAAAATATGAATGATATCTGTCTCGTTTAAAATAAGAACAGGACATATCAGAACAGACTGTCATTGAAGACATATTTATCAAGTCAGCTGTCTGAACATCAGAAATTAAATTGGAAAATACCCTGGATTTTTTATGACAAGAATCTGTATACGAAGGACATAAAAATAACTGGCGGGCTCCTGAAAAGACTATTTAATAAAAAACAAGTACTGTATTGAACTATTTAGGATAATTAGTTTGAATCATGAGATACCTGGGACTGCTTCAAGGTAATATATTCTCTCGGGAATGAGACTTATTTTGTTAAACATGATAAATTGCTGTTCTGTTTTGTGTAATTCTATTGTTTGAGTATGTTTTTTGTTGTTGTTATTTTACATGTATATCATATTGGTTTAAGCATCAATAACATATAAAATGAAAAGCTTTTCAAAAGTCATTTAATTTGACGATGGTGTTCCTTCGTAAAACCTTGTCAAATTATTCGGCTTATTCCAGACATTTTGCCTCTATTCTTAAATATTCACAAACATGCGAAAATCCTGTCTAATATACGTCATCAGTCAATTCAACCAGAAATTCATTATTTATATTTGTGATTTAACCAAATCAACTTGTTCTTGTTATGATAAATATAAGTATGTCTCCATAATGTTGAGAAAGGGCATGGTCAAAAATTCACGCCATGGGGTCATATTTCATTTATAACATTGGTAATTGTCCACTAAGCTTAAGGGTGAAAGACCAGCCCTGTAGGCAAAACATTGTTCCTTTCTTCATATAGAATAAAATCCCAAATAAGATTTAAAAGTACAAATAGTTGAACAATGTGATTGGGTTAAAACTCCATAAACTCCATAATTCTTCCTGACTGTTTCTTTTTCACCCTTTTTAAAGGAAGCTCATTTTAAAGAATTGTATTATTAAGTGATGACATTGTTATAGTCTCCAACTTTTTTGTGGATGATGTTCAGTGATTGGTGTTCAGTGTTTGGCAGTTGGTGTTTGGTGTCTGTAACAAATGATAGGTGGTGACATTTTGCATGTTAATGACTTGTGTAAAGTTATATCCATAATTTTATGTGACTGGCATTTGGCAAATTTGTTTGTTGTGTTAATGCCTTCTTTATTATTATGTAACAATCTCTAATGAAACTCTTGTATATATTTACAGGTTCCACCGACAACTCCAGGCCTCTGAGGAAGTCTAAGTCAGGAGTTGCTTCAAGAAGACACGATACACAATCTCCAAGTTCAACTAGTCCAATCACAACTCCTAAAAGTGATATATTGAGCCCCAAAAGTGACAGTACTAAAAGTAGCGGGTCAACTCCGTCATCTAGAAGCAAGTATTCATTTGAGACCCAAAGTCCTGTAAGGGACATCGTAAAGGAATCCCGGGATTCAACCTTAAAGTCAAGGTCAAAGAGCCCAAGTGTTATTAGTGACGTTTTATCCACAGCACGATATGATGATGAAACCACCAAAAGTGCCCAAAACTTAGACAAACATTTTGACGTGATTGAAACATCAAGAAGTGTGGCGAGCCTGGATACACAGGTCCTCTTAAAGGACACCGAAGATGTTGTGGCAGCGCTTGCAAATAGACTATCATACTCAAGCCCTAAATTATCGAAATCAGCATCTGCGTCGGCGAAACGACGCAGCCAATATCGGAGCCAGGATATCAGTGATATGATTGGCTCTCCTGGATATAGTGGGGATTCTGATGAAACTGATGTATCAAGTACGACAGGAGTTGTCAACGGAGTTGATGAGCCAGCTCAACCTCCACCTGTCAGACATTCACCAAGAACTAGTAAACCCCCTGCTCATAAATCTACAAATGTTAAATCTAAAGAAAAAATTGTTAAAACACAAGGTGCTAAAACTGGACCAAGGAAAAGTCTTCCATCTTCATTAGAGGGCCTTGATGATGCTAGTTCAGATTTCAGTGAGGGTAGTCCAAGATTTGCCCGACGTAACTCGGGCACCAGCAGGGGAGTCAAGACCCCAGCGTCTATGGGGCTCAAAACCAATCGTGCCTTTGCTCTAAGAAAGGCACGATTAGAAGATGAAGGTACAACTGATACTCCCAGGTCAGAAATCTCTGATGTTTCCTCTGTGACAACATCCAGTGTGACGTCATCACGCGCCTCCACCAAGGCATCTAAATCACGTGCAAGACACAAGTCTCTCGGTGGCATAGTAGATGATGACAGGAGTATTCACACGCCACGTACAGACATTAGCCTTGGTGCAAAGATCGCTCAGAAAAGTCGTGATAATGCACGTAGCATGAACAGAGCAGATGGCGGGAGATTCAGTATGCGTGGAACTAAAACTAGTCTGGAATCAAGAGAAAACGATCTCAAGTCTGGTAGAACTCCACTACATCAGCGCACTACCAGTAAAACCACACCTAAATCCACTCCCAAGTCAGGCACCAATCCCCGAGCTGCTTCACCCCGTAGTGATGAATATAAAGCCTGGCAGAGAAGGAATAAATATGATGCAAGAAAAGCTGTTGCTGATGACAAAAATAAGAAGAAAAGTGAACGTACAAAGAAAATGAATCGATCGCAATCATTCACCACCCCAGAGGATCTACGCAGAAGAGGAAGTGATACGGCAGATGATATCTCTAGTGAGGACTTTAGTTACTATGATGACCATGAAAGGTCAAGGTCACCACATTCCAAAGAAATTGCCAAATTTAGTAGTGACTTGTCTCGAGACATTAGTTCATTGGCCAGTGATGTTCCTCTCGAACCTCCACAGGTATGTTGATATTCCCAAAACTTATATGTTGTAAATAATGATGTGTCATGAACATATATAAAAATTGAGTCAATATTTTGAATAAAATACCTGCAATGTTAAGTTGAATCTCTTGATTGATTTCATGCAAAATGTTGACTCTTTTTTGATATTGGTGAACATTCATTGTAGTTAAGTGTTTTTAGTGTTTGATGTGGTCCATAGAATAGTGTTCCGCAATGCATGGTATTGAATTTACCTGACACATTGACTACTAGTAATTCATTCTTTATTGTATCATCTTATTTTTGCACTTATTCAAAATATCATTTACAGTGTTTGAAACATTTTGTATAGATGTACATCCTACACTTGGTTGTTGTATATGTACCAGCACTGTTCTTAGACTTTATTGTGACATCACAATTACATTTCAGAAGATAGGTGGCATCTTAACTTCAAATCGGTCCGTGTTTAAGACCCCTTCTCCACAGCGTTCCCCGATATCACCTCGAGTGCGTAATGGGCCTGTGACAAGAGAAATAGATGGCAGCATCTGCAATAGGAGTCCCGCTGAGGTTTGTCTCCTACTGTTAACTTTAACTAAAAGGTGGCAGCTTTGCATGGTGGAGTAATTCCAGCCTAACTTGAATACAATAAAACCAAAACCTATTGTAAATTCGGGGAATCAGCTCTTTTTCAAGTTCTCTGGTCATCTCAGCCATTATGTAGAGGGGTATTATGTTATGGGGAGGCACTTAAGCAGTGCTTTATACAAGACTACATTAAGGGTCATTGGTCAAAGGGTCATCTAGTTGTACCAGTGTTGTGAATATTTGCATTTTGTCTATGTAATAGAATTGCTTCATGTTTCATAATATATGTCAAGTCTAGGATTATTTTTTGTTTTCTTTGTTTTGTTTAACATTGACTGCTTGTGTATAATCAATAAAAGCTTATCAATGTCACATCAGAGAAATGAATTTAATGTGAATATTTATTGATAAACATTCAGTGGAATATTCCTTGATTTCCAAAAAGGTTAATGTCGTTTTTTGTAGTTTGCACTTTATATTTAGTACAGTACATGTACATGTTTTATTTTGTGTGTTTCTAAAAGGGAGGTTAAGCTACAGCTACACATTGATAAGAGAACATGTACATGTATGTGAACATGTACATGATCCTGTGGAATTATTCTCCTCTAAGGATCATTTCATCCCTGAAGTATTTACTTGCCCTTTTGAGGACAGTATAAGTTCCCTAAAAAGCATGTAGCTTAATCTCCCTAATAATTCTTGTGAGTCCCATATGCATGTTCATAATGATGGAAATGTTGTTCTGTATTGTCTGTAGAGTTTTGACATTGCTCATCTTATCACAAAACATTGCATGCTGTCTTAAGAAAATCACTAAAGATTGTAGATATTATAATGATTTAAGAACTGACTTGAAGAAGTGACTTTGTAATCATACAAATAGTTTGCTCATACAAGGTTAAAATTGCTTTTTAAGCATGCATCGTAATAAAAATTAATTTTTTGTATTTTGCAGTCATATGACAGTGTGATGGTGTCTTCGATTTACCAGCTTTCGTTAAAACTCCGTGCAACTTCAGATAGGCTGATCGAGAAATTGAGGTTGGTATTTTTAGAATTCAATATTGAATACATTGATCTGATATGTTAATAGTACAGTAAAACCTGTCTGAATGGAACACTTCTTTGTAAAGGAAAACATCTCTCTATGGAAAAAATAATCCTCTATACAGGAGCAACTGTGAATATCGCCTGGTCTATTATGACATGTGACGTGGTTTTTGTTTTTTTCAATTTTAATTTATTTGTATTTCCTGAGAATAAATATATCCCATTGTTAAATCAATAACATTAGCAACAATGGTTTTAACCAGCTGTATGATTGCAAGCTTGGCAATATAAAGAAATATAACTATTTAATTCAAATTCATCCATTGGAATTCTATTAAAGGAAGTGAATGTTCACTCGCAGATCATTGGTGGAGAACTTTGAAACTGATTATCTAACAGCGAATGGGATTTATTAACTTTTATATAAGTGGAGAAAATAAGGCTCAGCATTTCTTTCATTTCACACTCTGTGATTGTTTTTCAGAGAAGACCGAGAGGTTAACGATCTCCCCTCTCCTATTGATGACCTCATCGACTCAATGGACGATATACCCGCAGCCAATCAGGAACTTGCTGGCATTGTAAAGCATCTACGCAGAGTGGAACATCATGTGAAAGGTATGGAGATTTTTTTTTTTTTTTATAGTATAAACTTTATTGAGGTAAAGTCAATACATTTTCGGCCACCAATCGCCATATTGGCATTATAGGTTGGCCATCACTTACATGTAAAAAATTAAGTATAGTATTTAGCTGTTTGAGGACGACTGTGCATCGAAGGGTATCCCAGGTACCAGAGGGGTTTGTGCCAAGTAGATGTGTAAAAAACAAAATAAATATATTATGAGTTCTCCAGGGCTTAGATGAGACCTCTTTGCTATGTCTTGTTGTCATGGAGAAAGTTGCTGACGATGATAAGAAGTTTACTTAATTCTGCTAAGGATAATGCCTCGTCACCATATAAGAGAAAATTAAGTTTATCATCCATGTTTGTTAGTTGGCTGATCTTATTATAGAAGTTATTGTTGACCTCTTCCATCAGGGCATGCCTATTAATTTGGCATAGAGGACACTTGAAAAATAAATGTTTTAGTGTTTCAGGTTTGCCGCAAGAACAATGAGCCGAGTCTATAAATGTAAATTGGTGTGCAAAAAGTCTTGCTTTCAAAAATAAGTCTACACGAGCTCTGTTGAGAGTGATTTCTTGAGACCTTGTTAAATTAATCAGGGACGTTGAACTGATTATTCTCTTGGGCAGAAAGTGTTTATTACTTTCTTTTTTGAACGATGGCAGGGAAAATTTTAAGGCATATTCTAAAAGAGGTTTAGGTAATTTGTTCCACAGTGATATTGCATTAGGAATAGGGGATTTAATAAATTGGGCAGTTGACCTTATAGGAATTTGGTATACTTCTGTATTGCTTGTTCTTCTGGTAGCTGGATTTTTGAATTCTTCAAATATTGAAGATACATAGGAGGGTACCTGGTTTAGGTATGGAGATTACCACAAGATTATATTAATGACACTAATGCCACAATGGTCAAAGGGAATAAGCTTGGCACCAGTCTGAGTGGTAATACATAGAAAAATTGATATGAAGCTATGAGCTATGATGTTTACTTTATGGTAGATGGTTTATGGGAAAAACAATGAACAATAAATTGAAGACTCCTGAAGATATTTACTTTTTTGTTGTTGAATATTTTGAACCCTATTTGACTTCTTAATGAGAGAAATCGGCCCATGAATTTACAATGTATTGATACAGTAAATGATTTGTAAAAAAATTGATTTGTCTTTTTATTAATTCCAGTAATTGACCGTACACTATACCCTGCTCCAGCAGGAAGTCCAAAAGCTGAGAGAAATGAACATAAGATGTACATACAAGAGATCAAGCGCATCAGGAATGAAATCGATGGATTTGAACCAATAGATAGCGCCAGGGGTGAACAATCTGATAGTGAGAGTGGAGACTTGGAGGGAAGTGAATTCTATTAAAGGAAGTGAATGTTCACTCGCAGATCATTGGTGGAGAACGTTGAAACTGATCATCTAACAGCGAATGGGATGAATTAATTATTATATAAGTGGAGAAAATAAACACTGATGATGAACATAAACAGTGATATTTCTAGCTCCATTTAGCCAGCTGATTGGGAAAATACAATATAAACACAGCAACATTTCGGGAGGTGAACAAGGCTTTGAAAAAATTGAGTTTTACAATATGGAATAATAATATTGCCATAAAAGATGAAGAGACACCTGGAACTTATGTATGATATACAAAAATGTATGAAAGATGAATGGTGTGATGCTAAAGTTGCATGGTATAAAAATGAAAATTGTATGGTATAAGGTGAAAGATCTCCAGAACCTTCAAAAGCAGTAATAATATAGAAAACTAATTTTAGGAAACATTTCTGTACAATAATACTGTAATGCTTACTGAGTATTCATAAAAGGCCAGTTTTGAAAGTGACATAATGTAAAATTTAAGAGACATGAAAATCTAATTGCTGAAGCTGAATTTGATGCAGGGTGCTTGAAATATTGTCAGTACATAACATGTGAAGCCGTTAATGTGTCTGTGGCTTTAAAATGGTGCATAACAAAATGATTTGGAGTCGTTTACTCTATTGATGTTGCATGGTACTCAACTCTGCCCTGCATTATTTGTATTGATCCTTTGCATATGCATTCTAATTTTTAACATTTAATAATTTTGTTTCCAAATAAGAACAAATTAGAAATTTTGTTTGTTAGTTTTTAATTTTCTCACTAATTTCTGATTCCAGTTTGAGAATTATTTGTTAGTTTACATATAGTTTATACAAAGTCTTTATATTTTGTTAACATCTAATTCAATTTACATTGTGAATATCACAACTGTAGAGAGAATAATGTGGTAAAAAGAAATTGGAAAAATAATTGAGATAAACATTAGTAGTTATAAATCTAGTATTGTTAACATTTAACAGAATTATTTTGGTGGTGTTCTCAAAATCATGTAGACTAGCAAAGTTATGTTCATTTTGTATCTAATCTTCTCCCATCCGCAAGTTCAAAATGGGAAAACAAATTTTATTATTCAATTTTGTTTTTCTAAAAAGCTACACAAATTACACATTTTTTTGTTGATGAGTCAAAGCACACACAGTGCTCTAAAATGTAAACAAATGTTATTTATTTGAATAAAATAAGCTTTAAAGCCATTTATCATTGTGTCTTTTTATTTATTTTTTATTCCAGTTATCTCTGACAGAATCATGACGACATCTTATCGAACAGATTGGCAATTATTTTATAGTAGACACGTGTATTGTAGCAGAAAAGCAAAGAAATATGACATGTGTATATTCTAAATTGCATTGAAATGACAGATAATTCTATAAATCATTCGAGAAAATAAGATTAATAGGTCTACCAGTAAACCTCACCAGACTGACATTTAAAATGGGAATAAGGGACTCCTTCGTGAGATTCGGTTGAAATTATAAAATCTCATTTGAGCAGCATTATTATTATGAACTTACAGTCTACAGCTCTGAGATCTCTGACAGACACCCACCCCCTCCCTTCTCTTTGGAGTCAAAACAAATTCAATCAATTTATCATACATTTAACAGATTTCTTAATGACAGATGTGCCATAGTCTCAACAACTATCTGGAATATTTCGATAAATACTTCATTTTAAACAAGGCATTGACATGCAAAATGTCCCACCTGCCATTTGTTACAGACACTGAACACCAACCGCCATCGACACAAAATGTTGGAGACTAGGCCTATAGAAATAACAAGCTATTTCAATTATTAAACCTCACAAAGAGTCGCACTGATATCAGATACCAATTTCAGACAGGTACCATTGTACCATGTTTTGTATCAAGTGATTGCTAATCGTGATGCATTTTATCATCTAAGCATTCACTAACCCTTTGCCATTTACTTTCAGTCTGCTAGATATCTTGATTGTTTATATGATTATCTATTTTATTGACCAAATTCATCTTTAGGCTTGCCAATCATCCTACAGCATAATATAGATGTATCAAGATGTGCTCCAAAGAATTATATTCTTAGACAGGACTTTATTTCATTGTATATTTCAAATGCTTGGACTGTTGGACAGCTATTACATACATATACATTTCATGATCTTGGCTATGCATCAAGCCTTTAGTGCCATTTATTTTACTACCCCATGTAGTAGCGTGTTATGAGTCGGGCACACTTATGGATTCATTTTGAATCATCCTTCAACTTTTCTAGTAGTTCTTGTTCTGTTAAGGTGAACCTACTGTCTCTCCAGATCCCCCTCAGTCTATCCAAAGTCTTAGCCAACTGGGGCCCCTTGGGAACACCAGCATTTATCAAAGAAAATCCATTCACTGGGAACTTCTTGGGTTCCCATGCTGTGAACTCCTCTAAAAGTTCCCCCTTTCCATGATATTTTATAAGTTCTGTTATTCTAGCCTTATTCTTTGGTTCCTTCCCTGCAGTGTCTATAAACAGATCTTGACAATGATTGAAAGGTTCGGATCCAAAGTCATCGTCTCTGTGTTTTATGGTGAACAGAGCAGTTCTGAGTTCATCATTGGAAATCTTGAGACGTTTATTTAGTGTGTATACCTGAAATGAGATTATTGTATTAATAGGAAGGGGAGCATAGAAACATAGAGGCTCTGGGGTTAATGATCATTTATCAAATTTACATTTAATTGTGCAGCAAGTGAATGTACATAACATGGAAAAGTAAGATTGAAACAACACTGCCATCTTTTTAATGTATGCTCCAGTAATAGATACCGTAACAAACCAGACCAAATTTATGCAATGGAAATTTTATAAAATAAACTGCAAAACTTTAGGAGTAATTTTAGTCAAAGCTGCTCTTATTTGGTACATAGACAAGTTGAAATGTAAAAATTTCTAAAAATTTCCAGCTACACCTAAACGGACCAATCAAACTACAAGACCCATACAAATTGGGCATGAAGAAATAGAATGGCATTTTCTTTCATAACTTCTACTCCTTTGTTTATACATTTACAAAGGCAAAGAACTTCCTGGAGTGTATTAACGAAACAAAGGCAAAGGAACTTCCTATGTCTGTACCTGTTCCTCAGTCTGTAGTAAGGCAGATAGTAATGTCATGTGACTTGGACTGAGTGCAATGGAGCGATCATAAACCTCTTTGAATTCTTCAACATTACAGGAGTCTGGGAGACCTACAAACAAGAGCGAAGCATGGTTAATACATTTAAATTACAAATACATACATAGTACAAGTATACACAATATATGTAATATGTAATATGGTATACATACACTGTACCTATTTGTAATAACAAAAGTGATCTACTCAAAATCTTTAGCACATCACAAGTCTGGGAGACCTACAATCGTATACAAGTATTGTAGATAAGAACACCACAATCCTGTATACGAGCCAAAATACCAAGATGAGCATTTTGTAAAGGTGTAGCTTAGGATCTTTTTGCTGTTTCTGGATTTTGATTTTGTTTGCAGTCAATAAATTTAATAGATATTATCAACTACACGAATACAAAGACCCTGCAGTTCATAAACGTACCAATGTATTGTGCCATACCAAGGTCCAACATGGTCTTGATGAGTTCTGGGGCATGTTTCCCAACTAATATCTTCTTCATTTCCACCCAGAGTCTTTCACCTGATATACCTAACAATAGGAAATATGTAGCATATTTATTCCATAGTTACTCTGTTAATCATAGATATCATCTCATATAGGCTAAATAAAAATAGGATTTTGTAACCAGTGGAAAACGTATTTTTGGCCATGCTTTCTCATGCAGATATCAACATCCATTTGTGGATAAAAATCATGTCACATATAAATCATAGGATACCAACTTTAAATGCAATAGAAAATACTAATAATAAAAACTTTGAAAAACATCAGGAAAATTGCAAATGTATATATCTTATTTCATTCATTCTACTACATGTACATTATAATTGTAATACAACCTGCCAATCCTTTCATGTTGTCTCTTATTGCCTGCAGGGTTAAATCTTCATGAGCATTGGGATCAACTGCTACACGACCATAGAACCTGAAGCAAAGAATGCAAGTTTAAATGTGTGTAACAAATGGCATGTGGTGACATTTTGCATTGTATTAGAATAGAGATGAACAATTCAATGAAGATTCAATCTCTGGGACTTTCAACTTTATCCCCATTCACACAAATATATATAGTTTCTCCTTTATCAAATCGAAATATGCTACAGTAGTACTATCTACTGACCAAAACTGAATCTCCGAAAGTTGTCTGTCTCACATAAGCCCTCTTCAAGACTTTTCTTTACATAAAGAACACTCATTACAACAATGGTACCTGAAGTATCTGAGAATTCTAAGATAGTCCTCCTGTATGCGTGCTACAGCATCTCCCACAAACCTGACCTTCTTATCCTCCAGATCAGCCTTGCCACTATAGTAGTCATACAAAGTTCCATCAAATGCTGAAAAACATATATGCTTGAAGCCAGCTTTCATCAAAGGGAGGTCAGAACTTATGATCCAATGTAGGGGAGGCTCGATTATTTTAGCAAGATATCATTTTGCAAGAATGATGTTTGGGGCCTGGTAGATCAAAGGAATTTCTAATGAAGGAAAACAGAGTTTATTGTAATTTGTAAGACCATACCTAGAAACATAGAGTTTATTGTTAAGTCACGCCTCATGGCATCCAGCTCCCAGTCTCGTGTAAATTCAACCTCAGCATGACGCCCATCTGTCACAACATCAATACGGAGAGTTGTCACTTCAAAGTTTTCCTGAATAAGAGAAGACAACAAATGATTCCGTACTGAATGAAGAATGCATCATCAGTTTACTAGGATTCTATAATATTATAAGAAAGGCAATAAACATACTCATAATCAGTTTTAAAAGAGAACAGTAAAATTTTAACTTTTAATATTGAGAGACATATATAAATAACATAGTCTCTGAGGAAGCATTTTCAATATACAATGTCCACATAAATATTGTAACATATAAAAGTTTACCTTGTCATTAATCCTACATGTTATTGTACCGTGTTTCTCTCCCTTAGTGTTAATCATTCGAATCCCTTCAGTTTCAAATATCTCTTTCATCTGATCAGGAGTTGCAGTGGTGGCAAAGTCCACATCATGTGGTGTTATTCCACGTAATAGGTCCCTCACTGCTCCCCCTGCTATTCTCAGCTCATAATCATACTTTTTGAAGATGGCAATCAGTTGGTCCAGTTCAGGAGTGAAGACAGCTTTAAATTCTGGTGTGTCAATCTTCATTGTCCTTAGATTGCTTTTAACATAGTGGGCAAAGGGATACGATTGTGATGTTGCCCTGGGGAATGTTTTCAGAGTATCGAATAATAGTCTACTGGCAGTACTGCAAAGTTGTCGCAACATCAATACCTGAAATAATGAGATGTGCTGAGATTCTATCAGGTTTTATATGTCGAGACAAGAGTCTACATCGCAAAATTCATTAAGGTATAGCCTACAATTATTTCATTTCAATGCAAGGTCAACCCGTACTACTGTTTTACTGTGAGTAAAATATAACGAATTTAGAAAATGTAGTGGGCGATAATATAGTATCTCCAAAATCTTGAACTTCAAAATAATATTTCAGCAACAGAACGTGTATAATTGTGGGATAACTTATATTCTTAATTTACGATAGGTACTATACTCACTTAAAAATATTGCATAATGAAGAAAGAATGCTTATATCTGTCACTATTTCACACCTTTGTGCAATATTTTCTGAAAATGTGAAAACATGAAATTTAATCGAGCCGGATTACGCCGTTCTTTGGAGGATTTGATTGGATAAGCTCATGGAGACACACCCACTTTCACTTTCACTTTCGTTTGACTTTGGACCCTTTAGTTTGACACAGTGCTATTGGATCGAGGGCTTACTGTTTGTGGTTTTATCTTCACATTGTACATGCTGCTAAAATGTGGGTATTATGAGTGCACCTTTCCAATATTGTAATTAATATTTTAACGGGGATTTTGGATTGAATGGATATCATTTTCAACAATGGCAAATGTACATGCTGATGAAAACCACAAGTTTTCAAAATACATCTACAAAAATCAAGGATATCTTTTTATTGAGGATATACAACTAAAGACACTGCAAACTGAACTTGAAGCCAAAATACAAGCCTTACCTAGTCCAGTGTTTGTTTACAGTAAGGCTCAGCTATGTGACAATGTGAACGAATACAAGAATGCAGCTGATGAACTTGAATCAAAATCAATGCTGGGATATGCAATCAAAGCTAATCCAAACTATAAGATATTAACACTCCTGAAGGAGATGGGTTGCACTGGGATATGTGTCAGTGGAAATGAATTGAAATTAGCAATAAAAGTTGGGTTTGAACCCACAAAGTTGGTACTCAATGGAAATGGAAAAAATCTTTGGGAGATAGAACTGGCAGTAAAAGTGGGTGCACTGATAAATATTGACAGCGAGGATGACTATACGAGGATATCACAAATCTCTGGTGTTCTCAAGTTGAAGTCCAGAGTCCTCCTCAGAGTCAACCCTGACATTGATCCAGTAAGTAAGATAATATACTTTCTTTTGTTTTAAAATGTTGCCCATTGTGATTTCTATGCTACTTTTGAATTAGACACTCATTTAATAGCAGACCCAGAATATCGAAATACTATTCCTAATTTGTTGATAATAATAGTGTTACTGGTCCAAATGGAGACCTACAGTAAAACCTGTGTATATTGAACACATAATTATGGAGACACAGACACAAAGATTGTTCACTGTAGGTACAGACACTACAGAGAGGCAATTTATACAGATATCAGTGGAGTATGACGTGAGAAGGTATGTTCACTTAGGCACAGGACGTGTTTGCTAGCTAGAGAGAGGTGTTCACTGAGACATGTTTCACTGTATTTAAAAAACAGAGACATATTTAAGGCCATAATCATTGAGGGTGGGGCATAGTCCTTAAAATAACACAAATCCTCTATTCTTTTCAGCAAGTCCACCCTTACATTGCAACAGGAACAAAGGAGTCCAAGTTTGGTATTGATGAATCAAGTGTTCAGTGCATCATGACTAAAATACAGCAAGATGTCTTCGTGGAGGTCGTAGGCTTCCATATACATCTAGGCTCCACAATAGACAATGTCACAATATTCAGGTATGTCCGTATGTGTAGGTAACATTAGCTCATTACTTGGTATTTTTCAAAGTGACTTATCAATGAGTAATTTCTTCCATGTAAGTCCACATGATGGGTAATTTCCATGAATAATACAATCAATATTTAACAAAATGGGTAATATTTTTTAAAATTTTATATTGAAAATATTTGTTAAATTATGTTGGAAAATATTTTTCCAAATTATTTTTGAATTTTTCTTGAGTGCTGAACTACCTTAAGACAATGACAATAAACTGTAAAAATATCATCAGCATCACAAAATGTAACCATTTACTTCTAACTTGAATCACTCATTGAACAATTAGTTGAGACTAAAGTGATGAGTTTTTTTAACAAGTGTCTATGATAAATATATAATTGCATTTCAGGGATGTTGCAGAATATCTTCTAAAAATGTGTAAGAATTACAAGGAGCAGGGTTTCAAGAACTTACAATACATCAACATTGGGGGTGGACTAGGTATTGACTACACCAAGCATGTAAGTTAGAAGTACCGAATTATATGTTTGTAGTGTGCATGTATATTGTATTATATGCATGTATATTTATTTAGTGATATGTCTCATATTTATATAAATTAAAGCCTGTGCATGGCACTTCTAAAAGTGCTCCACTTGGAAGGTTTATTTGACACTCTGAAGTGTTCCACTTAATTATTAAGGTGGTCCACTTAATATTAAGGTGGTCCACTTAATATTAAGGTGGTCCATTTAATATTAAGGTGGTCCATTTACAAGACTGTTCCTTTTTACAGGTTTGACTTACATTTTAAACATAATATTAAACAATCATTTTATGAAACATTATATCAACAAAAGCTGATGTTTTAATAAGAGCAGAGTTAATAAATGTTCCAGTAAGTAAATTAAGTTAAAGGAATTGCAACTCATCCCATTTAGAATCTCATTCACAGACAGTTTTTTTATAAATCTTATATTTTGATCATTTAGGCTCAACAGACAAAACCAAACAACAACATCAACGTAGAAGAGAAGGTAATTTTGGTAAAATATAAATTGATTTTGAAATTTAGCCTAAAAGTAAAATAGACATTGTCTTCCACATGATTTATAACTAAAACTTAATTAGACCAGATTCACTGCTTTATACAGACATTGCACTTGAATAAAGTCGAGCACACAAATTATCTGAAAATATGAATCCTTCATTCTGAACTATTTTTAGCAAGAAATGCCATCTCCTTCTGATTTAATCAAGTCCATTAAAGACATCCTTGATAGTTCAAAGTACACATTGATATTAGAGCCTGGTCGTTCAATGGTGGGAAACACTGGCCTACTACTCACCAAAGTGATTGGAGTCAAGAAATCTAATACATGCAGGAAAAAGTGAGTTCCGTTTTATAGTGATGATCATGCATACATGACATACTCTTATATAAATAAAAGCTCAAAAATAGGTATCAATCAGGTATTGACAATAGAGGCTTGGAACCCCAAAATGCCTTATTTTCTTTTTTGGGAAAATTGAAGTTCATATTGTACAAATCTTGTCAATAGAATACAAAGATAAATTACTTTCAAATTAAAGGTAATATAACAAAAAATAGTTAGAATATATAGATCCAATGTTGGGTTTAGGTGTATTCATTTGCGAATTATATATTTTAAATAAACTTGACTCATTTTCAAATTACTATCCCATTCAGATTTATTGTGGTTGATGGATCAATGACAGAAGTGATGAGACCATGCTTGTATTCAGCCTACCACCACATAGAGCTCACTGAACCACCACATAGTGAATCTCCGCATTGTGAACCACCAAATGGTGACACACTGGGAGAGCACACTGAGGATGTTTATTATGTGGTTGGACCTGTATGTGAATCAGCTGATTTTCTTGGAAAAGTAAGTGAAATCCATTACTGTCCAAAAATTTTTCAACTTTCAAGAAAGTCATTTTCTCACATTCTCCCGATTCAGATCAAGGGACATCAGCCCATTCTCCTTAACAGGGGGAATCACTACATTTGGATAATCCCTTTTGGAGACTGTTCTTCTATTCCAGGACAGGCGCTTGGCAACACCAGCTAAAGGAAGTGGGCTAGTAGTATTTGATGTTGGTGCCTACTGCAGTAGTATGGGATCTAACTATAATATGAGGGTTAGGCTCACTACATTATACAGTAATCTTTAAAATTGAGGCAACATGGCCCTGTACCCATTTGCGCATTTGAAAATCTTTTCTTCAATTGCTTCAAATCCATTATTGCCTTTAGTTCTGGATTTGAGATTTTCAAAAAATCATGAAATATTGGTATATCTCGTTTTTGGGCATTTCATAACCAAAATAGATGAAATTTTAATTAATCACTCAGGAATCAATGTACACATAGTAGCACTTATCCACTTTTCCTTTGAAATGCCCTTTTTCATAATAAATCTCAGTTACAATTTTTGACGTGAATAATCTCGATTCCTGGACCAGACTTGAGAGAGTGCTAATGCTGAGTTGTATAATTCACAATTAATTTTGCGTTTCAGTGCAGACCTGCTGAAGTCCTGATAGATGGCGCTGCATGGAGTATTATCAGGTCACCAGAGACATTTGACGATTTGTTACGACCATATTTGGATGTTAAATAAATTCATAGCATTACCATAATTAGTTCTTAAATAAAAGTCATTTCCCAAATTTTCCCTCTAAATGTAGTTTCAATACATTTCATGAATGAATAAATAAAATAAACTATATTTGTGTTCTTAGCAAAATGTGTTTATTTTTGTAGTAATTTTAATTACCAATAGAAAATATTCCAAAATTTAGGCTTTCAAATTACAAAATAGGTCAAATGAATGAGTATTTATAATGGACTACAGTTACATAATAACAAAAATTCTAATTTTCAAACTTACAAATACTGGGTGAATCACAACACATTTCTAAACCTTCTTTTATTCCTACTTCCAAACTAAACTCAGATGAAATCTTTGGCATTATAATAAGGAATACAGTTTAAAATTTACTTTTTTGAGTATGTGGTATTTTTATATTAGATATTGTTGTTGTTTACGTAATCTAAGGTATTCAATTTGAAGAACTTGAATACAATATTTCTATACAGTTATTACCAATGTACAATTTTAATTTATTAGAATATCCCTCTTTGAAATAAGAATATCCCCCTTTTAAATAAGAATATCCCCCCTTTAAATCATTCAGAAAAGACAGACAGCTTGGACATGGTTAAAACATGATAAATACTTGGTTGCTAGAGACAGAATTCGACAAGTAGCCCAAAAAGAATTTGGACTAAGAGACAAAATAAATTGCATTGTTCATGTTTTTAAATAAGTTAACCTACAAATATGAACACCTCTATAACTGTTTTAATGTGAGCCAATGAGAATTCAACAATTGTTTCAGAAAACTATTTTTAAACTACCAAAACATTTTGTAAGTGTCTATCTTTACAGGTTTTGCTATAAATATGAAATTAAAAACTGACATATGAAGCATTCTTAGTGTGCCATTTTTCATCCTATGCAGACAGTGTTTTGGAGAGAACGCTAGGTGTGGTTCTCATATGCAGTATGCACCCAGTGGGGACCATTTTTGAATTTGACTTTGATATTTTTTGAACTAAGCCATGTCGGGGTATTCAACTATATTTATGTATATTCTATGCTTAGATGAGACCTATAGGGATGTCAGGTCAGCAATATTTATTAGATTCGGAAAATAAACCACCAATACACAGATTTGATTTGATACCTATTATTCAGTATCTATGGTATTATCTTTTACATACATGAACATAACTGCGTAGCCAACGTGGCTTAGTTTACAAAATACAACCAATTCAAATGTGAACATTAACTCTGCACTGTATGCACATGATATCCACACTTACAGTAGTGTTTTCTGCAAGCAGAGTGTTTTTAGATCATATTAAGTTGCTTTTGCAACGGTGCTTCAATCTTTCAAACTTTACAACTGAATACACTGTTTAACAGTGGAATGTATAGTCACATGAGTCATGGGTCATGTGCTCATCTTGTAACCACTGGACACTTTAATGTAACAATAGAGGCTTTGCTATATCGCTTAGATCTTGCTGGAGTCTGGTTTTAATTAGAATTTAGGAGATTTGCATTATTTCACCATTAAGGACTTACACTTTGTTCTTTTGGTGACATATGTATTTTGTCAGTTTCTCCATTTATCACTGTAATACAGTATGGTAAACTAGCCCAACCAAAACTCCTACTGCCATCTATTTTCCTCTCGATAGCAAGCAGCAAGTCCTCTATTGAACATACTAAAATTAGATGATATGGAGTATGTTCTTTTCAAATTAATTATACAGTAGTTTTAGTTTTAGTTCACGGTTCACAGAATTTATCTTTCTTTCACAAAATGACATCTGCCTACAATTCTTTTTAGATGATCTTATTGGACTACAGTTTTTCTAACTTTCTAACAAATTCCAAATCTATCACTTTCTGTATGTATCTATCATCTACTTGAAATAACCAATTTGGATAGACCCAACATGCTGGGCATTGTCTAATTTTAATACAAAATCAAGTCTTTGGAGACCAAATGAATAAAATGAGTATCTTGTGTTAGCATCACTTTCTTGATTAATGGAATGTTTTCAAGCATTCAAAGTTGACATTACTGGCAAGGAACATGTTAAATAATGGAAGCCGTTCAAAGCATTACAAACTATCATGACATGAGAAGATAATGGCAATCTTCATTCAATTCTAACACTTTCAAAGGCTTAAAGTTGTTCTCATAGTCTTGAATTCTCTAACAGGCTAATTTTGTCTTGAAAATTCATGGATGACTTCAAACAAACAGGATCCTGTGTAATTCCGAAATGCAGGCAAACAGAGGTCTAGTCTATATTGTACCTATTTCAATACACATAATCCAATGAAGCAATATAACACCGTTAAGGTTTTATCACCCATTTGAGGATAATCAAAGCTTCAAAGCAGGTGAATACATTTCTCACTTGATTGAATGCCTCACAGATACTTCGTATGCCTCTTTTGAACTCCTGTATGATATATGAGCCAATTCTTAAAGACATAAATAATACTTCAACATCAACAATACCTTGTGTACTGAAGAATGAATAAATTAGGTATAAATCCATACATTGGTATATCACTTGTATCACACTTTGCTTGTATCACACTGTATGGGAGGCTCAGGCAGCCATGTTTTATAAATCAACTCCAACTGAAGCTATTTAAATATCCATGCGGATGTTTGAGGGTTTGATTTGTACTCCTTAAAGATGCACTTCAAAATTGAATGGGTTGGTTACAATCTGAATGCATTTGTCATATTCGGTTCAACGGTACATCATGATTGTGATTGGTTATACACACGTATGTGTATGTGATGTATTTCAGGGTTACGCTCGGGTACACATTTTCAGTACACTTCAATTCAGCAGATACTATAGCTCGGTCTCCTTGTTGGACAATCTACGGGACTTTTCACCCTCTTCACCCCTAAAACAGAAATAGAATTAGTTTACAATACTGAAAGAGGTGCTATTCTGCCTATCGTGGTGAGTTCTGGAGGCAAAATAATGTGATGAACTAGCCTACTGATTACAGCCCTTGAGCACTTTATCAGTTACTAAATTTTTAGCTTGCCATTTTACATTGTAGTTTTTTTACAATTGTAGTTTTATAATATAAAACATCATTGATAATCAAATTCCTTATAATCTGTGAACAAAATATGTAATAGAAATCCTGAGTTTTTCACCGCATGGAGATATACTAGAAAACATGAATTACTAGTTCTTAAATGTCCAGGACATTGTGAGTCAATTCCTGATGTATTTATAATGATGTCCAATGTTAACAAAAAGGTCATGAGGTCATGATTCATACTTTGGCAAATGCAAAAATGTCCAAAATGATAGATTCTCAAAGGAAGTTACATGTATTGCAGATTAAGATAAACACAAAGAGACGGTTTAGTAGTTTTTTTTAAATAAAACAAAATCCAGAATGTGGTGGATAAAAATACATACATTAGATTATGAGTGACACATCAGCTAAATGTATCAGCAACAGAAATGCGTAATAAAGATGACACAATATTAAAAAAGTTTTTTTTCAATTCAATGGTTATTGTTTACCATACTGTATACAACAACATGTAAGAAGGAAAACAAACTAACTTTTTTTCAGACATGCTTTTCAAATTCACCTTGCAAACACCAATCTCTATGCACTTTTAAAACTTTCCAGCTTAGTATATAACAGTGTTGTCTAATGTGCGAAAAACTCGTTTTATGCTTTGTGTCACTTTCAATTTGACACAAGGCATTAACATGCAAATTGTCATCACCTGCCATTTGTTACAGACACCAAACTCCAAACACTGTCCACAAAAAAGTTGGAGACTATAACAAATGTCACGACTAGTGGTGGTGACATAAGAAGCGTGTCAAAAAAGAACCAATTTTAAGCATGCTATCTGATAACAATGTCCAATTTCAAACTTATTTCTTGTGATATGATTTGAAAAGCAAGTCTGCATTAAATAAAACAAGCTGTACCTCACTTGCAACTGGCCTTCAGGAAATGAGGATATGAGACCTCCCCTGGCCTACAGAATATGAGGTTTGGGGATGAGGTAGTACATAACACATGCCAAGCATTGCACATTTCAACGGCTTACACAACACGGATAGGCCAAATACACTGTATGCTAATGCACATTTTCTACTGAAGAAGGGACTTTATAACGTCTTCTTCTGCAAAAAACAAAATGGAAATAATAATGGAATGATATCTGTGGCCTAATGTAGTGGAAATATCTATTAAATAAAAAAATATAATATTGGTATAAATATATAATTTGCCTTGGATGAAGCATATCTGAACTTCATGTAATCAATTTTTCAAGTCAAAAAGACATAAATTTTGTTTCATAATCATGCAAACCAAAAACATCAAGAATAGATTTATGACATGTAGTACTTAAAACCTATAGTGGTGCATTAAAATATTTAAGATAGAAAAAATGATTCATAAAAACAAAAGGTAGAGATAAAACATGTGAATTATGGGATTGAAATATCTACCTTGCAGAAACTACAGCATTGCGTGGGGCCTTCCCAGGTGGTGGGTGCGGTATGCGGGGACCATCAGGGCTGTAAACTCCACTACGTGGGGTTAAGCCACTCACACCAGTCCTAGGTGAGCTACATAAGCTGGTAGATGGACTAGGGCTCGCTACACTACTGAGCTGTTTCACAGGGGAACTTGGAGGCTTCGTTTGAGACTGAAGCCTCATTGCACTGGGTTGATTATCTATTACATTGTCTTTGGTAGTGGTATTAACATCTCCTGCTATGTGATATCCATTAATATTGCCAACTTCATCTACATTGGCTGTGTCACTGATTATTTGGCTATTACGGTTTTGATCAGGCTCTGCATTATATTGTTGGTTCACTGATTGAGTTTCATTACTAGAAACATTCACACGTGGAGAGTCAACAGTATTACTTATTCCTATAGTGTTGATATCTTTGAGATCACTGTTTTGAACACTTGGTGGAATATTTTCATTTTCTTTCATTTGTTCATCACTACATTCTTCCTCCTCTTCCCAATCATCTTCATAATCTTTATCTTCATTTGCACCATCACCATTAATGTGTTCTTTCCTCACTTCATCCTCGACTACCATTTTGAGAAGTTCATCAGATTTGGTGTTCATTTTTTCAGGAGTTTCATTATGACTCTCATCAGTTGAAAATAACATGGGGGTTCTTGTTAAAGGACTTTTTTCCATATGAGCATTTGGACTTTCATTTGAGACTATATTATTCTCTACATCTAATGCAGATTCTTCCGCTTTTCTATCTTTGGTACTATCATCAATATCACCTTTTATAAAGTTAGGCTTGGAGGTATCTCTATTACTTAAACTATCCTTTTTACTATGAGTTACAACATCATTTTGGTTGTGTTGAATACTGTCTTTTTCACTTAAGTTATGTTCTAATACTGCAATGTTATCATCACAAGCACCTTTTGGTTCATGATTTGATTTCATATCGTCAATACCTTCATCATTATTTGCTCTTATACCATCAACAATGCCATCATTTTGAATATTATCCTCAATCAGACTTTTATCTTCAATATCTACATTATCTTCAATATCAGCATCTACTTCAAGTCCATCTTCTAAAAATCCTTGATTTATTTTATCTTGTATATCTTCCAATGGGTACAGTTTCATATTGTTCTCTTCAGTAGATGTCACATGTTCTTCATTAGGTTGTTTTATCGGATCATGCACTTGTTGTTCAATATAGTCTGTTTGTTGTTGTTCATCTGGTTTATCATGTTGTTCAATGGGCAAGGATTTATGTTGAATAGCTGCTTTATTTGGCACTTGTTTAGGTTTACTACTTTGGACAACTTCCCAATGAGCATTTTCTTCTTCATCCTCAGAACTTGAGGCAAAAGAGACAACCCACTGACTAGCGAATGTAAATGGGGCTGCCCTTGTTGCATTTTCATCTGCATATACATTTGAAGCTTGTTCTTCTCCATCTGGTTTATCCTTAGGTTCATCTTCATCTACTGGTTCAGCTATTTTGGCTTCAGGTTTTGCTACATCAATATTGGCATTATCTCGCATATCTTTATCATCTTTGGCACTGTCCACTTTAATCTCAACATGCTTAGTCCTATCTTTATCTTCTGATATATCCTCCTCTTTTTTAAAGTCTTTTTGATTTTGAGCAATTTTGGCACTGGGTTCTAAATTGTCTTGTTCTTCAATTGGGACATTTTCCTGTCCAGCAGGAATTCCTGTCCCTGTGGGACTTTTGTTCCTTTGAACATTTTCTCGGGACTTATGAGATTCTTTGCTATCAATTTCTTGATCTGACTGAGATAATGGCGCCAGGGCCGGCAATGGCATACTGCTTTTTCTGGCTTGAACTTTCTCCGATAACGATGAACTATGTTCGGATTTAAGTATATTTCTAAGTTGTAAATCCAACACTGCTAGTGGGGATGTAGTAGTAGTCCTTGCACCTGGTACAGGAAGTTTTAGAGATCCCTGTGGGGTTTTACTGGATACGTCACTAGGTTTACGAACTGGGCCATCGTCACTACGACACTCCGCAAGAGGAGCTTTATTGTCAAGGTGTAGAAGGCCAGAGAGTTTGGCAGATAACGCTGCATTGAGATTCCTGTCTGAGGTTCGTAACACAGGAGGTTGTTGTGCACCAGATTCCTGTCGTGCCATACCAACTGAAAATACATGAAACACATCATTGTGTTACACAATAAAATATGAAATACAATTTTGTCAATGTATCCTCAGTCCTGTGCGACTTGAATTGATTGTCTAAAATAATTTTTGAAATGTTCTGAAACCATGAGACATTAGCTGATTAGGCAATGTTTTTTAAAGTGACAATAGGCCCGTCCAGTTTCTTATGAAAATAGTTCACCCCAATTAGTAACCCCCACAACAGTACCAAACAGCAATGCAATAACACATAACAGTCTATACTATTCTTACATATACGAGGAGATTCACGTTTTTCATTTTCTTTATTTGGAATGTCTGCCTCTACACTGAGGTTCTCCTGGTCTGCAGGGACATCTGTGTTGGCTGCTAGGAAATGTGACCCTGGGGTGAACGGACCTGCCTGCAACACCCTGCAATGAACAAGACACACAGTGATAAATATCGCACTTTGCCCCCTGTCATGTAATTTACCCAACGTGCACAAAACCTTATCAGAAATTGGCACTAGTTCAAGTTGAACGAATACTATTAGTAAGTTCAGCGGTTTTCCTGGAATTTTGATGACACGATTTATGTAGAACACCTACCCACCCACCCCCTCAGCCAATAGCACAAGACTACGACAATATAGCACTCTTTCAATGTGCAATAAATATCATTTTTTCACTTTGTTTCTTGGTTGGTAAGTTGGTGAATTTTGCAACAGTTTGCTTTTCAGTTTCCCATTCTTAAATGTATTTTTTCCTTTCACTTGTATTGTGCTTGCTAGTACTGCACAAACATCAAAAAATTTTCATTTCATTTCTTTATTCTTTCTATAATATTTTGGACAATTGGTAAACCCTAGAAGGAGAATCCCAATAAGAAACCTGAACATGTATAATATACAATGTACAAGTAATGGTCATGTGTTACTTACCCTGCCATGCCTTGAGTCTGCCTTGTGCCAACAGGGGGCGTAGTTGTTGTCGTTGTAGTTGTCAATGAACCATCCCCACACCCCTTCTCCCAATCATATGGGTCAGAGTCCCTCACTCCTTTTCGCTGCATACACTTCACAAACAATGCATGTAACATCCCATAGTCAGGTTTATCGTAGTACGTTAGGTTGGATATATGATCCAAAAAGTCATGGAATTCTTGAGGCAGGTGATCTAAGAGATGTTTATGATCGTATGTGTCTTTCATCTTACCAACCTGTTCTTTGTCTTTGATCTTACGCCATGGTAGTTGACCAATGACAAACTCAACCAGCATGTAGAATAGAGAGTACAGGTCATCATGGCGGCCCATCTCCTACAATACAGTTAAAGTGTCCCTCTGTTTTAGAAAACTTTCTAAAGTTAATTTCAGTTGTTGCTATCATTAGACATTAAAGCCATTACAGTAAAACCTTTCTTAGTGAACACCTCTCTCTAGTGAACCCCTGTCTCTAGTGGACACCCTTCCTCCACCCTCTCTGTAGTGAACACCTCCCAATAGTGAGCATTTTTTCTTGGCAAAAAAATGTTCAATATACACAGGTTTTAGTGTATATGCAAATTGAGCATTTCTATTTAGTATAAATGTAAGAGCTGAATGCATCAGATACCTATAACATAGAGAAAGATATAAATGTCCAGTTTGGTTAGATTCTCACCCAATTGAGATAAAATCCTAGGGAGAACATTGAGATATATATCAAGTCAATATATAGAACTTACTATGTTTTTATGAGCATTAACAGAAGCGTATCGTACAGTCCCCCGGAAGCCAGCAGCTGGTCTAGGTGTTCTGACATCCCCAGTGGCATTAGTGTACTGACGGGCCAGGCCAAAGTCTAACATATACACTGTCTTACATGTACTAGGACTTCTCCCCATGGCAAAGTTGGACTGCAAAAACAGGTAAAATCATTTGAATCTGAAAATAACTAAAGTGGTAGATTTTCATCTAAGACTAAGAGGCGCCATTGTTGCTTTCTACTGGGTTTAGCTTGAAACAAGAGGGGGAAATAACCCAGAAATATAAAATACAAATCTCTTGGTTCATCTTCACAGTTGTTCATCTTTGAATTATGGGTTGGTTATTCCCTCTCTAGGTCAGAATAACTGAAACATTGAGAATCAATAGGTGAGGTCTTGAACTTGAGTTTTTTGAAAATGAATAACAATAAAATAAATTGATTGCCTTTGATGTGTTTGTCTTCAAGGTACGTGTATCCAATCATCATAACTTTGACAAATATGTAATTACATTTGATTAATATGTCTAAGAATGCAAAAATATACATATACTTACAGGCTTGACATCCCTGTGGAGGAAGCCTACAGCATGTATACTTTCAATAGCCCTTAGGATCTGCACCCCAAGTCTCAGAGTAGTACTGATTGTAAAGTTCCCACGCTGTTGGCTTCGTCGTAGTTCAGCCAGATTTTTCCCCTTCAGTGACATCACAACATAGTTGAACTTGTCATTACGACCACAACCAAGAAAGCGGCAGACATGATCCTGACCTGAAGCATATGAACAAATAACAAGCAATAAGAAAATGTTGATTTCTTTTGAGACATTATTAATAGTCGCTTAGAGGTCAAGCAAAAATCAATACCAATCAAACACCTTTTTAGCATTCTGGGATGATGGGAGTTAACATATTTTGTGATTTCGTGATATTTTTTTTTCACAGTATATCTACTGATTTATTCTTTGTTATTTGAGGGAGGAAGGGGAGTTGGGTCAAATCAATATGAATTATGTTTAGACATGAATATTCACTTTGACATGACACCGTTTGTGTGGCGCAATACTTTTATCAGCCTTTCTCAACAATTTATGAATAGTAAGACCAAACATATTGTCATGGAAATAAAGTCTCAATTATAAGAAGTCACCATCTTGAATCAGTTCCACAGGTACAGGAACAAGAGTTCAACCCCCACACACTGTGTACCACACACTGTGTATCAGTTCTTTCTAGAAAAGTTGCTAGTTGAAAAAAAATAGAAAGATGTGATGAGTATCAGAATGATAAGTCATCCCTCCTATTAAACAAGTATTTCACAACACATTCATTGCATTATACAGTAGTAAAAACATACTGAAGTGCTCATTAGGGCATGGGCGGTCTTTGACGTATATCCTGTTTTTCTGTCTTTCACTGCTTAATAATGTTTATCATGAACTAAACAGGCACTGCCTACAAAGAGGATGAACCCATTAATGGCGATCAACTTAAGGACACAAAAATCTTTAATGCACAAGCAACTCATCCTATTTGATATGGTGAATGTGATAATGACAATACAATAACTTTCTTAAATTAGTATTTCTAAAGCCCTCATCCTGAGCATATTTTCTAATAAAGATCCTACTTCAGCCTTGTGTTGTAATTTATGAGTGTTAAAACAAGGCAATTTATGACGTTTCTCGCCCTGAAGTTGGCAGAGGTGGACAACTTGACATCATGGCAGGCAGATCAATATTAGATAACAATTATACATCAATCCTGATCTAAAGATGTTTCTCATCTGCTTAAGATCTGATATCTGACAATTTACAATCATTAAAGACAGACAGTTCATTAGATTCAATATTTTTTATCCTGAAATATTTTTTTCTGAATGGATGTATAGATTGGATGTATAAACATGATTATTTCAGTTAAGTTCAAACAGAGAATGTTATTTTGAACCAATCATGAATCCTGAAAACACTAAAAAGGTCATTTATTTTTAATGCATAAGTTGTACAGGAAAATGGCTGAAAAATGGGCATAGAAACTGCATATAACACACAACTCTACATTTGCACACTTTCCCAAGGATTTTTGGAGGATAATACTGTTAAAAAACAACTTTTATTTAATTTTTCAATATTTGTACCACTTGAACATCAAAAAGTGATTGTTCATTTCATCCTAGTGATCATTTCTGCCTTTTTCAATACTAATCTTATTTTTGTTAATAAAAAGCAAAAATGATGTCATCGTGACATGGCATAAACTATTCACCAAAAGAATTCTTTCGAGGATTCCCCTTCTGTTTCTATTTTGAGCATAAGACTGGATATTTTGAACATAACAAGATAATCCTTGGGAACCTAGGTGACTGAGATCTTCAATTACAACTGCCTTACATGTACCCATGAGATTCATTTATTACACAAAATCAACTATTTATCACAAATGGTACTAAATAGGGGAATATTATGCAAGAATGTATTATATGGCCCAGAAAGAATATGTCAAGGAGCATGTGGTTTAAAAAATGAACAGGGAGTGGAATTTTGAACAGAAATGAGTAGAAGCGCATCAGCAGTAAAAAGGACCTTAATTACACAGGAGGTAAATTGAGAACATTAACAGAAAAAGCATGCAATTAACATGAGAAGACTTAACATTTTAGGCACAAGAATATTACCATGTCTGACTGGTCACATTGATCTGATTCATTCCCTTACTGTAACAATTAATTAAGGTTCAAGGCAAAATACTGCAAACTTATCTGCTTTAATTAGTTACCGAAGTACTGATTCACAAATCTGCATTTCGTAATTCTATAATAAACATGTCACATGGAAAACAATGGGACCCCTAGCAATATCACAGCTGAAACTCAAAAATGGATTTTCATACAAAGAAACATCCCTGAAAATTTGAAATCAATCAGTGTAACAGTTAGCCTAGAAATGTATAGACAAGACTTTACAGACAAGGTTTAAGCATTGAAAATACAAAGTAGCCACCTTAACATTTATTCAGAATGCCATGAATTGAATTAGTTCGAGATTTTCATACAAGAAACATCTCTTAAAATTTGAAATGAATCCATCAAACAGTTAGCCTAGAAACGCATAGAAAAATTAAATGGGACGGTCCCGATCCCCCAATCTGACAAAGGTATCACAATATAGCACCCAAGGGTGCCATAAAAAGTAATCAGCCCATTTGAGGCCCTATTTGTTATAGGTCTATATTCTAATGTTTCACGCTGAATCCTCTTGATAACACTTAGAATGGAATTTAAGGAATATGTTTGCATTTGCGAAATTAGTGTCACAATATTTACTATATTATAATCAAATTTTCATACTTTCAATCAGGGTCGCCTCTATAATGTAGCATCCTGGTAATTGTATTAGCTAGAGATAGCATTGATCCCAGGCTGATGTAACATCTACTTTTTATCATTATTACCTAACATGCCTACTCAAAAGAGATTAACCATTTGGGACATTACAATTTACAAATCTGGAGATTAAAATAGAACATTGGCAATTTTACTGAGATAAATCCTACACTGATATTGACAATGATTTGAAAAGCTCAATATTGTTAAACCTTATCTCAGATTTCTTCCTTACTAATACTATGGCCTTTGTATAGGGGGTACTCAGAAAGGAAAGAAGGATATTGGATTTGAGATTCCTGTTGTAATGTGGCCTAACAAGCACTTCTTAGACACAAAACAATATATAACATAATAATATAAGCTAAAAATCTGTGTCTGTCTGTTTAGTGGAGTGCCCAGTTTCTGTCTGAACTGAGGGGTGCTGTTTGGTTGAGAGCCCACCCATTTGGACATAGTTGATGTAGCTTTAGCAAGCCCCAACTAGCCACAAGGGCTGTAGACTAAGGGGAGGCATCAAAAGTTCGATGTAAAAGTCCTAATGTAGCTTGATTGGAAGCATCATATGACTACACCACAGTCAACAAATACAAGAAAATTCAAATGAAACCCAAAACATGTGAAGATGATAATGCTCTCAATCTTTGACAAAATAGTCCTATAAAGTACTGCAAAAACCTCCTTTTTAATAAAACTGATTCTGATAAAACTTCTCAAGTAAACTAATATTGGATAGGAAAGAATGATTTGAAAGGAGATTTTTTCTATATATATGTTTTAACTGAGAAAAATGAAGATGGAATCAATCAATTTCAGTCCAAATTCTGTTTTTAAATTATTAATAGAGTGACCAGATCAGCTTGACCTTGGAGTTTTAACACAATCACATCAATTTCACTTCCAAATATGGAAGGTACAAAACAGACCTGTCAATCAAATGTAGAAATGAGTAGGAGATAAGTTATATTTAGATACTGTTGGGTTGTGATCAGGATTTGCCCTTGAATTTTTTTAAGACCCAGAAATGAAGTTTTATAACATATTTGTACACATTAAAAAAATTATTTGATAAATACCAAATCAATGTGACCTATTTATTACAAAACATTGTTATCTATATTATATTATCTAAGAAATTAATATTCTTACATGAATTGAACAAATTGTCTGAGTAAAACACATATGTGATCAAAGTGGTTGTTTAATTGATTTATTTATTTAATAAAGAACCCTGAATTATTCTTTATTGAAAATTTAAAGCATGAGTGCATGTTCTAGCCCATACACATAATTATCAGGATGGGTTAGTCCATGCATGAATGCTTTTAAATCCAATAAAGAACATACAGTTTTTTTATTGCAATTCAATGTACTATTGTTCTTATGTAAAAAAGACCTTGTCCAGTTTTTTATGAAACCATAAAGTACTGTGATGATGTCTCTCTTTTACCAATAATGGCACTGCTCAGTTCATTATGAAACCATAGTGCCCTGTAAAATAGTTGACCATATACAACCTTGAATTAATGCAATGAAATACTCTAAGCCGATTGACTGAGACACATGGGAGCAACCTGATAAAAATGAACAAAAGTTCAATAGAAAGGATTTCAAGACTGTTCATTTAGATTATCTATACCTTGCTGTTTTCTAAAGTACAAGCTACACAATATATTCCATACAATGTAATGTCCAGTCTAGTGTGATATATGGGCTGTTTATGCAAAAAAACATAGTCTCAAGTGCCTGAATAAAGTGTTCTGTTTAATTCCCCTGAACATTAACTTTAGGAATGTTAGAATAATTGGACAATCACCAACTGAACAATAAATATTGCATACACTGTATTCACTTTACTCTTTGAAGAATATTTGGGAAAAGTAATGACAACTTCAAGCTGAATGTGCAAGTTGTGTTCAATCTCTAAGAAATTAGAAGGCGTAGAGACTAGTGAGTGTAAAATGTTTAAGATGCAGAAATTCCCAAATTAATTTAAATTATATAATGTTTCACCAGATAACCTAAAAAATCATTACCCTGAAAATAAAACATGACATGAAACGAAAAGAGCAAAAATATATCATTTAAACTTAATCTAATCCTGTCTATTCTAGTTCCTAATATACAAATTTTACTGTATAATGCAATTCCAAAATCATCTATCAGTCTTATTTCAAGGTCCTGTAACACTAAAATATATAGTAATCTATTACCCCACCAACACTCTCTTACTTTCATGGAGTATTAGATAAAGAAATTGGGAGAAGGGGTACAAGGGCTTGAAGCAAGACTAAACAAGGCACTTACATGCAAAATGTCACCACCTTCCATTTATTACAAATGCTGAACACGAAACACCAACAGCCAAACACCAACAGCCAAACACCAACAGCCAAAAACCAACCAATGAACACAAAAAAGTTGGAGACTATGAAAATATGTCACCACTTCTTTGCAACATATTCTGATTTGGTATAGGGAAGATCAAGGAAATCTATTCAAAGAGTATAATTGAGCGCTTGTGATTGTTAGTTTCTACCATACCTTGAAGTTTCTTGAGGACAGCTACCTCCATCTTGAGCACCTGTTTGGGTTGTTTGGCTGACTCCAACTTGAGGGCCACAGATTCCTTAGTTACCATGTCCGATCCTTCATAGATCTCACCGAACCCCCCACCACCAATCTTCTTTATCTGCAAATATATTATGCACACTCGTATAATATATAAACAAGACACACAGTGATAAATATCGCACTTTGAAGAGCAAACTGGCCACCATGCAATTTACCCAGCATGGCCAAAACCTAATCAGACCTTGGCACTAGTCTGCTCTTGCATCTGTTAACATTTCAAGTTGACAAGGTTGGCAGTTTTCCTGCAATTTTGATGACAAGAATTTATTTGTAGTCTGGAACTTTGGGAAAATTTAGATAACATCGTTTGTGACCTAATTTGATGACCTTCGACCTTGAAAATTTAACTTTTTCAGACCTCAGTAGGTGTTTTGTAATTAAGCTGACCTAAATTTAAATCCAAAATATCAATTTAGAAAATCAACTTTTTTGACCTTTTCAAGGTCACTGAAGGTGAATTAAAGGTCAAATCTGAAATCTAATGTCAGATTTGAACTTCTGAGAACTTGTAGATGTTTTTAAAAAAAAAATTGGTCAATTTGGAGCAAGTTGAAAAATTCAAAATGGCCGCCAAATTGAAAAAATTCAAAATGGCCACCATGTAATTCAGCCAGCATATCCAAAACCTAATCAGATCTTGGCAATAGTCTGCTCTTGCATCTGTAAAAATTTCAAGTTGAACGGATAAGTGGTTTTCCTGGAATTTTGATGACAAGATTTGTTGAAAAATTCAAAATGGCCACCACATAGTTTACCCAGCATGCCCTAAACCTAATCAGATCTTGGCACTAGTCTGCTATTGCATGTGTAAAAATTTCAAGTTGAACAGGTAAGCAGTTATCCTGGAAATTTGATGACAAGATTTGGTTTATGTCCCGCCCGCCCGCACGCCCGCCCAACAGCACAAGACGACGGCAATATAGCACTTTTTCAAAGTGCGATAAAAAAGAACAATACATTAGTGACATTTTCAGGGGTTGACAGTCAACCAAATGGAGAGGCTCTTTGACTAATTAGTACTGAGTATCTAGGGCCAAAACATACAACTTGAGTTACATAAAGAGAGGGTCAATCCATTACCATGAAAATGGATATTGTCTCAAATCTGGGAAATTTTGAATCATTTCATTATGAAACCATGAGGTAATTATGAGTTTCAATAATTAATATAACTAATTCTTCTTGAGATATCACTGTATTACAAAATATCATTTCAATCCCATGATTTATTGCAATGCTAACAGATATTGTCTAAAAATTGACTTTTGTAAAATGTCTGTCTACTATATGTCAGCTTCTAGTCATTTAGATCATTATTTCTTGAGTCATTCTTCATTTTTGACCTTTTAATAAATTACTATGACTTCATCATATAAATAGGTTCTAATAACACCAGAGTCAATTGGATATCAAAAAGGGACTATAAATATTCCCCATTTAGAAGTGTTCACCAACAGTCCACAGGTTAATTAATGGGCTGTAGATTGAATTCAGACAATAAAATCACAAAACTTGATGTGATTTATTGATCTGTTGTTCAACTTCCTTTTTCATCATATGTTACAAATGCCAAAAGACCAGCTCTGTATTGAGGTTAACAAATTTCAATATGTTAACTTTAATACTTGGGTTCAGATCAAGCCTAACTTCAATAAATAAAGAATAACGGAAAATTACAGCCGGGACTACATGAAAAACATATTGATTTTCTCATCTAAAAGAAAATAAAGTAAATCACTATCCAAAACATTCCAGCTGAATCCCCTCAATTAATGAATATGATTTTTGAGAAATTAAAATACAATTCATAATATCAAGATTTAACTTTTAAGATTTCAAAATTCTAAAATAATATGGTGTAATGATTAATTTGTGATGTAAAATCAGAAAAAGACAATGCATTCACTAATCGCACTGCCATGACATAACGTTCTTGATATTAGAATTTTACGTCTCGACTCTAAAGTAGCAGTAGTCTACTAAAATGCTATAGCTCTTGTTTCAAGAGTGAGTTGATGGGGAATTCGACAATCTATGATGACAAATCTGCTTTCAGATTTTCATTAAATTACTGATTCAATGTACATGTATATTTTCACTAAGGACTGCATATTTTTGCGTGCAAGGTATTGACTTCTATTCCTTTATCCAGAATCCTGACAGTATAATTCTTCCCGTTGTAGGCTTTCGGGTAAATACAGTTTTATAAATAAATACAAAAAAGCTGACTTATTTTCTGTAAGAACACAAATGAATTCCTGATTGCAAGGTCTAATAATATTTCCATTTGTAGCAGACAGAGTAAGAAAGAATGACACAGATTTAATAATCATCGGCTCAAAGACAAATATTGAATGCCTAATAGAAACTATGAATGTACATTGAAGATTTTATTATGAAAGATACTAAAATGAATAAGATTAAAGATACATATATTGAATAGGAATGTCAGGGCATCTCTGACATGGAATCAGAAATTCCCAGACTAATGCTATTGATAGAATCTTTTATGTATCTATTGTACAAGTCTAGCTGTTGTCCCAAAAGACTACAGGGACTATATATATCTCAAATAGTTCAGCGTGAAATCGGTTAATGCCATTTTGGATCTTCAGTACAAGTTCCACACCTCAGTTTTGAGATGATGCAAGTCAGGCAGATATGAATAAATGGCTGGAGTAACTGACTTGAGAGACAGATAGTTAGACTGACTAACTAGTAATAACTTTGTTTTACTATTTTGCCTACCAAACTTGATTTGTTAGGAAAAAATGTATTTCCACATCATATGATGGCAAAGTATATTCTGAACATTGCCCCCATAAAATATCATTCATCTTCTATTGATGTCAATACATGATCAGTAAAACCTCTGTACAATGAACAACTATGGAGCCATAAAAATGTGTGCACTATATGTAGGTGTTCACTACAAATGCGATTTTATACAGAAGTCAGTGGAATGTTCTGAAGTGGTGTTCACTAGACACAGGTGTTCACTTGAGAGAGGTGTTCATTAAAACAGGCTTGACTGTACTTATCTCAGAATCATCACTTGCTATCTCTGACAATTAACATGTAAAGGAAATCTGTATTTTATTCATATGCAAAAATTTGACCAACATGACAAGATAAAACGCCTGCTTTATGATATGGTGAATCCTCGTGGATTAGTACAGTTCCAATTACGGTTTTAGGTATTTGCAACAGCACCATATGGGATATACATAATTGATTAAATTGAGCTCATCATTTCTTACTTTGAATAAATATAATATTATTTGTTGCACCTGTACAGTGTGAGTCACTCATCACATGTAGCAGGTTAATAACTTGTTCTGTAATTGATAATATATCGATATTAGATGGCTTGATTGACATGATGATAGGTATATGATATTGGGTGAATCATGTTTTTATTTATTTTTTCATGATGACTGCCCCAAGCCCCATCCTCGTCAATCACCAATCCTCGCTGACATCCATGTGGTATAATATATCAGATGGAAGTTTTATACCAATAGTTTTTGCCGCTATCTTTTTACAAAATTATTATAAAAACAAACCTACTAGGGTACTAAATGATCCAAAAGTAAATTTTGTACAAGTTATAGGGGGCTTTCTTGTATTGGTAATTAACATAAATACCCTAAAACTTGTATCTTATTGACAGAGGTGTTTTACTAAATGGTCCAAAAGTGAATTTTGCGCGACAAAACTGGCATGCTTTTGAACCGAGAGTTTTGGCAACTTTCTTGTATTGGTAGTAAATAAAAGTAACATAAAGCAAGAATCTTAATATTGACAGAGGTGTTCTACTAAATGGTCCAAAAGTGAATTGTTAGACAGATAGATAAGTGAGTGATTGCTATGCTTGTCAGGTGCCCTAAAAATTGGAAGAAAATGAAAACTCAATTTTTTATGGAACTCAAATTTTTTAACTGATTTGGGTCCTTGGGAATCAGAAATTTAAGTGGCTACTGAAACACAGGGTACCGGTATATGATATTATGATGATCATAAGGCATGAATATCTAGGTATACGATAATATGGTTATCTTGTCAGATCCAACAAATTACTCAATTCTTCATGTTTGAGGGTAAATATCTTGAAATCTGCCAATTTCAAAAAAAATAATCATGTAAGTGATCACTCGAGATTACAACATTGCTTACATCACAAAGTAGACATGGCCTTCTATCAGGAATAACTGGCATCCAGATGGAATATTTTTATTTGTAGGCAGAAAGATGTGATGAGTATCTTGTATTTTGTAAAGTAAAATAAAGAAACCATAAAACCCAAAATATCAGAATGCTCAGTACATGTACTTAAGTACATTCAGGTAACTCCAGAGAAAATCCCTTGATGAATTATAAAAGGCAATTCTGTAACTAACCCACAGCGGTTAATTGGACTTGTTGGCCTCTGAGACAGTGAATAGTAATATCATATTATGTTAATCATACACTTTATGTCCTATACACCGTCATAATTACATCTTGTGTTTTAACGCCAGAAGCCATCGATCTGTATCTTGTAGACTCAATTACCGCATTGTAACTATTCTATTCTGTTTGCATAGATACACTTTAAGAGAGAAACATGGACTTGCAAGTTATAACCCAGATGTGGTCGTAATTGGAATTCCTCTTGCGGGTGATGAGCCTGTCTGAGAGTCATAGAGAATATTGTCTAGGCAATGCATGTATACTGTATTGTATAGCCATTTGTATTAATCTATATCAATTTGGGAAATGTCCTAGTAGACTCTACAAAAATATTAAAGAATGTAGAATTTTTAGAAAACCTGTGTGCATCAATAAAGATTAGCTCCTTCATGATATGAACAGAAAAGAAATGAAAAAAAATAGATCACAGAATTTTCATAGAAATATAATCCCTTAGTAAAGGCTATCATATTATATTAGTTAAGGCTATCATATTATATAAGTAAAGGCTATCATATTATATGATTTACAATGATTTCATATTCCAGACATCATAAAATACATTTGCAAAAGTGAAATTTGTCAAATGCCAACAGAATAATTGACATTGCAACAAATTGAGGACACAAGCTGATGCTTCAATGTGGGCGCAACACGTCATTAAGAAAACCTAATAATGTTAAGCAATTTAGGGAAGGGGCTCATTTCAAAGAAATATTTCCTCATTATTGTTGCCTGGGTGACAGTAAGTGTAAAATAATGCCATAGTACACAAATCCATGCAGTGATTGTTTAAGCTGTTTAAAGAATGTACTTACGGAATACAGATTCAAAAACTGAATTAATATAATGTTCACCTTTTAAAAAATGAACTAGGCAAATGCTTAATTACATCTTTATGAAGTACACATTTAGAATGTATACAATTCCCAGACATTCTAGGTATATTGGTTTCTGAGGTCTCTGACTTAAAGGCCCCATGTACAGTTTGAAAATATAGTTTAATCATTCAAATATCACTTTTCATGCCTTAAACTATTTGCGACATTTTTCTGAAAAAATGACTTTTAAAACACATTATTTTCTCTTCTCTACTCAATTGAATATATCAGGCAAAAGTCTTCAGTCATTCAATCCATGAATTTATCCATATATTTTTAAAGCATGTTTAAAAATTTATGATGTCTTTATGATACTACCCTGCTAAAAATATTAAAAAGATGGTGTTTTGCGATATTTTTTTTAAAACAGTGGTTTGGCTCCCTATCGAAAATAAAGGGCCAACAGCCCTGAGACTCAAGTTGTAACCACGTAACCTTTGGAAAGGTATAGAAAAATCTATTAGTGGCGTAATTTCAATGTTGACGGACAGACGAATGGACCAATGGATGGATGGACACCTAGTCGGTCCCATAGGCTAATTGCGAGCCTAAATCTAAGGGAGTTCACTTAAGAGGAAACCCTGAAAAATTTAATGCGATTTACTTACCACCTTCCATCTGTCTTTGACGACAAAGCCTGGTTGAAGCAGGTCTTCTGACATGTTAACGTAGCTTCACCTTTAATTGCTCTGACTCAAGGTACCCTCATTTCAACACTGCATGTTTCACTATGGTCAAACATCATCTAGGCCATGATATACTGAAACATAAAAGGTGTATAGGGTCTATACATTAAAACTGGTGAATATGTATATGATATTTAATCTTTTAACTCCATATAAATGAATTATGTGAGCCCGTGATATATACCAAAACACAACAATGTCAACAAAAGAATATGCACTATTCTTGAAACCCAGTGAATATGACTCAAACTTTAATTCCAGTGAATATGGCTTATACTTTAAACCCAGTGGATATGACTTATACTATAATCCCAGTGAAAGTTGAGGCATGAAAATAGACTATGTCAATTATATGTTGTAATGAAGTGTGTGAATAATATTAAAAATAAATTTACACTCACAGAATCCGATTGCAGGTAAATTATAAATAAATACCGTGGCTATAACTTCTTTATCACTGTTTATGCTGATAATGAGAGCACAAATATAAACAATATAGTACAAAATATGTAGAGAAATTTCTAACTGAGTGCTAGTTCAGCAAAAGGCATAATTTGAGTTCAGTGCAGTCTATTAATTATCATTTCCTATTATAATGGATTTTTGTAAAATTATGGCAATTTGGAGATTTTTTCAATCAATAACCCAGATGCCAGTAGGTTTGTTTGTTTATTAGGATATTATTATATACCTAAAATAGTTTCTATTGGTGCCATTTTTTATTTACAGTAAAATATGTCTGACCTCTTTCTAAAATAAGAAATTTCAATGAATTTGGCTGCATTTTGAGATTGGGCTGAACAAAACATAACCCATATCTATGCAGTGATTTCATTAACGGCGCCCTTCAATGGAGAGGATGTAAATCAAGATTGGGTGGACGTAAATTAAAAAAATAATAATGTTTTTGGGGCGCAATTTGAATTTCGTAAATCACTTCGTGAATCCACTAAATAATTAAAGGAAATTCTATTTCTAAAAGAAATAAAATTTTCTTTAGAAATTTCCTTCCCGGAAGTTGATTTCTGATCAAAATAGTACGAGGCATATGATAGGACAAATAGTTATCCAATACTCGATATCCGAGCAGTAATCAGTACGAGCCTTACGATTGGCTGCTAGCTGAAGACCCGATTTAAACCATTTTCTATTGGTCAAGTGCGATCACAAGATCATTATTTAAGAATGCGCATGCGCAAGAAACTGAACCAAAAAGTTGAACCTCGCGCAGATTGCCCCTAAACTAAAGCAAAATCAGTAGCTAATTGCTTTGAAATATGCAAAGAATATGTGTTTCTAATGGTTGATATAAGTTATACCTCACAAGTGATGGTATCTGTATCATTCAATGACATACTAGACTTGCCAGAACACTGATTTAGACTGATAGATAGCAAAAGCGATACAACATTTCATCAATTTTATTTCAGTTAGTGTAAAAGTGTAATTTTGAATTCCCGGGAAAGACTGAGACGCAATCTTGGACAAACCTACTGAAAACACTGCTATGAATTGTTGACAACTGCAGATTTTGGGTCTACATTCGCGAATTCGTACATGTAATGACAGTCTATTTTCATGATACCCCAATGTGGCCTCCTGAGACCTTTGGAGTCAGTTGGAGACCTGCGGCAACCTAAAGTCCAATGAAATCCCCTAGGACCGTGTAACATCATGCATGAAAGCCTGTTACCATGGAAGTATCACATGATCAGATTTTAACAAAATAAAACGATGAAGACAATGAAAAATGCAACTGTGGACATTGATCTCCGTCGGACTCAACAAGGAGAGAAATGAAGATCAGGATTCCATAGGATTTCTTTTTAAAAACCGATCAAGACTTGGAAAAATCCTGTGAAATACACAGGAACTTGTATCAACACCTGACATCGATTGGTGGCCCAACCTGGAAGAATAATACTCAGACATTATCCCGTTCCTGGACTATGGTCCTGTGAACATCTCAATCTTTTACCTGTGCGATTACAACATGGGAGAATTTTTTACTGATCTTACACTTCAGATACCTACTTCAATAGATTCCTTGGTAATTTAGCATTCTTTTCGTGTAGTTGAATCCACAATTGTCTGGGTTTATCGGCAGAACGAAGACATTTTCGTTTTTGATCGCAATATTTGCGTGTAACATTTAACTTATTTCAACCGTCAAATTCCTCCATATTGGTACTTCCGGGCTACATCCGGGACAGCCAAACGGGGGATTCCCCTTTTAAATCCAACCGCCATTTTGAAAAGTGATGGAATCTCTCTCGATGAAAAAGAGAAAATGTTCCCGTTCTGCCGCTGTGTTTTCAATAACGCCGTCCTTACATTACATACACGCAAAATATATCCCTTGGACCCGGAAATAAAAAGTGATTGCGTTTTGTGGACGCAGTGCAAGCCATTCTCATACAATCAACTTTGGATGAATGATTTGATAAAGATCTTACCTTCAATCTCTTTATTTCGTCAGAATCCACTATGTAATTGAAGGAAATTCTATTTCTAAAAGAAATAAAATTTTCTTTCGAAATTTCCTTCCCGGAAGTTGATTTCTGATCGAAATAGTACGAGGCATGTGATAGGACAAGAAGTTATCCAATACTCGATTTCAGAGCAGTAATCAGTACGAGTCCTACGATTGGCCGGTAGCTGAAGACCTGATTCAAACCATTTTCAATTGGTCAAGTGCGATCACGTGATCATTATTTGAGACTGCATATGCGCAAGAAACTGAACCAAAAAATTGAACCTCGCGCAGATTGCCCCTAAACTAAACATGCTAAAGCAAAATCAATAGCAAATTGCTTCGAAATTCGCAAATAAAATGTATTTTTAATGGGTGAATATAAGTTATACCTCACAAGTGAGGGCATCTGTATCATTCAATGAAAAGCGGTGATACAAAATTTCATCAATTTATTTCGACCAGTGTAAAAACGCGACTTTGAATTCCCGGGAACATTTTTTCAAGAGACGCAGTTTTTTGAGGGGAGACGCATTTTTTGAAAATCATTACGTCCCATGGACGCAATCTTGGACAAGCCTACTGAAAACACTGTGCCGATATACCCAGACAATCGGCGGTTCCAATATATTAGAAGTTACATCTTGAGTTCTATAATGCATTGAGGTAGGTATCTTAAGTGTAAGGGGCGTAGATAATTCTCCCAAGTTGTAATCGTACAGGCAAATGAATGCGATCAGTGCAGGACTATAGTCCGGGAACGGGATAACCCAGACAGAGCTCATTATTTCAGGTTTGGCAATAGATATCAGGTGTTGATACATACTCCTGTGTTGAAATACTCAAATAAACCATAAACAACATACATATTAGAAAAATTGTGATGCCATTTTCCAGGAAACAAGTTTCACATTTCAATGTCTGTGCAGCCAGTTTTATCAGGAAAATTGAGGTTCATATTTTCATTAATTTTTACGTTCTTGGACAACGCAACATGAAATAACGATGTGATTCTAATATTTTGGCCTCGACTTGAAAAGAAGGCATTGCCGATTTCATCGATGTACTCACCATTCCATTATTATAACAGCATTTTTAGAGGAAAATTTATCCAAGCGTTTTTCATAAATTTTTGTCTGGGTAATCACTGAATGCACAACTGGGAAACGGAACGGAAAAATATAAATAATTAAAAATATGAAGAAAAATGAAAGTTACAATCGTAAGATCTATCAAGTAATTATTCTTTTTAATTATCTTTGTAAAATGAATTCAAAATTTGAAATATAAATATGTTGAATCATATAAAATCTGAATGTCTTCGAAATGTAAATAAGTTGTGCAACTAACTTAACCACGATGGTAATTTTTACATTTCTCACTTTATCGTGTTAATTTAGTGATTTTAGGTGTATTTCATGTCTAATGTATACTTTTTCTTTTTTCGGAATAGGCGAAGAGCAAACAAACGCAGAAGTTTGCGGCAATGAAGCGAATGATCAACCTGAAAGACAGCAGAATGTGAGTTAATTTTTCAAAATATCATATTATCGCCCACTCAATATTTCAATATTGACATTTGTGTATATATCGCAGAAACTTGGAGCGACATCTAAAGGTATAATTGTGACTATTTTATTCAGATAGTAAGTATAGAGAAAAATAATACAATACCGCATAAGTAAAGCTTTTGAAAACTTACATTTTAGTGGCAGTGGTGTCAACCCTAGTATGTATCCAACAGACTGACAAAAAGTCAGTTTGTTATGATGTACTACTTTCCTGTGGAAATTGCAGTGAAATTTTTTGCATAAAATTATCAATTAGAGGAACCATTTCTTCAATAAAATAAACATTACAAAATTTCAATTAAATAGTAAGGTACAATTAAATGCAATAAAAAGTAACACAGCACATTGTCATGTGGAAATAAAGCTAGTTGAAGTAAAAATGTGCAAATTAATTTTACCAATCGGCCATTTTGAATAGCACTTCCTATGTAAACAAATATTTCATATTACCAAACTTTAACATAGGTGCCTTATAGTCTGAATATAATTCAGACTAAATAGGATATAGTCTAGTGTCAACCCACCAAGATTTTCTCGCGGGACAATATTACTTGTAACAAAATTTTCGGGCTAGAAATGGCTACCTTGCTATCAAGTCCAAAGTAAAATGTTCAACATCCATATAAGATTTTCAACTTTAGGTCAGACTGCATGTTTTTGATGTGATCCTCAATAGAGTTTACTCGAGTCTCTAGCCAATACTTGGCTAGAGGGGATTGCATCTGGAATACTGTGAACTCTATTTGAAAAAAGCATGCCGGGGTGTCATAAATTTATTGAATATTTTAAAAATCGCCAGATAAATAAATCATTAACCAAACCGGACCCAGCTCGGTTCCTTGATGAGATATTACATGATTTCATCAGGATTTCGTCTAAAATTAAAACAAAATGGCTCCAAGAAAAATGGCGATGTTCGAAAACTGGACGAAATGTCGTTAACGTCTGACATTAGTAACTGGCTGTAAATTCTAAGTTAGCGATCCAGAAGATGTGAACTAATACACTGATCATTTTATGTGTGTTTTGGAATTTTTGATGAGGTAATAAGACCAAAACTCGCAATTCAAATTGTGATGTGGAAAAATGGCGGACATATGATTTCAAATTTTATTATTACGACATGACCAGTTGTTCATGCAGAAATATATCTGTACTGGAAGGCCACGATACAGTGGCCTTAGAAGAAGGTAAAATAGAGTTACATGTTATTTTTCAAAGATCAATTACTATTTCCTAACATTGTCTACATCTTTTAGATTTGCACAAAAAGTGCACTAATGTACCTAGAAAAGAGTGGGAAGAATATTGTAAAATGTATAAAAACTAGAAAATCAAGGTTTCAGGGTCGTTATCAGGCTCAGCTGGAAAGTAACATTTTGGTAAAAAATTGCTATAGCTGCACATGTTATTTTCTGGTACAAAATTAAATATGAAGGCATGTGTGTATTTCCTTGCTTGTTTCAGGAAAGTATCATTACACTGTCTACTTTTAGTAAACCTGGAAACAGGTCAATGGTAGCTCCTGTGTTGTCTGGAAACGTTGAAAGAAAATTTGGAAAAATATAAAGTCTGAAATATCAGAATTTCCTGGAGTTCCCATTGAACTCCTACCAAATATTACAAAAGAAGACAATGTAATTATACTTTCCTGAAAAAAGCAGGGAAATTGACACATGCCGTCATACTTTATTTTGTACCAGAAAATAACATGTGCAGGAATGGGGTCAACCCAGTTGTCCGAATTCCAATTCTCCGAAACCCAGTTTTCCGAAACCCAGTTGTCCAAAACCCAGTTCAATTAGAGACAATTCAGTGACCTACTGTCATTGAATTTTCTCATTTTTCATACAATTTATGAAAAAAATATTCTTTACATTCTTTTCTAGGTAAGTGCACTCTTTGTGCAAAACTAAAAGATGTAGATAATGACTGGAAGGAGTGATTGATATTTGAAAAATAAATGTGACTCTTTTGAGCATCAAAATTCCGAACATGCAGACTTACCTTAAAGCGACTTACTGAAAAGTCAATTCGATTCATATGTTGCTTAAAATATATGTGGTTTGCAATACATAGTTCTCTCAGAAGGACCAAATGTTACATCCTTCTTCCTATAGACAAGAATCTAGTACTAAATAATTCATATGCTTTTTCATTCCAGAAAGTTCCAAGAGAGAGAGAAAAAGAAGAGAAAGAAAGCAGATCCCTCAAATATGAAGATACGAGAATTGTAAGTAAAAATCAAAAGATAAGATTGGAGTTTTATATGTTTTTTTTTGACAGCTGAATTATGTTTTTAATCACACATCCTAGTTTTGTGCATGAGAAAAATGCAAATTCTGGGCAGAAAAAGTCGAATTCAGCACCAAATTCTGCATAAAATCTAGAATTACGCGATAAATTCTGCAAGCAACGGGTTCATTTGAACTATCACAAAATTGCAGGGAATTCAAAGTGACAATTATTAGATGTAATCTTTAAGTGCAAAAAATCTAAGTTGGAGAATTTTCAACAGATTTCACATTTCCCCTTCGAAAACCTCTTAAAACCAGTTTCTGGTGACAAATGACCGTCTAAGGTGTCAAGGTGAGTGACAAATATGAGATGAGGTGGTTGACTGGAAAAATCACATTTTCTGCGAAATTTCGTGCGAAAAAATCAAATTCTGCAAAAATTTTGAAAACCAAAATTCTGCGTTTTTTTGCCGTGATGTGAATCAAAGAATGCTAGTATCTGTGTATAATCAAGTTATTCTTTATCTTGGATGGGATAGATATTTTGCTCGATTTAGAATTGCACACCTCTGCAAGTGGAACACTTTTCAGAGTCCTAATTAAGGCTTAATGTTAAATGAACCTCTATAAGTAAGTGAAATAAGTGGAACACTTTTTAGTGAGGTGTTCCACTTAGACAGGTTTTACTGTACACAAATGATTGATTCACTGGTTGATACTATTGAAAATAAAAGAAATATATATAGTACATTGGCATTAATAATCCTCCCTTTTGTTTTCAGACCACAAGCCTCATCTGCCATGTTCTTCAAATATAACACCCAACTGGGACCCCCATATCATGTACTGGTCGACACCAATTTCATCAACTTCTCTATTAAGAATAAGTTAGACATCGTGCAATCAATGATGGACTGTCTGTATGCTAAGTGTAAGTTGAATTAACCGCGAACAATTCTAGTTTTATTATCTCACCTTTCTTCCAAAAATTGGTAATGTATTGTAGCTAAGTTTTTTTGCGACTTGTTTATCATATTGTCATTTTTGTAACTTAACCATTTGCAGGTAGTAAGACTTTTCCTTGTTAAAGCTCTGTTTGAAACCTTAGGAAACTCTCAACTTATTTGTATCCCCTCTACTTCCATTTAATAACGATAAAGTAATAACAAATAAACGTCTGAATATTTTTAATGTACTGTAATGTATCATGCTACATTGACTTATGTTTGGTTGTGTTTCAGGTGTACCCTATATTACAGACTGTGTCATGGCAGAAATAGAAAAACTAGGACCCAAATACAGAATTGCATTGAGGTAACATGTCAACATAATCAGTTTTTATCATCAAACTTGCTGTTCCATCTTTGTAATTCCTTTAAACTGTATCTAATACCCTGATTGAGCATATTTTGCGTCATAGTTATATAACAGATGTATTACATACTTTTATTTCCATGGCTACTTTATATTGATTATGTCATGCATCTGTGTCCGAATGAACTTTGGAAGAAATCAAACATGATGTCATTATGATAAATCATGTCATGGTTATAAATGAAATGGGCTATACGGTGGGCTATATGGACCTATAGCCCACCTACTTTTCCATTGACTCCCATACAAATGCTTCACTATGATTGCAATACATTTACTAGAAAATATACATCTATAGTATATATAGAGACCTGTAATAAATAAGATAAATAAAATGTGACTTTTCATCTTTATTTTCTTGATATTCAGAATGGCTAAAGATCCAAGGTTTGAACGTCTGACTTGCTTGCACAAGGGCACATATGCTGATGACTGCCTGGTCAACAGAGTCACAGAGGTACAGAAACATAATATATAGACATAAGATGAAGCAATCCAAGATAATAGGATTCAAAATCAGGAACCATAAAAAACAGTCTGAACACATTTATGATATGTGCTTTCTTTTAATTTATTTAAAAGTGGTTCAAATGTTAAGTTAACAACTTTAATTTTTCTAAATGTAGCTCAAAGGCAGCATAATGGGCACATGTGAAATTTCTAAATGTTTGGTTGTTTCTTATAGCACAAATGCTGCATAGTGGGCACATTTGATATTTCTAAATGTTTGATTGTTTCTTAGAGCACAAATGCTATAATGGGCACATGTGATATTTCTAAATGTTTGATTGTTTCTTATAGCACAAATGCTACATAGTGGGCACATGTGATATTTCTTAATGTTTGATTGATTCTTATAGCACAAATACTACATAGTGGGCACATGTGATATTTCTTAATGTTTGATTGTCTCTTATAGCACAAATGCTATGTAGTGGGCACATGTGATATTTGTAAATCTTTGAATGTTTCTTACAGCACAAATGCTACATAGTGGGCACATGTGATATTTCTAAATGTTTGAATGTTTCTTATAGCACAAATGCTACATAGTGGGCAGATTTGATATTTCTAAATGTTTGAATGTTTCTTATAGCACAAATGCTACATAGTGGGCAGATTTGATATTTCTAAATGTTTGAATGTTTCTTACAGCACAAATGCTACATAGTGGGCACATGTGATAAAGATCTTAGAAGGAGGATAAGAAAAATACCTGGAGTTCCAATCATGTATTTACAACAACACAAGTGAGTTAGAATTTAATCAGCTTTTTTGTTCAACAATTGAAATCAGTTATACATTTTTTATTATTAAGAAACCATGAATGATACTGACTTTTTATGTCACCACCATATTGTTATGGTCTCCATTTTTTGTGATGGTACGTGGCACTTGGCTTCCGGTGTTTGTAACAAATTCTTGCAGCTTCCAATAACTTAACAAATAGTGTTTACACGGACTTCAAAATTTTCAAAATCATCTACAATTTCTCAGAAGTTCAAATCTGACTTAAGATTTGAGATTTGACATTGAATGACCTTCTCAAGCTCAAAAGAAAGGACAAAAGGTCTTTTTTCACCTTGCTTCATCTATTAAGTTCAGATCTGACTTAAGATAATAAGACTTAAGATAATATTGTGAGCAACTAGGTGGTGACATTTTGTCATGTTAATGCCCTGTGATGATAAATTATTGTCTGCATACTTGTCTGCATACTAATTATGTGTGAACTTATAAAGTTATGAAACCAACTTCTTTTTATTGAAAATTCATGGCTGACATCTGTGAATTCAGCATTTATAAATATGACTTATTAATTGACCAATGCAATGTCTTTCTCTTGTAGATATTCCATTGAAAGAATGCCAGATGCGTATGGAGCTCCAAAGGTTTGAAGTGACCTGGAGGACATCAACAAGGATAATATAAAAATACAACATAATATGTATAATGTCATACAGATCTAACACTAGACATTTTATTGTTCAATGTCTAAATGTGATAAACTATACAGAAACACTTAGCCTGTACATAGTTAGTGTTATCATCTCAAAATAAGAGTCTGCAAAACACTCGACATGGAAAGGAATAAATGTAAATGATGCTGACCCTCTAAATTGTATAAAAATGCCAGAATACCAAGCAGCCATTGAAGTTTTGCTGAGAAAATGTAAGGAATAACTACATGTTTGACCAAATGGTAAAACTTCTCTATAGGTGTTGGTGCAGACCAGGGACTATCAGCCTTGACTGTTTTATTTAAAGAGTTTGTCCAGCAATATGTGAATGCTTGAGCATTCATTCAATGTCTCTGGAAAGGCTGTGGCTTGATGCTGGTCATCTTTTGTGAATAAGATACTTTGATCATAAATTCCTTGACTTGTTTTGTTGGTCTCATCCTCTCAATATTCTTTGAGATGGGTGTATAGTCAGGACTTAATGCATGATAGATGTGAAGACATTAATGATGTAGTAACATTAATCATGTGCAAATGTTAATGATAGTGTACCTTTTACTTATATGAGATAAAAGTGTTATTTATATTAAAAATGTTTCCCCTGAATAGAGGGATAATATTTGAAAAAAAAAATAAAAAATCTGTAAATATATCCTCTGTGTTTGAAATTTATTAGAGAAATGGCTAGGCAGTATATTTATGAAAATATTTGATAGAAACAGCCCAATTCTTTTACTACCTTGCTTGTAAATAGAGCATTTTAGTCAAATGATGACCATATCCTATGGAAATGCAGATAATGTGTCAAAGCAAGGTTGGAGGGTGATAATGTACTTTCTATAGACACCAAATATTTATATGTAAATTGAAGCCTAAATGATCAAACTCCCTTTTACATTCAGTACAACATGAAAAATGTTGGAAAAGTTTTCTTAACTTCTTGACATTTGATACACATCTGAAGTGCTCTATTATATTCCATCTTTTTATCGAAACAAACAATATGAAACAGATTGAATATATACCAGTTGGTGTTCATAAAATGATATTTCAGTCTAATTTGGCCAAGGTCATTATAATTTCAAGTATGTGCGTTTTTTGCCTTTTAATTAATCTTTGGATATGGATTATCCTTGTTAGGGTCAATTAATTCTACTGAATTTGATGTACATACCGAAATGAAAATAAAATCAATATTCCATCAGACGCAACAGCTGCTACTTGTATAAGTGAACTGAAGATGTGAAAAATAAGATTGAAGAAGCGTCCTAATGTGTAATCAATGCTCGCAATCTGTTGTCGAAATCAATAAATGTATTTTACATGGAATATTTAAATTGAATGCTATACTGTTAAATTTTGTTGTAGCATACATCATATTCTTCCATTGAACTCTATGTAAATATGTGTGCATCAATTTATAGTTGAACAGATTTCTTTATAATTTCATTTCAATATGTAAAAATCAATTGACCATTCTTATGAATTGATAAAGACTTTTAGAACTCATTATATATTTCTGCAATACGTGGCTGGTTGGACTTAGTATGATTTAAATGAAACACATTTCAGGATTATATTTTTTAAGATAAACAAGACATTTGTTTAACCATATTTTAATTAGACTTGGTTGCTGTATATAAACTAGTGAAGTTGGATAAAATGTTGCTATTATTACCTTATGCTATTTTGGTAATAGTGCCATGTGTATTGGGATCACGCTTCGTATTTGAACTGCCTGATAATGAGCGAAAATGTTTCTATGAAGAGTATGAAGGTCCAGTACCATTAACATTCAGCTTTAAAGTTCTCAAGGGAGGTCAAAATGATGTTGACGCAAGTATAGAATCACCAAATGGTAAAATCGTGTATAAAGAAATCAAGAAGAAGAATGATGAATTTATATTTGAATCATCACGAGGAGTGTATAAGTTTTGTTTCGGAAATGAATTTTCAACATTTACGCATAAAATTGTATATTTTGAACTTGTGGCCCAGGAACATGGATCACTTGCTATCGAGGCTGGAGACAAAAGACCAATAGTAAGGACTGCCATGGAAACATCATTTGAGACAGTGCACAAATCAATCGAACATGTGAATACGTACCAAAAGGAGTATCGCTTGAAGGAGGCTGTAGGGAGACATGCCGCAGAAATGTTAAATGAACGGGTTGGCCTGTGGGCCTTATTTGAAACACTCTGTATTGTACTAGCAGGCGTTGGACAAGTCTTTATTCTAAAAACATTTTTCGTTGAAAAATCATCCACGCTACCATTACCAATAGCAGCCCAGACCTGATCATATGTGTACCTGTCTGATTACCTTTAGTGCTCATAAATGAAAAGCCATGAAATATAATAATGGGATATAATACATGCTAGTACTACTGGATGTATTTTATGTTGACTGATGGATACTTGAAGATGACAATTCTATTTAAAACCTACAATAACATGAAGCTTTTGTGATATTTTGTAATGTTTGTTCAACTTTTGTATTTGAAAGTTTGAAACTTTTGTATTTGAAACCCAATTAGAACATGAAAAAAACTAAAAAGTCATCAGTTTCTCTCTAAAATACCTTTATTTAAATTATTGTATCATTTAAAAAAGAGAACAAATATATTTTGTAATTTTTGCATTTTGTGAGATATTTACATCAACACTGTAAAATATATATAACGCCATAGTAATACTGATTGTTCTACAAATACTAACATTTCTGTACATTTTGGAATAAAATGGGAATGACAACTGTTACAAATACAGATAAAACAAACAAATGTGTTAAAAATAATTCAAAACTAATAATAACAGCATACATGTATTTGACAAAACATTGGACAATAAAGTATTCAAATAGCCTTTAAAAATAAATTGATTTCATTTCACAATAGTTTTCAATATTTGTTTGATAAAATACAATTATGATATATTAAGATAAATATGTCCTATGCAACTAATCAAAATCATAATATCGCAAAACTAAATGCAATTTGTATTCAAACTTAAAAAACTACAATATATAAAAATCACAATGAAAATACATGTTAGCAAAAGACTCCTAGATATAGTATAGTCACTACACCTCTTTAACAAATGATGTACAAATACAATTACGATTAATAAATGGAAAACATGGGAGTTATTCCAAAATAACAAAATTGAGATTCTGGTTAAAACATTTCTTATATTTGTATTGTCCATTGTCAGATTGTACTGGGATTAATAACCTAATATTCTAGTACCAGAATTTCTTGCTGATACACCCACTTGGTGTCTATTTTGAATAGGTGGTGTTTGAAAGTACTTTTAAATTAATGCCCATGGGCAAATATGAAGATGAAAATATTGATTAATCCAGAACCTCAAATCACATATAATTTCAATGGGTTGTTTTTTCTCAATTTTTCTCAAATTGGATTCTCTCTGATAAGTTAGTCCCAATGCACGAATACCCTAGCAAGGAAGCAATAAGTTTATTCTATCTAAGTATCTGAATTTTGTAAACGACCATTCAGAGAAATTGTTTTGATAAATATCATAATGTTCATTTGTTTTGTACATAATTTTGATTATAATTGCTGCTCTTCTGATTTATATTTGAATTGTTCTGAATATTGTGCCTTCTCTTTTGTTTCATGGCACAGGTTTTCTAAAAACCACTAGTTTCCTAATACTGTTTGTAAAATAAATCCTCCAAAAATGTCTCAATTCGTATAATACTGTATTCTGTAATGCTATTTTGATTCTTTATAAAAACACATATGACAACAGGGGCCCATTTCCAATTTTTCTATACAGTCAATGTAAATGGACCCCTGTAATGAAAATTTTGTAATACAGTATTTCAATGGAATGTGTGAACATTTTTTCAATTTTTCATAATTTGTTGCACTCTCCCAAATTCCTTTATCCATCAATAAGTTATCAATCTAATTCTAATGTAGTTTGAAGAGTCTATTAGTTAAATGCATATCATCTGTATACCTGAAAATAAAAGAATAAAATGTAAATAACAAGGCACGTTATATGTTGGTTGTATTTTTGTAAAATTTTGAAATGAAATCTGGTACTGTATTTAAATGAATATTATCAAGACACTATGTTAACTGGTAACAGTAGACATGTCATATAATCAAAAGTTAACAGAAAGAATGTTATTTCAAATTTAAATACACATTAGAATGAATATACCTCATTTGCAAGACAATTTAAATGACAGTTTTGATGAATGGAACCTACCTTGTCATTGGGCTGTTTATATGTGGAAATCTCCCCTGGTTCTTCCCTGTCCACTGTGGGGGAGCACTGGCCCCTGTGCCCCAATTAGGGGGACTGTGTCTGTATGGCCTACCACGAGATGGAAGCATTTGTCTTAATGTTGACCACTCCTCACATCTACTGCTTGGTTGTGATGGATATATACTCTCCTCATCTCCAGCTCTATCAAATGTCTTTAGAGATGCCTCACCAAGAGGTACCCAATATCTTGGAGGCTCAGGTAGAAGATTTGGTGCTACAATTTTGTACCTGGGTACAGGAGCTGTACTGCGAAAATCAGTCGGTATATACCTCTTATTCACCCAGACAGTTTCTTCATCTTTCCTATTAGACTCTTGTGACCTTATAGGATCGTCCATGAACCGACTATAGGCGAATTTATAGGCACCAAAGTTTCCCATGCAGTGAGCTGCCATTTTTGCTGTGGTTGCTAACCCTTTTGTCCAATTGGTTAGCTTCCTGACAACGCTTTATGAACTTTACAATGACCCAATGAATAAGTTATTTAGTCCAATCTGCAAAATTATAGTTTGTTATTTATTTGTTTAATAATTTTATTACATATATATGCTATGAGAAGATATACATTAATCAATATTTTCAAACTAATTACTACTGAAAACAAGTCATGTCATTCATGACTTTTGGCTTTGTTTTGAAATGTAAACATTGTTTTAGAACTTAAGTTAAACCAGTTTTAACATTTTAAAATTGATGAAAATACGTTAGAAATAGATATGGGATAGTTGTTTCATAATTAAAATTGAAAAATCGTGAATCTGACACTATGATGAACGCTCATTATGCAATTAAAAAAGGGTCTAAAATAAATTTATTTGTTTACATGATTCCACGTTCCTGACCTTTGACGTTAGTCACGTGACCAGAACTTCTCTAAAACATTACATTGTTTTCAATTTCCTTGGAATAAAAGGGTTAATGATTAAAATCATTTGCATATATGAAAATACTTTTTGACACGAAATATATCATTCATATTTTATTCAAAAATTTCAAGGATAAAAGGAGGTAGCTTATATTCTAAAATGATAAGATAAATTATGTTTTCGATTTTATTCTCAAGATAAGAGTTTGCCATTGCACATGCGCTGTGATGATTTAGACAATTTCAGGAAATCTTTCCGAAATGTTGTAAACATTTGTCATTTTGACCGCTTCATTGGTCATATATGCACTCAACGACATCATGTTTCGGAAAAAGCCAGACGGAGACGCTAAGAAGTCGAGCCACAAAGTCCTTGACACGAAGAAAGAACCAGTTGCGAGGCTAAAACATTTGAGAGTTATTTTAGGTTGGTGTAGTTCAACAAGTTAAACCCAATACCACGGCTTTCATTTATTAATCTGAATGTTCTTGTTGCCGTGATTGGGTTTAACTTCCGTGGTATGCTTTCATTTGTTGCAAATTCTCACTATCAGTTATTAATTAAACGCGCATGAAATTACTTATTTATTGACAACAATATAAAAACACATAACATCAAGCGATTCAACACAATATTATTGTATTAAATGGTCATTTATACAAGTAAAATGAGGTTAAACTTACCAATCTCTAAAATGACATTCCGCATGTCCGTCATTGTGTCTGTTCGTCCCGGGTTAAAATTTAAACTATTGAAACGAAATTGTTGTCAAATAGATTGATAATTATCACGCGATTACTCGGGATATAAAGATCAATTTTGAGGATAACAGGTATCTTTGATTGATTTATGTAGCGCTTGTATACACGCAAATTAGTTATTAATTGCAAACCTACTGTTCGTTGATGCAGTGTCGCAATGACGGTCAATTCCTGAAACGATTTGCAATTTCGATGTTACCGGAACTGACCGACATTTTCGTATAATTCCAAACCTGTCTCCAATATTTTCGTAATTATGCATCAATAGGGTCTAAGGGGGATACGGGATGGTGTGTATGTATTCATAAGGTATGTATGCATGCTTGAATCACATTCTTTATGTAATATTACCATGTTTTCAGTGTTAATTAGTTCCGCTGGTCGAAACCTGCGGAACGCGCAACAAGGGAAAAATTATCATGGAGGTTAGACCTAGCCGGGGCCATAAGACATGTCAGATAAGAAACGAGGCCCAGGCTAGGTCTAATGTTGTTGGACTAAGGTTGGTGCAGATTTTTTCAATTATTTTTTTCCAGTCAATCATATAGACCTACTGGCAATTGCATGGTGAAACCTTATGGATATGTTATCATTATAATGGTTACTCTAAAAGTTTAGATGATGAACCTATATATATTGTAGCTGTCATTGGGGCAATGTCATCTACTCAAACATGTAACATAGGCCCAGGAACATGTATAAAAAAGGTGGACATCGGCCAAAAATTTCTTATTGCATTTCAGTTCGTTTCACTTATTTTAGTTGCATTTCGCAACCAGTCATAACACATGCATAGCCTGGTACACACAGGCGTACCAGATGGTTGCAAATACAAAAACTTCAAAATTTTCTGGGTGGAAAACCTTCCAGGCCTCCTAAACGTGCTTTGCTCAACTAGTATTCCCGTGTTTGCGAACTACTTATAAAGATAGTGCTAGGCATGACATGCGTGATGAGTATAATAGATCTTTCGTTTAAGGAATAAATAATGATAGGCCATTCAATATGGTGAAATTCAGCACGAGTTGGACAGAATGTTGTACAAAGCACGAACCGAAGGTGAGTGCATTTGTACTAACATTCTGTCCAACGAGAAATGTTGAAGAAAATGCATTCTTGTCAAGAAAAATTGCCATACATGAAATTCCTCGGGATTTCTGATTTCTTTCATACATGGGCGCTTATTAGAATGGTCTAAATAATGTATTTTCAATTTTCTAAACGCCCTGGGCGCTAATTACAGAGAATACGGTACTAACTTAAGATATGTCCAGGCTTCAACAAACTTGAGTACTCAGAGAGACTAAAGAAACTAAATATGACTATCCTGCCTTTTAGATGTAAGCGAGAAGATATGATCGAGACCTACAAACTCATGAAAGGACTATATAATATCCCAGTAGGTGAATTATTAACTAAAATGGAGGATATATAGGAAGAACCAGGGGCCACAACATGAAGCTAGTAAAGCAACGCTCAAGGGCAGTGAAAAAATCTAAGTTCTTCACACAAACCGCAGTTCAGGATTTTCCATGATACAAATAAGAAACATTATCTCAGACCACATTTAAACTATATGTTAAGCTCCATTTGTGAAAAGCACATCTACTGACATTATTTTATTTTATTTTAAGATATTTAGCCGCTTGAGTCTATATTTTTTAAAACATCCAGAATAAGTGATTAGGTTTGCTAAGTACTCAGATTTTGGAAGTGTTTTTTTTCTTGTCGATGGTTCTAAATAATGAAATGAAAAAGTGAGCATATTCGCATATCTGCGACCATTCATCCTGTATTTTATCTACCTTTTAAATCATGTAAAACCTACTGAAAAGTGATAATCTTAACACAATTGAACTTTAGCCTCCTTCATAATTTCTGTTTTTTTGTTAACCACCCAAGACATTTTTCTTAGGGAACTCAACTCGATTTTTATACATGCTCTTGGGGCCTATGTTCCATGTTTTAGTGGATGACAATGCCTAATGACTGCTACCCTATATCCCATGTACTGTAGTTGTTTACAAACAGAACATTATTTATTTCGAATCTAGATTCTACTTGGTTCAACTGAAGTCAAAGGTTTATCTTATCAATATCAAACAAATTTTATCTGCTATTTTGGATAAAACTAACATCAGTTCATTCTGCCATGAACATGGCAGATAGCTTCTTCTATTAAAGGAATATTCCTTGCCAGACCCTTTCTCTCTTGATATGGTAGCTATAATCATATATATAGTTTCCATATTTAGCAAAACATTGGAAAATCTTTGAATATGGTCAATATTGATCATTTAAAAATCTAGTGCTTATTTCCAGTGAGCTGCCATCTTTTAAGATTTCTTGCAGGAAGTGATGTCATCAACTCTCAACTTCTATAACCTTGCCCATAACAGTATAGGAAAGTAGCACAAAATCACTTCTAGACAAGTGATCATTACTTTCTGTGCAAAAATATTTTCAGGGCTTGTCAACTTAGAATAAAAGAAGAGATTTTCAGAAGGATTAAATAAGATACAAAGTTGAAAAAGAATATTTAGCTGGTTTTGTTATTCTTAATAGCTCCTCACCTAATGCTATATGCAAAGTTGAGAGTCTATGACATCACTTCCTGTGTGAAATTTTAAAAGATGGCAGCTTACTGGAATTGAGCATCACATTTCTAAGTGATCAAATTTGACCATATCAAAAACATTTTTGTGTGTTTTGCTAAACATGGCAAGCATATACATGGTTATAGCTACCATATGAGGAGAGAGATGGTTTGGCAAGGAATATTCCTTTAAGTCTCATCTGGCCCATCTCGTCATTTTTTGTTCCTTTGTATCAGAACAATAACCCATACTACATTCCTACATTCAAGATAAAAGGAGAGAAATTAAAATTACAATGCCTCAATGATCCTAGATTTATTAGAGGAAAAATTGAATATACACTAATGAATGTCAACCAATGTCCCCTGTTCCCCGTTCCAGTCTCCAATTCAAATACTAAATTTGTTTTGCAGTGTTAATATTGCAAATACGTTTTCTATACATTATATATTTATTGAGGGACTGTACATTATAACATACCCTGCACATAGTCTAGTCTAGTCTGCCTAGTATAGACTATATTACAGTTTGGCCTCTCCGCCCCAAAGATTCGTGCCTGTGACAGCCCGAATAATAAAGAGGAAATGCCCATTTAGAAAGTCATCCTTATTTCGAAACCAAACTCTGATTGGCTCGGTGAGATCAGAGATTTATTGTAAACTGAAAGAGTGAAGACAAAGCTCTCTTTTAGAAGTGCAGTCGAATGAAAGCAAAGGGTAGTATAACACTTTGTATTTTATACCAGATTCATGCAAGTACCTACATAGACATAAATGACAATTTGTGTATTATTTCAGATAATTGGGATTTAGCAGAAGCAAAGTCCTTCTTCGAGCAGAATTATGCACACATTTATTACATCTTTTACGACGTGTTCATTTCTGTAGAGGGGGACTTGAGGCAAAGAGGTAAGAATCTACTACTACATTACATTACAGTCGGGGTCTCCAGTAATAACTCAGTCTACTAATATTCAAGAATATTTTCTGCATATCAGTTGCAGCTAACCGTAAAGGTAGACAGTAAACTTAGTTCCTGTCATTACTGCCAATACTCCACTACCTTAAACCACATCATATTTTTTAAGTTCAAGTTGATGCTTTGTTGGCCATAGAGGCTTTTGCTAGCTTTGAAATTTTTGATGATTTTTTTTAAAAAGGCTGGACTAAATTGATTCACTTATATATAAGGATCCAAATTTTAAGGTTCAATTACAGTCTGCACGTGAACAATGTCATCACTTTGCATATATATTTGGAAATATTTTATGAATCGAGAATTTAAGTAACTTTTGTCAATTTTTATTGTTACATATTCACTTAATAGGTGCAACCCCTATAGCGTAGGCTTGACATTCATTCTCACACATTTTTGGGATATATTAGTGCCCCATCTAGCACAAAATCCTGGTTCCGCTTGTGATATTATGTAATGGCATTCTAGCCCAACCAAAACTTCAACTGCCATCTTTTGATTCATCTTTATAGTGAGTCCCCTCATTGTTAAAGAGCATCAAAACTCCCAATGAATATGTAAACATGAACACCTCTATATGTTTGGTCCTCATATGATCTAAGCATTGTAGTGCTCTCCCAGCATGAAGAAAGTTAAAACTGTCCTGGAGATTTTGAAACACTTATTTGTAAACACATTTGTACCTAATAAAGAATGATGAAATTTATAAAATTGATGTAAATGATATGATAAGAGTTGTGAAAATGAGAATGAATTGCATCCATCCAAGGAAAAAAGGTAGTCCACTCATTTATTTAAATGAATTTGTTTTATTAGCTGAGACCAAGTCACACACAGGCAAATATAGTCTATTTTGTCGACAAGAGAGTGGGTCTGGTATTGAAATTAATGTACCAGGGCTCATAGATAAAGGTATCTCATTGCATGTGTAGCAAGCTTTTGAGATCAGTTGAGAGATCAATGGAAACATAAGTCACTGTGTCCTTGGGATAAGATGGATTCATTTCCAAAATTGTAATCTTTTGTTTCCTAATTTCAGCACAGTTATCATATCTTTTTTCAAGGACACGTGACTTTATTTTCGGTTCTGATATGAAAATGAATTAGTTTTGATGATGCGTATGAATAATTACACATTGCATTTGAATTACATATTGCATTTGAATTACACTTTGCATTTGAATTATATACATTGCACAATATCATGAAGATTTCAATAAGACATTGTGAATCCTTGTTCTGATTCAGAGACATACATACGTTTCTTGAATGCAAAAAATGAGACTGATGCAACGAATCAGTTGTTGACACCTTCAATTGCAAAAGTAGCGCTAACAAAGTATAACACTGTTAACTAATGCCTGAATCGAGAGCTTTTACAACATATTTGGGCGCCACTGCACTGCTCAAAATATTGCAAAATACTGTAAATCCCATCCTTGGAATGGAAGGTTGATGTCTGGAGCCCTGCATTTGTAGGATCTCAAAATACTGTTTTACAAGGTTTTGTTGGATGAATAAGATATAGATTTTCGGCCATTTCTTTAATCATCTTCTCAAAATGAATGAGGTGTCACATCATGACATACAAAATATTACTCAAACATTCCCATACACCAGGAAAATGCTCATTTAAAGGGGCTCATTGCATATTTCTGTTTCACCAAAGTTTAAGAAAATTATGAATATCTTATAATTTGTATTATCAGTACAGACCTTCTTTTCTTTAAATTTTAGAGATTGAAAAAATTGCTCATATAGTCTATTAATAGTTAGTGAATTAATAGTCCTTTAGGACTTACAAGAGGTGCATGCACCCTTTTAAAATTGCACAAGACATGCTGCTTATTTTTTCAAGCCTTGACATTCTCAGGAATGAAACTTTACCTCAAAGTCTATTGATGTTGATATTTTAGACACAGACCCTTAGCATGAAATTTTGTGATTTGCATAATTTTAGCAAATGATTTCAATAATACAAATGAGCAAATGATTTTAAAATGTTTGAAATTGATGAATTGCTGTTTTTATATTTGTATGTTTTGACCTTGTAGTTAGCCAAACAAGGCTGAAGGCTGCATTTGTAGAATCGCAATCGCAATAGTCTGTGTTTGTAATTGCAAGCTGAAGTGTGGTAAAAATAGAATTCGGTATCTCAAGATCAAATTAAGTTAAATGAGGAGTCTAGTTGCCAGTTTACTCAACAAGGCTAAGGTTGAGCTGCAGAATACTGCAAAATCATAAATTAAACAATTTAAAGTAGATTGAGAAGTACTAAAAATATTGATATCTATTACTACCAATTTTGTTGCAATATCAGATATTATGAATGTTAGAACAGTACTTTTGGTATCATTTCGGTACAGTGAAATCCTGATTGGTACCAAGATTATTGGTACCAAGTATTGTATCAAGTCTCTAGACTATTCAGCAACTGATAAATTCATGCCTTACCATCTACAACATACAGTGACAAAATATATAGGTGTACACTTAAGCTGTACATTGTCATATACATATATTAATGATTTGAAGCAAAAATTGTGATGTAGGTTTTATAAGATTTATCCAATTTATATAAAGATATTGTTATGGTCTCCAATTTTTTGTACGCAGTTGGTATTCAGCATCTGTAACAAATGGCAGGTGGTATCATTTTGCATGTGAATGCCTTATTTTCATTAAGTCAATATTTCATTTCAGTTTTTAATACATTTGTATTTATTTTATTTTTGTAGCTAACAAGGCACATAAGGAAGAATTTGACAATGTGCTGTTTATCTTTGAGGTAAGAGATCCTGGGGATTTATAAATTACTTCCAAATATTCCCGCTACACTTCAGGCTAAGATGAAATTCAAGGGTCCTAATTGGCAAAGAGCAACTTTCAAGTGTTTTTATTTAGCAAACCTAAATACTATGTACTATTCCCTATGCAGATTTATCAAGTATATATAGTAGAATCCATCATCATACAAAGTTTGGCTTCAGATTATCATAGAAGTCATGATTACCATTTGAAGTATCTCGTTAAATATTGTGTGAATCGTTTACCTATTTATTGTTGGTGTTTGTGGTTGTTAGGCTTTTGATTTTGGTTTCTAGATAAATAATCATTTGATAGTATCATTGTTATCATCAGTTGAATATTTGCCTGAGCAGAGAGATAAAAATAACTTGCAAGTGGGTAGTGAGTTCTACATAAGCAAACCACTTGTGTTATCTTTGGTTTTACCAGGTTTTTACATTTATTGTCTATAGTAACCTAGGCTTGGAATGTCAAACAGGTCACGCTTTTTCACTGGATTTCTCTCTAAAATTTGAATGAAGTGTCTGATTTTCTAGCTTTTCTTCACAATTTAGGATGTTAACTACATCCTCGTATACTTTATTCCTTGGTGATTTCTCTCTTTTCCACTCCAATTTGCATTTTAAATCATGACCGTCATTGCATTTATGTACTGGATTTCTGTACCCCTCATTGAAACGAATGGTTGTTTGATTGCTTGGAGAATGTTTGTGGTTATCTGGTTAGTTCTAAGATCTAGAGTGTAGAATGTTGTTGCAATTATTCAACCAATAATTTCCTATGCTATATTTCTTTGATTTCAAAGGGTTGAGAACCTTCATGTTATAACATTAAGGATTCTTGCTTGAGATTGATTTCCAAATATTGGTTATGAACGAATTCATATAACATACATATCATGAAAAATAACATGTTTAGACAAAATTGATATATAATAGACATTATCTAGTACATGTATGTTTATGTAAATCCTGTATTATTTGATGTTGTAGAAAATCTTGTTGCTCCTGCCTGAGTTGATCCACAAAAGATGGCAGTACCATAGTATGGGCCGTCTGCTGAAGAAGCTGTTACATCCTGCCAACACACTTAAAGTATGCTTTTAGCATTGAATTGAGGGCTGTTCTAAAAATAATTTGATTAAAGTTAACCTACTCTTACACAGTTTAATTTACTTGCAGTAGTGAAAATATTTTAGCAAATTTTGTTAAGGGTCAAATTCATGAGGCCGTTTACTCACATTGTAGTCTCTGTTCAACCATAAAATGAGTATATTGTCATCGTGCAATTCACAATAGGATTATTTTGAAACTTAATCTGCAAGGAAATAATTCCTCAAATATCTTATCGATGTAGGTAAAATTAGATGCCATTAATATTCATATATAATAATCAACTAAGTAAATATACGGAGCAAATGCTAGATTACTTTGATATAATTTCAAAGAAACATGATCGGATCTAGTTCCACCGAGGCACTTCCTGTTAGATGAGTTTTATCAATGATTTTTCTCAAATAGCGATTTCTTCAACTTGTAGATCCGTAGAGAAGGGATGCGACTATTCATCATCTGGTATATGATTATGCAAGAAAACGCCACTGAGGAATGTCACATGACCTACGCAAGCCTGGTGCCGATGGTTGGATCCACTAACATGCCACTGGACCAAGATATGTACATGGTCCGGGTTGCAGCTGCCCCATTTGCTGGACCCGAAGGTAGTAGTAAAAAAGGTAGAGGTGTCTATGGGTGGTGTATTCTTTTTCTTTTATCTTTTTATTTGTTTTTTTGTTTTCTTATATTTTTTGTAATAACTCACCCTGTAGTTATGTTCTTCATTCTGTCTAATGCATGCATTTTTTTATATCTGTATTTATTTTGTTTCTGTACTGTTTTCTTATGTGACTAATATTTTATGATTTTGGTGTTTAGTTGTTTTTCTTGAATTTCTCCTTATTTTCTTCCACCATATGCTAGGCACCATTAAGTGTAATTTGATTAGTTTAGATGATTATTTGAACAATTTCATGATTATCCATTTTAATATAAACGATATAAAAATGTATGAAGCTATATAACAGTATGTCTTGATAATCCTTGTTTTTATGTTCATTGATTACAGTATGTAGCTTTAATGGTTTTGTCTACTTATGTTTTAGGTGCCTATTTAGCAGCAGTTAATCCAGTAGAAATTTGTCCAGTAATACCAATGCAGCCAAACGAAAAGTTGCCAGAAAATCTCACAAAATATTTCCTGGAAAGCCTCATGACATTCATGGTATCTGAGGTAAGTAATTGTGTAACTATGACAACACTAAGAATTGGTGACATATTGTAATAACAATCATTTTATGTGATGGTCTGTCACAAATTGTTCCATTTTTGGTTGTGATATTTTGCTCTTTTTATCTTGACATATTGGACTTCAACGAATGATCACAGAATCAAAATAAAATCTGTATACCTAAACACCTCTCTAATCTGCTCCTAATGTTAACACTTTTTGGTCCCATTTTTCTTATTGACTTACATGTTAAAAATACTATAAATTTAAAAGCTGTTTATCTGAACTCTTTTTGCTTGTCCCGTTGGTGTTCTTATTACTCATGTTTTACTATTAATTATAACATCCTTATCACATCTAGGTCACAAAGATAGAGTGGAGCAATAGAGAGATGCAAGAGTTCAGTTTCAACTTTGTCTTCAACCGATTCAAGAAATACTACTTGCTACATATATTCCCTGATTTTAGTCGGCTCACCAGCATATATGATCCAATCTTGGGTGAGTACATTAAAAGTATTGGGTGAGTACATTAAAAGTATGTGTGAGTGCATTCTGAATATTGGTGGTTACATTTAGATATACTGGGTAAGTAGATTAAAAGTACAGTACATTGGTGCACAGCTGAAGATGGTTTGAATATTTCATATTCCTAGATGCTAATTGATTGATAATCGCACATTTTATTTTATTTAGATTTGCCAGAAGAGAGGCCTCCACCAATAGGAGACAAGGTTCTACAGTCGTGCCAAGAAGTTGTGGTCAGATGGGTTGCCATATTTACACATCACACGAAGAAACCCCCAGAACAGCCACCTGCAAAGTAATGAATACTAGTATATTCAATGTTTCCATATTCACAGTATCTGAAAAATCACAATCTAGTTTTTGTTGTAAATTTTAGTTAAAGGCAGATATCAAAGGAATTATAAGATTGAGCTCTGGAATCATTATTTTGAAATAATTATTTGAAAAGTATCTTTGAAACACTTTGAACAGCATTTTTATTTGTGAAAAGAACAATACAGTTTACCTAAACTTCTTTATTAAGAAATCATATCAAGACAAAGACAGAATTATTAATATGTTGTACAAATTCAGTACCCCTGTTCCTGATGGTGAAAGTGGTGACCAGGCCTCGCCTACAGGGAGCAGGCATGACCCCAGTGAACAGAGACCCCCAGGCAGTAACAACTCCACACTCTCTGGAACAAGCAACCTGACAGAGAAGGACACATGCTCTGTGTCAAGTGAAGACCATTCAGTGTCAGAATATGAGATTGTCAAAAGATGTCTCTACTCAACCAGGGAGAATGTGAACCTTATACACGAAATATTCAGACAGGTAAAAAAATAGAATCTAAATTTTTTAATCAAACATGTTTATTCAGTATAAGTCTTGAGTGATGATTAATGATTAGTAATGAATGAATTGAATAAAATATCTTTTTTAGGGAGACATTTCAAAAAGCTTGGATTGAAACTGCTCCTTTCAAGTGTAAAGTTTCTATTTTTGCTATCTTGTGTTTCAAAACATCATATACACGCCCGGTGATTGTACAATAGATGCAATTCAGTTGTGAATTAACTTTTGAAAAAATAAATCTCCCAAATTTGTTCTCTTCAGAAATCGCCTACTCCCCCTCCATCCATTTTGTACGATCACTGGGCGTGATATGACATCCATAGTTTCAATGTTCCAAACAACAGTCTCGTTTTATAATTCCTCTATATTGTTTCAGGCCTTTCTGTTCCCATTCCAACACACTGGTGCCATGAAGAGAGTCATAGGAGTCTACAAAGAGTGGCTTCAGGTAACCATGACAACTACATAGTTGCCGTGATATAGCTACCATCTTGTTACCATAGCATCACTGCACAAGGGTTCACAAACTATCTGATTTTTGCATGTCGCATAAACATGTTTTTTTTTAAATACTAAACATGAGGTTCTTATTGATCTCGGAAGATTCCTCCAAAGAATTCCTTCCAAAGAAACTTTCATAATAATTTGAATTTTATAAATCTACATCATGTTTTTTTTTATTAAGCTCTAGATACCTTTTTAGCTTTGAGGAATAGTTGAAGTATTGAGAAAGTTATTTATGAAGACTGCATGCTTATTGGATGAACTTGCATGCTGAGAAGAATCAAAATCTTGTCTATAGCATAGCTTCAGCATGGGGTGATTTTGCCTGTTAGAAATCCAACATGGAAATGTGGTTCATCCATAATGAGTCATGATATTCATAATTCATTATTACTATAGTTTGAATAAGTTTGGAAGTTTACTGTTCAATGATTTAGAAGATTTAGGGAGAAAAATCCAATACTCAACAACAAAATATACAGGGTTACCCAATAAAAATGAATACATTATCCTGCCTATGCTTTACATAAATTGAAATATGAGTGTATGGAGCCAAGAAAAAGTTCAAAAAAGAAAGTCCAATGTCCTGTTTAAGTCTTAAGCAACACAAAAGTCTTTAAGTTGACACCTTTTATTTATTCATAAAATGAGCTTCGGCATGTAAAGATGCACTCATTATTATTGGCCCACCCTGTATATGTGCTAATACATGAAGTTGATTTGATTTATGTATAAGTTCAGTATTGGATTTTCTCCTCGTTTAATAAAGGAATATTGCCAGATTAGTTCGTAAATTTTTAAGATTCTAAAATTGTAGATGTACATACTTCGATAACATCTGTTGAACTATTCTGGCTTTATTGCTGGAGTAGTTAATGTTCTACTAATCGTCTCTTACAGACTGATACTAAACCACTATTTTTACATGAGGCCCCCGAAGCCTCCCCTAGGACGTCCCCCACCCCCAAGATGTCCCCCAGAGATTCTGTGGACTCCTCTTCCCCTGTTGAAATGCCAAATAGTTTGCCATTGTCTAATATTACTGAAGAAAATGCATCTATTGTAAGTTTTATTATTTTTGAAAGGATTTACATGAATGTGCGTTTAAATGTATTATGTTTTTTTGTAATGTTCATTTTTAATTGATTGATTTTTTATTATTATGTATTTATAAGTTGTAGCCATTTTTATTTTTTAAGTTTTTTCATGAATCATTTCGAATCATTTCATGATAGATTATTGGTGATGGTGATGTAACTTTAATTTTTCATGAATTTATGCATGGTAGAAGTGATTGAATATTAGATGTAGGTCTAAGTGTAGTTGTACAATGTGAATGTACCTGTAATTAGTTTATTACTAACGAGTAACACATTGTGGGTATGAAGGCCTGTCAAGGAGGGCTTGATATGCTCAATGAACATGAATTTGAACATTTTATTTTCATAATACAGTCATATGTAAGTCCAAGTATGATTCACGCCCCTATAATAAAATGAGCTGCTTGAACTCTAAGTAAAATCAGAGTGTAGATACTACCCTTAATTTTAAGATAAATAAACTCATCCCTTGTGTTCACAAACTGAGTTTAATCATTAAGGGTTGGGTACCAGGGTTGATCAAAATGAATTGGAACCTATTGATCATTATTTAATAATAGACAAGTCGTAACATTGTTTTTGTATACTGGTATGTGCTGTAAAAATCAGCTGACCTGAATTGTAAATAACTGGCTTCAAGCTAGTGGAACAGCACTTACGCTGCACCCTGTTGTGTGCTGCATGCTATTGGAACAGCACCAGGCAGTTGTAGTGATATGACATTAATGTACATAGAGTTTTGTTTCACATTGTAGAGTTCAGCAACTGCCACTCCTGATACACCTGATAAAGATAAAGCTTGGATGAGCACTGACCCCAGTGATGGAATGAGACCTGGTTTGCGAAATGATTCTTACCTCGGTAATCACTTTATGTTAAGAGCATTGATCAATTTATTTGTAAACTATTGACCAATTTGCAATTTAAAAAGTATATAGTACTTGCATGTGTTCAGAATATGCTCTCAGAGAACATCTCCAACATCTTGACTTTAATAATAAACTATAATATTTTCAGGAAAAAGAAATGGCACTTATTTTCAAGATCAGAGTATTTTCTATTTTCATTTACAATATACTGTGAAATGAATGTCCTGCTATATTCAAATGCGCCATAGAATTGATTGCAACTATTGTTTTACTCCAGGTGCTATTACAGACATATCAGACAGTGAGGTTGAACAGAATGTCAAGGCTGGAATGCAGAGGTTTATACAGCTGTTTGTCACTCATACATCTAATGTGTTTCTTCTACAATCTGAGTCCAAACTCATTGATGAGCAGGTACATAGAATAAAGATTACCTAGAAATTATGTGATATGATTAATATTACCTAGAAATTATGTGATATTGTATGAAAACCTAAAAAAAACTATTGAATCGCAAAATCTAATCATTGTTCTATCACAAGACTTATTTATATAGAAACCATTTCTTAAATCCAGTTTAAAGCTCTGATAGTGAAACATTTATGATCTATTGCAGGTTGATATGTGTAAGCGAGTTTTAAATATTTATCGCTTCATGGTAATGCATCACCACATGACCCCTAAAACCTGGGAGCAGTTATTGCTCATCTTGCTGAAAATCACATCAGGGGTGCTCCAGGCTACGCCATCTACTGGCAAGGAGAGAACACTAGGAGGCCAACTCGCTCAACCAATTTTCCAAGTATGTATAATAGCTGAAAATATTTTTCCGCAAAAATTAGTAATTTAGAATTATTAGTCCGCGTGCGATCTGCTTTATGGTACATACATGTTTCAGTATATGTCATAGCTTTATATTAAGTGAAAGTCTGTGACCAATATGTACCTATATTAACTGGTTTTGCCTCGATGTCCACTCCAGTAATGATGGGTGTCGGCCGAGGGATCAGACAGAATTTGTTTAATATTGTATTGTCTTGTATGATCTGTGTATCTTTTGTAAAAACTTGTAAATGGTGGAAGATTGTCTTGTTTGAAATTACAGAGAAGCGTCAAACATAGAGGAATACATTAGGAATGAAGATAAAATAGTAGAATATATAAAATATAGAATATTTATAAAATAATGAAATAAAGAACATACTCCTTAGCGATTGTCCAAAATTGTAAGATTCTGATTTGAAGAGATGATATCTTGAAATTGATATTTTACAATAAGCACAATTTAAGCAGCCAGCATTTATACACTCACTTGGTGTGTTTATATTTCAGACATTGATTGTAACATGGATCAAGGCCAACCTGAATGTACTGATATCAAGTGAGTTGTGGGACCAGTTCCTTGTCGTTTTGTCATCACTCACTCACTTGGTGTGTTTATATTTCAGACATTGATTGTAACATGGATCAAGGCCAACCTGAATGTACTGATATCAAGTGAGTTGTGGGACCAGTTCCTTGTCGTTTTGTCATCACTCACTCACTTGGTGTGTTTATATTTCAGACATTGATTGTAACATGGATCAAGGCAAACCTGAATGTACTGATATCTAGTGAGTTGTGGGACCAGTTCCTTGTGGTTTTGTCATCACTCACTCACTTGGTGTGTTTATATTTCAGACATTGATTGTAACATGGATCAAGGCCAACCTGAATGTACTGATATCAAGTGAGTTGTGGGACCAGTTCCTTGTCGTTTTGTCATCACTCACTCACTTGGTGTGTTTATATTTCAGACATTGATTGTAACATGGATCAAGGCAAACCTGAATGTACTGATATCTAGTGAGTTGTGGGACCAGTTCCTTGTGGTTTTGTCATCACTCACTTGGTGTGTTTATATTTCAGACATTGATTGTTACGTGGATCAAGACAAACCTGAATGTACTGATATCTAGTGAGTTGTGGGACCAGTTCCTTGTGGTTTTGTCATCACTCACTTGGTGTGTTTATATTTCAGACATTGATTGTTACGTGGATCAAGGCAAACCTGAATGTACTGATATCTAGTGAGTTGTGGGACCAGTTCCTTGTGGTTTTGTCATCACTCACTCACTTAGTGTGTTTTTATTTCAGACATTGATTGTTACATGGATCAAGGCAAACCTGAATGTACTGATATCTAGTGAGTTGTGGGACCAGTTCCTTGTGGTTTTGTCATCACTCACACAGTGGGAGGAGCTGATCAGAGAGTGGGCAGTAAGAAATATTTATTATCATTTAATAGTAATACAAAATTAAGTACTGACAGGATGATGTGTTATACAATTGGGTCTCATTGGGTCAGATAACATGTCAGACCATGGTTGACATTGAAAAAGTTCCCTTAAACTTGAGTTATTAAAATATTTAGAGGATCAATTTTTATGTCAACTTTCTAGTCTATTCACAATTTTAATTTCATGTGCAAGGAATGCAAGTGCAAGTTATATGTATGCAACATGAATAAGTTATAGAAAGTCTTGTACTCTCTAATAATTTTAACTTCTCACAAATCTCACATGCTAAAATGTTCTGAATCTACATGAAAGATGACGTATTTGATAAAAGTAAACATAATCTTGCTACCCTTTGTGCTCACTTTAATCATGATGTTGTATATTTAGAAAACTATGGATACACTGACCAGAGTGCTAGCGAGGCAGGTGTACAACTTAGACCTACAAGACCTGCCACTGGACAGACTCACTGAACAGAAAAAGAAGAAAAAGAGGGGAGGAGAAAATAGAGGTACGTTCAAAGATTAATATACAATTAGGGTACTGGTTTATGATATAAGTTGCCCAATTGAAAGAGGGGAGGAGAAAATAGAGGTACATTCAAAGATTAATATACAATTAGGGTACTGGTTCATGATATAAGCTGCCAAATTGATATAAGCTGCCAAATTGATCTGTATAGTTGTAGCAAATATCAGAAATTCATTTATGTTAGACTGTCTGTAATTTTTAGATTTGAATGAGAGAATGAAATTAACTATTATGTATGTATGATGTCCAATTGTTCATTTTGAAAGGCTGAATCCTAAATGATCTCTACATTTACATTAACAAAATACTGTCCTGTACATCTTATTTATAATTTACAGCTGCTGCTAAAAACAGTGTTGATCGTACATTCTCACGTGGATGGAGTCAAAATGAGAAATCAACGAATGATAGCAATGCTGAAAGCAAAAAGCTCCAGTCGCATTCTGAAACTCCAAGCTCTCCAAGTGCATCATCATCAACAACAGAGGTCAGCAGTAGGTTCCTCTCTGAGAATCCTGATCTGGATGGTGAGTTAACTTGTATATTCTTTAAATATATGTTTTGAAATGAAAGTATAGTTTGAAATCTCGAGCATTGGCATGGTGAAGTAGGGATGTGTCTGTCATCATAATTTTGCTATCATGATTTATGTGTTGTCAGGATTAATTGAACTTTTGTGTCCCAGGGATTGGTCTGACATGTCTGTCATGGCAGTTTGTTTGTTTTTATCATGGGGATTTGTCTAATTTTTCTGTCATAGCGATTTGTCTGTCCTATCGATTCGTCTAATTTTTTGTCATTGGAATTTGTCTAATTTTTCTGGTATAGGGACTTTTCCATCATATGGATTTGATATAGGGCCAGGGATTGTCTGTCATAGGATTAAATATAATGATTTGTCTGTCATAGAAATTGTTCTGTCATAGGGATGTGTTTATGGGTCAGCATCACATTGTTAACTGTTTAACCATCATTTAGCACTTGATTTGTTTGTGTATTTGCATTTTTTAACCAAACTACACAGCAATAAATCCCAGCACTTGTGACAATTATAATGATAAGATTGCATGAGCCCTTGCCCCCCCCTCCCCTGTAATAATGGATGACAATGAGACAGACATTAAAGTCATTATCATTCCAAACAGAGCAGTTTATACACAAATACAATGTCATTTGTTGCTTATACAGAAGAATGGCCATTTAAGTAGACAGTTTATGTATTTTGAGACTCCCAAAGTTTGTCTCATCTGAATCCTTCAAAAATCCAATGATCCTAAGCATGATTTGCAACCACAGTAAGCATCATATGCAGTTCCCAGGACTCCTAATAGCCTACTACTATTCCATTGTTCCATATTTGTAGGAATCCTAATTCACACCATTGAATATACATACATGTTTGAATATCAATAGGGATTATGCACTGGGAGGTTTAGGATACAGGAAATATACAGGGGATATTCAATATATCTTCCCGAGGGGCCGATTCACCCTGATTCACACCGTTGAATATACTGTACATGTATGTTATGTTACTAATTGTCTAGAGTCTACTGTACTAATAGCATGCTGGATGCTGGATTTCAGCTTCTTTCAATATCATGTCAAAATCCCGAGTGAAACGAGAACGTTCAATAAGTGGTTCTGAACAGCAGAAAACTGATGCTACAGAGGCGGAGATGATGGAGCCGTTACTACGCAGTAATAGTGATAGTAACCTATCAACAGCACAAGATGGTCGTACCCACAATCCTTATGCTAGTCCAGGTAGTGCTTTAGCATTCCCATATAATATAAATTTTACTTTTTCTAATTACATGTAGTTGGTGTTGGGAGCTTTACATGCAAATTCTTGCTGTGGTTAATTAACTGAAACATGTATTGTATTTATGATTTTCATGACACTGGTATTTGCCCATTTGCTAATGATCCTAATTATTATGGATGATATGCCATAATAAAATGGATGTCATGCCATAATAAAATGGGTGTCATGCCATAATAAAATGAGTGTCATGCCATTATAAAATGGGTGTCATGCCATAATAAAATGGGTGTCCTGCCATAATAAAATGGGTGTCACCCAATAATAAAATGGGTGTCACCCCATAATAAAATGGGTGTCATGCCATTATAAAATTGGGTGTCATGCCATAATAAAATGGGTGTCATACCATAATAAAATGGGTGTCATGCCATTATAAAATTGGTGTCATGCCATAATAAAATGGGTGTCATACCATAATAAAATGGGTGTCATGCCATAATAAAATTGTTGTCATAGTATACCATAATATAATGGGCAAAGGAAGCTGTGTAGCCATTGTCACAAATATGGTACAAGACAACTTTTTTCTATATTTCCTTTTCTGTGTTATCTGATCTGATAGAGCCATGTTCTACTTAATGTGTCAAAAGTAACATCCTAAAAAGTTATTTGATAAATGTTTAAATATTTCCTATATATTAAGTATTTGTAAATGTGTCCATACTTTCCGCTTTTAATCTTGTATTCAAAATCTACATATATCTTGTACATGTATAAGTAATGGCTTATTCTTTACTTATTTATGTATTACTCAGCTTGTAATTTTTGAAAGCAATGATATTAAGCTGACTTGTGGATTGGCGGAATTTATATGTTATGAAACAACCATCAATATATTAGTTCATCAACACCACCCTGTGTATTATCATGTGAAAACTTCCAAACACAGACACATGGCTAGATATTGTAATATCAAATACTTGTATTATAATACATGCTTGTATGTGAATCAATGTGATTGAGAATTTTTGATCCTGCTTTTGGATAAAACTATAAGTTGTAACTATATCTCCTGTGTTAAGTATATGTTCTGTGTAAATGGTCATATATTGCTTTCAAATACTGCAAGATCTTGCTTCCCCTCGTGTAACTTAGTATAACGTTGTAGGGAACAGCTTCAATAGTAGCATGTCTAGCCAGCGTAGTAGGAAGTCTACATGTAGCAGTGTTGTGTCAGATTCTCAGGGAGGTAGGAACCTTAAATGTGTGTGCCTTTGCATGGATTTTCTCGCCAATTCCCTCTGTTCAGAAAAATCTGGCCAGTCCCACTAGCATTCAGATTTAGACAGGTTTACTAATGTAAAATAAGATTCAAAGTGAAGGTTGTAAGAGGTCTTATTGAAGATCATAATATAGATTTAACAATCTGTTTCTCCCAAATTACCATAGCTGGATTATATGTGGGTTGATTTGATAACTTGCACCATGCATCCCCTCCTCATCCCAACCACTTCCCTTCAAAAGCCATCTTTACTGTGAAATCCTGGAATACAGAATGTACACTTACCATATCCCGTGGATTGATATTTAACTCTTCATTTTCTGTATAAAAAATCAAATATTATTGAGATTCTGAAAATATTTATGTTTATACTCAAATTATTCAATAATCAATAACTAATTATATCTCTTGATGAAATTTCAATGATGAATCATGTGTCCATATAGGTAATTGTCCAACAAAGGAAGGCCTGCATTGAATGTCTGACAATTACCTAATTGGATGACATTGCCTCCCTCTACTCTAAATGATGCATGAACCATACATTTTTATCAAAGGAGAAAAATATTTCAAACATCAATATTCGGAAATATTTTACAGATTCTGCATGTGAGGAAGTAGATGGGGACACCAGTTCTGCCCAAGTCAGCCCTGATACTGTTCACACCAGCGAGAGTGATACCCCAAGCCTAAATGCCAGTGTCATCCCAGGCTTTACTGATGCTACCAGTATCAACAGTGATGCAGGGAGTGTGAAGTATGATGTCCTCACTGACCAGAGCACAGATAGCATTAGTTTGGATAAGTCTGAACTTGATGCTATATTGAGAGGTAAGATAATGGACTCTTCAGCCATCACTGGTATTGGCCTCGGTTAGCAAAAGTCTCATTAAGCAGGCATTTAACTAAAATGTTATTTATGGTGAAAACATACATTGAATGAGTGTATTTGTGAACACCAGGAAGCAGATTTTGCCACCACAGTTGTTCAAATTCCTGCTTTCAAAATGAACTGGCTCATTTCGTAGACATATACACATAGCTTTAAAAAGAATCTTGATCTTACTATATCCTTTATCTTTTATCTTTTAAATGAATGGTTGTGTACATCATACGGATGTATTGAAGAAAGATGTTAGGAGCCATGTGTTTTGAGGATGCATATATCTTGTTGAATATTGCCATTTCCTTATCACCTATAGAGCAAATAAAATGCAAACGTACCTTTCTCTTTCTTTAGGGTCACGTGAGCCATCTATAGTATCCCATGATTCCAAACCAAGTTCTCGCAGCCAATCACCAATCAGCGATATTGTGATGCAAGGTCTGACTAGTGGGGCTGATAAGAACTCTATTACTCCAGACCGGGAGAGTATACATATAGATGTCGCTGAGGAAAACCATTTAGAAAAAAGTAAGAAATAAATGTAAAATAGATGTCACTGTTGAAAAGAGATAAAGTCATTCACAAAAGGAAAATAATGATTTTATTTATAGTAAATTGACAATTAAAGGGATAATAACCTCAAGTAAAAACTATGATTCATCAGAATAATAAGTCTATAATCAAAAACATGACCCGGGTATGAGCGACGATCTTCTAATGCATCGGCAGATATATTGGAATTAATTTTGAGGTATTGGATCTTCACCTGGATTATGGAGGTCGCCATAACCTACCTATGAATATTCATGAGCGGCGTCACTACGACTCGACAAATTCCAGCATTTCGATTGGCCCGAAAAATGTGCATGCGCAATTGTAGCGGGGCGGCCACATTGAAAAATATTACGAACTTCTTAACAAGAAAATGGAGCAATTTGAAGATTTTGACGATGTATTTGGCATATTGACATAATATGATATCACCTGTTCGAGAAAAACATGACCATGTTCACATTAATACTTACAATTCATAGAATTTACTCCCAAAGTGCCAATCAAAACCAAAAACTGACCAACTCGTGAACGTTGGTTACCGACATGACAGGAAAATGCGTTAATTTTATGTTGACAATCAATTATCTCTCGATCGTTTTGCTTGAAGATCAAACATATTCGGATCTTTTATTTAATAAAATGACGAATGGCAGATATTAATTGGATTGTTGACACTCTGTTATAAATATAAGGCAGAACTGATAATCTATTTCCCGTCATGAATGATCGCGATCGATGACGCAAGGTTCGTCATTTCGATCACCATGGAGTTGTATTTCTGTTGTATTTACAGTAGACAACAAACAATTTAAAGGCTCGTAGACCTAGTATGTTATATTTATTTCACAAATATGGTATTAAGTTATAAAGCTATTAAAGCAAACGATATGATACGATACAATTCAAAAAGTTTTTTCAAAATGGCGTCGACCTAACCGGCACATGGCCTGGTTCAGTTCTCTTTTTGGGACCGGATTGCTCGCCTTGAATCCGTTTTCTTTGGTTTCTTGTGAGAGAATATGTATGGTATGGCAACTGCCCGAATGACAGTGAGATTCCATTGTCGATAACGACAGTGTTATTTCTGTTGCCGATAGCAAACTGTCGTGGGTAAACCTGGAGGTAAAATTGTGTTCAATCTACGCCGTTTGAGGAGAAAATCAGCTAAAACAACTTGCCCCGCGTGTCTAGAACCATCATCACTGTAGCGTCTATATAATTAATACTTACTTGAAATATCCTAACATCGAACTAAATAAACCACTCTAACTTCAGTTGTTATTCATTTTTATTCACCAATCTATTTTGAAGAGCTTTTGAAGAGCGATTTCAGCATTTGAGGCAATCTGCGCCAGTTCCTCTTGATTCGGAATCTAGTTCATGCGCATTAGAATGAATAATTTGATTGGCTTAATTCCAAAAACACATGCACACTTGTAAATTATTTCAAACTACTAGGCATGCGCGAAGAGTTGAAGCAAAAACGAAACTGCTGCAGATTACCCTACTTATTCGATGGCGGAATTGGAAAATTCTTTATTCAAAATGTTTTCCCTTATTGGGGAGAAAAAACACAACCCCAGGATAGATATAGGACGACAAACAAGACAATAGCCTTGCCCAAGTCGGTATTTTTTTACTTATATGATCTTGAATTATTACCGCCTTGTACAATCCAATACATCTCCGCTGTTATTATGCTGAAATATTCAACAGTTTCGAGATTTCCATAATACCTACGCTATTAGGGGTATCGCGAAACCTTATTGACTGACAGATATCGCGTGGACACGACGTGTGACTTCAGGCTGAATGACCAATGAAAACGTTATCGGGTTGAGCTGCATAAACAAAACAAACTTCCCATCTACGACTTGAAATTCACTGATGTGATCGAGTGTTTCTTTAGAGTTACAATATATTATGTAATTAAATGTACATTGGAAGGTATGAGTCATCATTAATATAAATTAAATCATGTAATTCAATGTTGATTTAAAACTGATTTCGCGATGAAAATGCACGAAGACCTAGTCCAACGTAGCGAGTCATGTTGTCGTCGATCGGTGATTGAATATCAGCCTACATGTTCAACTTGTTGAAATCTTCTCACCTTTGGTTATCCGATCGATGTCCCGGCATCCACTAAACTCTCATTGATATTTATCTGATAAAATATTTGTATTTTCTTAAATGAATTCGTGCTCAGATTCGTGCAAGATTTGTTTGTGAAAAGTACCGGTAAAAAGTGTACTTGTTTTTGACCGTGCATAATAATGAGCTGACGCTACAGGGCCGTCGTTGATTGGTCAAAGGATGAGTCTGGGAATGAGTCTGGGTATCGACTTAGAAAATATTGAAAATTGTAATGTCTGAAAAACCAACTCAATTACACATATTATTAAACTTCAATATCTTATCCTTCTTCTGAGATTACAAAAATATTAATTTGTATCATAATTGATGAAGAATATTGGCATCAAAGACAGTGCATATCACTTTGTCAGAATTGAAAAAAAATCAATGGCAAACATTAAATGAATTAATTATGCAAAAAGTTTGAAACTTATCTTCCAAAACATTGGTTACTTTCTTTGTATAGACATTGAATGGTATTTCTGGATAAGTGAATTGGTGTTTATCTGGGTAATCAAGGGATTATAGTCACTCAAAGTTACTGAGCATCCAGTTTTGAGACTTCAATTGTGTTGGTGAAGTTACACATATTCCAGTCAAATTCATGCTGAGCACAACATTCCGGTTTCAATTTTATAATCTCTATACGTGACCCTGGTGATGAAGAGTCAGAATCAGTCAAAAAACCTAAACCGGAAAACTGTGCTCATTGTGAAAACTAAAAGTGAAGCAACTTTTTTTCTGATATTTCTCATATCAAATGGCAACCATCTTGTTTTTCCCCCTTCAAATTAAACTGGCGGGAAATTCAAAAATTGGAAAAATTTTTAATCCTTAAATATATTTTTCAAAAATATGATTTTCTCTTTAATTAGGAGGCCCCAACGGGGGGCCTCCTATTAATTTTATAGATATTCTTATTAGGAGGCCCTCCTGAAAGGGCCTCCTGAAAGGGCCTCCTATAGCTTTTGTAGCTTTTCTTTATTCTTCTTCTTTGTTCTTTATTATTCTTCTTATTATTATTCTATCAAAGCAGTTTTCTCCTACTTTCAACTAGCTTTCAACTTTCTACTATATGCTCCTACCAAGGGCGTTACAATACCCGGGAATTTATCGGTTCGTGCAGTACTTGTTTGTGATAGCGCCCTCTGTAGGTCACTGTGCTTATAGCCTACAGTAATACGGGGTAGGATATCGGGAATTCGGTCAGTTTCTATCCGTCGATTTCGCTATGAATTGAAGCAAGTGTGACCACTTTATCCACTTAAACAATTTGATAATTGATTAAATATTTAAACAAAATCGATAAACACGTTATACACTTCCTATCTCCTTAGAAATTAGCATGTATTTATGGATTGTGTTTTCGAACAAGGCTCGACCCCAACCAATAGGGAAATCCTTATGCTAATTAGTATGACGTCATATTTTCCTGGGGAATCCTAGATTTCAAAGCCTCAGTCTGTTATTGTGTCAAATGTAAACGCTCTTTTGCAGACAGAAAATTGACAGATTAGCCTAGCTTTTAACTTTCAGCTTTGATGTTTAAATATTCTGTATTTCTACCGGACTTCTTGCTGAATATCATATAATGTTATAACTTGATTTGGATCATTGCCTGATTGCTCATTCTGAAATTTTGATTGTGGTTCATGATTGATTGGCAAGAAAAATAATTCCTATTGTTTTCCAGCGAAGTCAAAATGTTACAGCATGAGTTATAATGTCGAGTTTGCATCATGTTAAATTCTGCTAGTGATTAGAAGTCCATGCACAAGCATACACATAAGAGACAAACACACCCAGGCTCCAGGCCGTGGATGGAAATATAAAACTATTTAAGGCACAAACTGGTATTAATAGACCGATATGTAGTGTCTGCCATGTATTGAAGGTAAACCAATCTGCATTATTAATGTTTCTTCTATCAATACATGGATTGTGCAATGGAAAAGCAATGGCACAATCAAAAATGTGCATATCAATCGTGAATATCTCTCGGTTCAAAGCTTATTTCCAACAGAATCGTGTCAAAATATGTGTCTGAGTAACAGTTATACATTATAAGATCGCAAACTCTTACCAATTATCAGCCGAATGGCTCATTTTCAACGAAATGTCCTTAAGACAACAGCCCTGGGTCGCGCCTGAGACCAAAAATTATTTCAAATAGCCCTCCCCTAATTATATTGGATAATCACATTTATGCGTGCGCGCGCAGCTCATCCACTGAACGAAACGCCACTTCCCGCTGAAATCACCGGGTATTGATCTTTCCCTTGCTCCTACTAGATACCTGGTTTGATCTTGATGGGAAAATATTTCATATCTAGGTCAAGGTCAAAGGTCAAAATCTAGGTCAAATCTAAGTTTTTTTTGAAGTTTCTCAAGTTAGTCCTTATACTTCAGTATTTCTTGCGATGAATTAAACTGAAACTACATTTAAGTATTCTCTACAAATTGTTCACTATATGTCAGCATTAAATTTTTACCGTTTTTGAGATATTTGACGTCAAAAAACGGTCAAAAAAGGTCATTTTTCAACTTGCTTCAATCTGACCAAATTTTTTTTTAAAAATCATCTACAAGTTCCCAGGAGTCCAAATCTGACCTCAGATTTGACCTCTGACCCTTAGTTGACCTTCAGTGACCTTCGAAAGGTCAGAAAAGTTGATTTTTCAAATTCAGTCTTTTGATTCAAATTTAGGTCAGTCTAATTACAAAAAGCCTACTGAGGTCTAAAAAAGTTAAAATTTCAAGGTCAAAGGTCAAGGTCATCAAATTAGGTCACAAACTGTGCTATCTAAGTTTCTCATAGTTCAACACTAAAAATCAATATTTTTAATTGAAAGTCAAGATATATATTCCTCTAAGGGTTCTACACATATTAGCAATTGACTATTTATTAAAATTTTGTCCCACTTTTGAGATATAAGAGCTCAAAAACTGAAAAAGGTCAATTTTTCAGAGTTTATAAGGTCAAATTTTAACTTGCTTCAAATTCACCCAATTTTTTTTTGAAAATCATCTACAACTTCTCAGTAGTTCATATTTAACCACAGATTTGTCATTTGACCTTTAGTTGACCTTCAGTGACCTTCGAAAGGTCAGAGAAGTTGATTTTTCAAATCGAGTTTTTGGATTCAAATTTAGGGTTAGCCTAAGCATAAAAGACCTACTGAGCTCTAAAACAGTAATATTTTCAAGGTCAAGGGTCATGGTTATCAAATTAGGTCAAAGGTCAAAATCTAGGTCAAATCTAATTTTTTTTTAAGTTTCTCAACTTTGTCCTTATACTTCATTATTTCTTGCGATGAATTAAACTGAAACTACATTTTAGTATTTTCTACAAATTGTTCACTAGATGTCAGCATTAAATTTTTACCGTTTTTGAGATATTTGACGTCAAAAAACGGTCGAAAAATGTCATTTTTCAACTTGCTTCAATCTGACCAATTTTTTTTTTAAAAATCATCTACAAGTTCCCATGAGTCCAAAGCTGACCTCAGATTTGATATTTGTCCTTTAGTTGACCTTCAAATTGTCAAAAATGCCTAAGAGGGCCTCCGTGAGATTGCTTGCAATCTTCAAAAGTCTAGTTATTATTTATTCTTCCTAAACCTTTTTCTCCTACTTCCAACTACCTTTCAACTATCTACTATATGCACCTACTAGGGACCTTGGCTAAACTTGGCGGGAAAGGAATTTTTATCTAGGTCAAGGTCAAAGGTCAAAATCTAGGTCAAATCTAAGTTTTTTTCAAGTTTCTCAAATCCTGACACTACACTTCAATATTTTTGGCTGAATTTTTGCATACAGATAGATATTAGTATTCTATTAGTCTTAGCCTTTTGCCGTCTAGAGAAATTTTGCCTAGATTTTGAGATATTGAAGGTCAAAAAAAGGTCAAAAAAGGTCTTTTTTCAACTTGCTTCAAATTGACCAAATTTTTTTTAAAAACTCATCTACAAGTTCTCAGGATTCCAAATCTGACCTTACTTTTGACCTTTGACCTTTGGTTGACCTTCAGTGACCTCCGAAAGGTCAAAAAAGTTGATTTTTCAAATCGATTTTCTGGATTCAAATTTAGGTATATTTATTCACACAAGACCTTCTGAGGTGTAAAAAAGTAAAATTTGCAAGGTTAAAGGTCAAGGTCATCAAACAAAATCACAAACTGTGTTTTCTAAGTTTCTCAAAATTGCAGACTACAAATCAATTTTTTTACTGAAAGTCTGAATATATATTCCTCTAAAGGTTCTACACATATTAGCAATTGACTATTTATTAAAATTTTGCTCCAGTTTTGAGATATTAGAACTCAAAAACTGAAAAAAGGTCAAATTTCAAAATTTTTCAAGGTCAAATTATAACTTGCTCTAAATTGACCAAACATTTTTTTAAAAAGCATCTACAAGATCTAGGAAACTCAAATCTGACCTTAGTTTTGACCTATGACCTTTAGTTGACCTTCAGTGACCTTCGAAAGGTCAAACAAGTTGATTTTTCAAATTGATTTTCTGGATTCAAATTTAGGTTTATTCAATCAGAAAAGATATACTGAGGTCTAAAAAAGTAAAATTTTCAAGGTCAAAGGTCAAGGTCATCAAACAAGATCACAAACTGTGTTTCTCAAAGTTTGTGACTACAAATCAATATTTTTGAATTAAAGTCAGGATATATATTCCTCTAAAGGTTTTACACATAATAACAATTGATTATCTATTAAAATTCTGCACCATTTTTGAGATATTGGACCTCAAAAACTGAAAAAGGTCTAATGTTGAAATTTTTCAAGGTCAAATTACACATTGCTTCAAATTGACCAAACTATTTTTTAAAAATCATCTACAAGATGCCTGGAGTTCATATATGACCTTGTTTTTAAGATTTGACCTTTGGCTGACCTTTAAATGTTCAAAAAAGCCTACGGGGCCTCCGTAAGATTGCTTGCAATCTTATACATCTAGTTCTTCATGGGTCTTAAGTTATTTCTTCTTTGTATGTCATACATGTTGCCATTGGAGTTTTTTCTATGATAATGACTATTTTTTTGTTTGTTAAGATACTTATTCTGACTCTCAGTAGGGGGTTAATTATGCATCAAAACTTGTGAAAAAGTAAATATACTTATCAAATATAACTAGGTCAGTAATAAAAACCATATTTCACATTCATTTGACTGAGGGACCAAAAGGGCATATACCCAGACACATCCTTTTACCGACATCAACAAACTGTCGGTAAAGCACGTGGCTTTCTCTTTGGTACAAGGCGGTCATAATAGAAATCAAGATAAGTAAAAGAGACCGACTTGGGCAAGGCTAACAAGACAATAATAAGTAGGAATCTTTGATTGTTAAAAGCCGTGCATGAAACTTTTCAGAAACTATAGTAAGTGACACTGTTTTAAATGTGTTCTATTCCCCGGGGATTCGGTCCACGACAACGACAGCTGGTTTTAACTGTCGACAGATTTTAATTCTACCGTCACCAGCCGACTGTCGTACTGTCATTCAGGCATTTCTTTTAAAGTCCTTATCCCAAGTCTAGCTCTATCAGTGGAAATATCTGAACAATTTACCGCACAACACATAGGCATTTTCCTTTGTTGTGAATGCTTTCAAGATGGCGGCTCAGGTCGCAGAAACGTCACACTTCCGGTCTACATCCGGGTCTCTGAGGGAAATATGGCGAGCCCCGTCCAACAGACAACTGGGTCACTGGGTCAATTTATGATTTTTATTTTCAATATTATACAAAAACTAACACATAACAAGATTTTCAACTTATTGCATTTTATTCAGTAGTATTGTAACTACATATAATGATGATTAGAATACCTGACATTATTTCCGCTTTAATAGGCACAGTAATGAAACATTGGAAGATTTTACAGTGAAGTTCAATTCATTAAACCAACAACAGTGAATGAAAAACTTAATACAAAAAATTAAATCGAAAAAATTTTGGCAAAGTTTTTCATGTTCCTATATTTATTTTCAAATGGTTATTCATTTCAGCATTGCAATCTGATATGGATGATGCTTACCGGAGTGTCCTTGCGGGTGGATCAGTGCAAGGTTGGACACCAGATGTCTCTGTAGTTCTATGGCGACGTATGCTAGGAATTCTGGGTGATATCAATCACATAGAAGACCCCAATATACATACTCGTGTTTATGAGTATTTATGTGAATTGATGACGACCATGTTAAAGATGAGAACCAATCAGAGTGTGACATCAGATGGCATGATGTCACCCCCTCCCCCAGAATTGATCCCACCTCTACAGATTGTCACACCTTGGCTATTTGAGGTATGTGCAACCATGTACAGGGTGGTCAAAAAATGGAAACCCTGCATTTTCCTTATATCTTTGTCACTTTAAGGAATTACTCCCTGATATTTCACACATTTGTACATCATTCAATTTCCTTCCACCCTACCATATTTCATGACCATCAGACTGATAGTCACAATTTTACAGCACTTTCAATAACATGCTTCAGATTTGGCCATTATCGCGCTGTAGGCAAAACAGCACAGTTGTCAATGACCCGAATGCATTCCTCAGCAGGTATGACCTGAATGACACAAATGATCTCACTTTTGAGGTTTGCAATTGTCCTGAGGTTATTCTCATATACTCTATCTCTACCATATCCTACAGGTAGGGACATTTTAGACGATGAGTACAGGTTTCCCCACAACAAAATATTGGCCACTGGGCATGTTCTTTAAAGTACTGTAACATTGTGACTATCAATCTGATTGTCATGAAATAAAGTAGGCTGGTAGCAAATTGAATGATGTACAAAAGTGTAAAATATCAGGGAGTTATTTCAAAATGACAGATATGAGGAAATTGGTATTAGGGTTTCCATTTTTTGACCACCCTGTAGAATGTAAAGGTTCATTCCAGTGTTATGTGAAATAAAGTATGAATATTATTATGTCACCGACGTTGTGACATGTTGTTACAGTCTCCAACTTTTTGTGGACGATATTCGGTCATTAGTGCTCAGTGGTCAGCATTTGGCTGTTGGCATTCAGTGTCTGTAATAAGTGACAAATGACCTTTAAGGATATGTTACCTGAATGTCTGCATGAGATAAATTATTTCAAATAGTAGTGAGTTAAACTGTCTCCATGTTGACATGTACTTGTAATGTCATACATTATTTTAGATTCGCACAGCCAATTAAAGTCTACTTTGTGGAGTCATATACTAAAGCCAAGGCCTTAATTAATTGTTGATGATTTTAAACATCAATTTAATGTCTTGTATCAAGACTTTTAATGAGTAGCCCAATTTGCCAAATTCAAAGATTAGGAAACAAGCCGTGGATGCATTTAGATAGCCCTCCCCACATCTCATTGAGTCATGTGCTTGAAGATTATGTACAGAATCACTGAAAAAATGTACTTCAACCAGAAACCTTTTAGCAAAGGTTTTACAAGGTTTAACCTGTTTTTAATTAAGCACTGTGTTCTGATAGCAGGAGTGATGTCATAGCTATGTGTGTATGTTGAACAATTAATAATTTTGATAAAGATGTCATTGTAATTGTCATTATACTTTTACATGTCAAATTCAAGTGTCACAAATCATCTTGTTTACATTACAAATGGGGATAGGTTCATTTCTTAAGAGTTTTTATAGGAAAGACGAATCAAAGTATAAAGTGTATTGACGCTATCATGTAAATTATAAATAGTACTAGGTCTGTTACTTCTATTTTGATATCAACATGATCAGTTCTTATTGAAAAGTACAAAATAGTATATAGAGAATTTTCAATAATTATCTCATCGAACAAAGTTCGGAGGGATATAGGGAACGCCTCCGTCCGTCTGTCCGTACGTCCGTCCGGGCAATAACTCAAATACCATTGGCCCGATTTTGTTCATATTTTGTACACATATAGCCTATGGGGGTAGAAGTTCTGCTCGAAAGCTGATTTTCAAAATGGCCGCTCATTTCAAAATGGTGGCCATTTTAGTGCCGATATTACAGTAATTTAGGTGCAATATGTTTTAGATGTAAAAAAATTATATAGGACATTAATAAAGCTAGAAATGTAGATATTAAAGAAGCACATGGCAGCCATCTTGAAAAATGGCGGCCTTTACTCGTTATTTTACGATTTTTGCTGAAACTCGAAAAGTAGTGGAGCGATTTTGTTCATATTTGGTATGTGAATACTATAAACATTGCACACTGTCTAAAGACACTTTTGGAAGAAAGTGACCATTTTAAAAATGGCCGCCATTTTGAAAAATGGCCGCCATTTTAACCTATTTTACTATAACTCGAAAAGTAGTGAAGAGATTTTGTTCATATTTGGTATGTGAATACTATAAGGATGGCACACTGTCTAATGACACTTTTGGTAGAAGGCGGCCATTTTTCAAAATGGCCGCCATTTTAACGTATTTTACTTTAATTCGAAAAGTAGTGAAGCTATTTTGTTCATATTTGGTATGTGAATACTGTAAGCATGGCACACTGTCTAATGACACTTTTGGTAGAAGGCGGCCATTTTTCAAAATGGCCGCCATTTTAACGTATTTTACTATAAATCGAAAAGTAGTGGAGCGATTTTGTTCATATTTGGTATGTGAATACTATAAGTATGGCAAATGGTCTAATGACACTTTTGGTAGAAGGCGGCCATTTTGAAAAATGCCTGCCATTTTTGCTATATACTTTGTTTGTAAAAATGCCATCCATGGCTGTTCGATGTGATTCTCTACGCTTTGGCGTTGCCGTTGTTCTGGTTATTTAAGCTATATTTCAAATTTTTATTAAACCATATTCCTTAACATTTATATCATTGGCACATAGGTCCAGTACATGATATATTAAATATATAGAGAATAAAACAAAGTGCCTCTAAAGTACCTCCAAAACTACATTTGGATTGTTCCATACAGTTCCATTGGATGTTATAAGTCCCTTGGTACAATACATAACCTATTGTCAATCAGAAGTAATTCTCAAAATTAAAATCACATTCATAATAGCTTCTTATAGACAGTTACAACATCAGAGTAATATCACAAAAAAGATTTTAAATATTATTGATTTGAATGTTTAGACTGCATACTAAATTATATGAGTTTCATCGTGAGAATCTTTTCGTACTATGTACTAAGATAAGATTAGTAATCAGTACAAATCAAAAAAACAAGTCATTATTATAACTTTGAAGCATTATCCAAAAACATGGTACAGTGTACATATCGAACATTCAAAAAGTAATACAAGGAAGAATGACTCTGAAATTCATACATACTGAAAAGACATTGCACTTATTAAACATTTGAAAAGCTTTGCATGTACATGCAGTTCGATATCTGTATACATTTCTGAAAATATATTCAACAATGCCCAAATATTTGTTCTACTATTTACATTCCCATAATAACCATTGAGTTCCAGGCCATATTCTCAAATTATGACATCATATCCTTCTGGACACTTGATTTATGATATCATGATTGCAAAAATTTAAGTTTTTCATTTCCAACCAAAGAAATAATATAACTGTCTGAAATTTTGGTAGTGTTTTCACAACATATATCTATTTCACAAAGATTTATCTATTCAAATATTCATATATTTTCATACTGGAAAATCTTGTCATCGCCATTTCAGGAAAACGTTCTTTGTTTTTTTTCCAAATTCGCACATATAATAGAGGATATCAAGTTCTACACCTGATTAACTTTTGGATGGCCATCTTTTTTTCTGGGCGCCATTTTGAAGGTTTTTCGGAAAATCTTTTCTTCAGATTTTCTCCAAATTCGCACACATGTTAGAGAATATCAAGTTCTACACCTGATTAACTTTTGGGTGGCCATCTTGTTTTCTGGTGGCCATTTTGGAGGTTTTTCGGAAAATCTTATCATCGTATCAAGTTCTAGAGCTGATTAACTTCTGGGCAGTCATTTTTTTACGGCCATTTTGAGTTTTTTGATGGTGTGATCTCGTTCACGTCATTTGCCTTGTGAAACAACCCCAAGAGACAGTGGTGGTGGTAGGGTCAAGAAAACAGGACATTAGAGTATGTTCCATATATTGTTCAAGCCTCAGAAAATCCAAAATGGCTATGTTTGAATTTGCAGTAACTTTAGATTTCTCCAAAGTATGGCTCTGTTATACTCTAATCAAAGTTACTATACTTTAGAGTATATCACTATTATTTTTATTATCCCACCGAACATAGTTAGTGAGGGATATAGAAAAGCAGTACCTCCATCTGTTCATCCATTTATCTGTCCAGACAATAACGATAACGGATTGAGATCTGACCTTCAATGATCTTCTCAAGGTCAAAAGGTATTTTTTTCAACTAGCTTTAAATTAACCACATTTTAAAAATCATCTAGAAGTACTCAAAAGTCCAAATCTGACATTAGGTTTGAGATTTGACCTTCAATGACTTTCAAGGTCAAGAAAGGTCAAAAAGATATTTTTCATCTTGCTTCAAATTGACCATTTTTTCAAAATTATCTATGAGTTCTCAGAAGTTCAAATCTGACTTAAGATTTGCATAATATTGTGAGCAACTACTAATAGGTGGTGACATTTTATCATGTTAATGCCAGACAGGATCAATGAGATAGAGTATCACATCAGTGAAATTATAATTCTTTTCTTAACTTAGTAAAGTACAATACTGGAAGTGTCTTGATTATTATTATTAGACTCCAGATTGCTTTTGCCAGTTTTCTTCTTATTAGACTCCAGATGTCAATCTGGAGTCTATTGTTTTTGCCAGTATTCTTCTTTATTATTAGACTCCAGATTGAAAATCTGGAGTCTATTGCTTTTGCCAGTTTTCTTATTATTATTATTATTTTTCTTTCTTTCCGCGTTTTCTCAGCAACTAGAGGGACTTACTTAAATCTGCTAACATAGTCAACTAGGTAATGAGTTCTAGTTTCTGGGAAATTAGGTCAAATGTTTATCTAGGTCAATGGTCAAGAACTGGGTCAAATCGTCACTTTTCGCTATTTTACAAGTTTTCTCAGTCGCCCTTGGGTATTTTCGCTCCGGGTTTTTTTCATCATGTTCCTTCGAAAAAAAGCTAATTCCGTAAGGCAAATCGTTTTTTGATTACTCTTACCGATTTTGAGATATGGCGTCCGAAAAGTAGGTCAGAACATAAAAAGTTCTCCAAATTCAACGTGTGATTTATTAAATAAGTGTAGAATTATCTCAGGAATCCGAATCTGCAAACAAAATTTCGATCCGATTTCCGGTTCGGAAGTTATAGCGTTTTGAAATCTCAAAAATCGCTAAATTTG